ACCGTTTTTCGCGAATCAACCGTTTTTCGCGAATCAACCGTTTTTCGCGAATCAACCGTTTTTCGCGAATCAACCGTTTTTCGCGAATCAACCGTCCTGACCCTCTGCGAAGCAGTGGGTCAGATGCGATTTTGAAGCTCCTGACGAGTATGGCTCGACGAGTGTGTGATCTAGCTAAACACCTTCTTCCATACCCAGATTCTTCCGGTCTCGAGTTAGTAAAGTGCCTGAACCCCTCAATGTCAAATGTTAAGGTGTTAACTCGTAGCAGCATTTGTTGGTATGACAAAGACTGCCGCCGCACGGGATGCTTAAGGTGCCCCTTGTTGGCTTCAATGCTCCAACAAAAGCTTACCCAGGTAAATTCCCTTCCCTTTCACCATTTCTTTCTACCTTTCATCCCTGACAATTGAACTACGTCAGGGCGATAATAGATATGGTAATTTTGCACATTGTTTACCATGTGAGTCAATATAGTCACCTACCTTATCGTCTTTGTCATTGTCATTCCTGTTGTCCTCCTCGTCATCACCCAGAAGGGGCCACGAGGCTGCCGTCAGACGTCTTCGGGGATAGATTGAAAAGGATGGCCTCTCTCCACTGCATTGGTGATACTGTCTTAGTTTGGGAAAGGAGCGGGATCCTCCATCTCTTCAAGCTTTTACAATACCCCTTTTTCTCAGGGGCGGTGTGAAAAGGGAATAACTCTCGCACCCTCAGAAGGAGCAAAAGGGAGGAGGTCGCCAAATTGTCTGAGATAATCGGAGTAAGCAGGGAACGAGTTTTGTGAAAATACGCCTTGGAGCGGTTACAGAACATTGAAAGATCAGATCTGCTTTGAGGGACGCCATATCTCAATGATCCCGCAAGCCTTTCCCCCAACGCGCTTGAAGCTACCCGAGACTGAGTGCATTGTTATGTTCATGTTCCTATTCCATACATGTAGTCTCATGAGCTCCCATTCTTCCTTTTGCCACCCTGAGGCACAATATCATCGGGTACTTAAACATATACTGCTTTCTCATGATCCGCGGGCTCCCGCCCTCTTATCCATCGTATCCACCATCCTCATCTCCTCCGTGTGTTGCAATATCCAGTCATTCACCAACTCCGGTTGAGCAGCATCAGGTACATGTATTTAAAGCTATAAAGGGACGTGACTTGCCGTTTCTTTTGCGTCTCCGATATCGCAGCGATAAGCGCAAGCAGATACATGTTCAACACAAGGACAGCGAGCAGCGACGCCCCAATAACGCCGCTGGGCTTCCCAATAGCTTCTTATAACATCTAACTAGGTTTACCTAGTCATGTCTATTGCGCTTTCGTCCAAACTATGTGATTCATATGTGTCGTGGTTATGATATCGTCTCATACTGAATGAGTTTTCACTCAAAACAATGGAGACACTGACTCAATATTTCTTTGATTTCGCCTGCATGCTTGTCTGCTTGTTTCAAACGTCTTAGTACCCACGTCTGCGGTAGAATACTGTAAGGGGACTCAGCTGTTATTCTAGGACCACATACTGCTTTGAAAGAATAACGCTTGACAGCCAGTCAGGAGTTCCACTTCCTCGATAAACTTCACCCTGCCCTCACCAGACCCCGCCGCTGGTTACCACATTTACCACCTTCTCGGAGTGCTCTTCAACTTCCATTGCTGGACTGTGGGGTTGGTTTGATGACGGCCATGAGAATGCGGGCTGTTATGATGCGGGCTGTTCAGGTGACAAGGAGCTGGTGTTATGGTTGCCGGTCGCGAGGTGTCTGAGCGATGGCCGGCATTGAGCTACCCGTGGCAATGTAATGGCTGTTAATGACGATGCCCAGAAAGTTCCCATGTAACATACCTTGGCGTGATTTGCGTATCGCGAGCGAAACTTCAGGTTCCCGAGGACAAGGTCGCCGGTATAGCCCGCTTGTTGCTAGAACAGCCGTATCCCGCATTCTCCCAACTCCTCAGATCTTCCACTACCAAGAAGCACGTCGTGGTAAGTAGTCGAGGCCCAGGTTCCTTACGAAATTAAGCGACACCCACAGTCATAGGATTGTCGTTTTGTGTTTCTAAAAAGCCCCAATCCCCCTACCCCTTTTCCACCCCTGCGTATCAAACGCAAAGTCAACAATGCCCATCAAATCTACATTAATGTAAACATGACTCATGCCATTGAACTGCGGTTCCCGGGAATGTTCTGGCATGATCTTTACCTTTGCTGATGATCGAGTTCAACAATGAAACTGGGCATGCCGCTAGAAACGGGGAGCTCGCGGCCCCCCCCTCCGGCCATCACGGCGAATCACGGTAGCCGCCTGATCCTCCCTCCAGTCCCATCGACTCTACCTCCCCCCTCGGCGTGATCGGGAGAACCGGGCAGTTGCACGCCCGCCGTACCCGCCTGCGGCTCCCGGGACCCGCCCTTATCACACCGAGATGATCGGCGTAGTCGGGAAACGAAGCAGGTACCTGGGCCGGAGCCGTGCTCAACATCACCGCCGCCGGTCAAGGTATCTCCGGCCCTCGTCCCTCACTGAAGACCTGAGCTCTAGTAGTTTGAAAGAAGTTGTAGATCTGTGAATACTTGTTAGTCTGGACGTGAACAAATTCCCCCCGTGAAATAATTCATTGTGAAAACGAGTGATGGCTTTGTTTTGAGCCGCCCGGGGGGTCTTCGTCGGTGAACCCCCGTCTCTTATCTGCTCGCAGGCGCTCTCTTTCCTCGATTCCTTTTTTGTTTCTGCGGGTTCTTCTCTATCCTGAAACTGCTCTTTTCTTTCCCTCCTCCCTCAAGGCTTTTTCTCCCGCTGCCTCCCTCCCTCGCTCTTCCGCTCCCTCGTTCTCTCTCTCTTGCGCGTGTGCTCTCTCTTTCGTGTTCTCTCTCCCTCTCGCGTTCTTCCTCTCTCTCTCCTTCTTTGGCATCCTCCTTCTCCCTCCCTCCGTCTTTCTCGCTCGCGGTCTCTCCTCCTCTCTCTCTCAAGCTCTCTCCCTCTCGTCTTCCCAATCCAAGCCCTTTTCGCCGCCAATCTCCAGCTTGCAGAACCTGTAAGTTCTTTAAATTTCTTGCTCTTATCGCCATAACAAGTTCAACTCTAACTCAGGATCCCTCTCAATAGCATCAAGATGGGCGGAAACGCGTTCAGCAAGGTCAACGGGGCCACTGGGGCGTCCCCGGTGACGCCCACACCGAACAGAGCCACCGCGCCCTCCGCCACCGCTGCTGCCGCTGCCGCTGCCGCCGGCAACAGAAACGGTATGTTTTTCTATCTTTTTCTTACTGTCAAAGTCATTAAGAAACTTTGGACGATTTTGACTAACCGTACTGATCATGGTTCGTTGTCGACTAGAGACGAAAAGCCCTGGCGATGCCATCATTACCATTGCCATGGCTGCGCGGGCCTTCGATGAGGATGCCGAGGCCGTCAAGACCCAGTTTTGCAACATATACGCAAAGGGTCATGACGAAGGCCATGCCCGCGGATACTCCAAGGGCTACATGGACGGCTACAGCGCCGCCATGGCCGACCTCGAGGCTCAGCGCAAAGAAGCTGGCCCGACCGCCGACCAGCGTGCCGCCGCCCTCGCCGCCACCTCCGCCTTGGATATCGGCAATCGTAGCTTCTCCTCCCCCGTTTGGGATGCCGGCACCATGGCAACGGGTCCCCGTCGCAGAGCCGTCTCGGATCATGCCCGTCCCACGAGACGTTCCCTTTTGCCTGCCTTCCTCGACCGCCGTTCGGGTAACCTGGACTACTACACCCCCCAAAACTTCGTGCGCTCGTTCAACGAGGAGGACCCTTTCACCCCCTCCAACGTGTCGGAGACCGGGGTCAGGTACATGGATGTGGCCGCCCAGGTCTATCAGGAGCATTACCCCAATTTCCCGCTGCCCAACATTGCCGAAGAGGACGATGACACTCCCCGGGCTGCCCGATTCGCCCCCGATACCCAGCTGGAATCAGTCAACCCTATGGACCAGGCTGTATTTTCTCCCGGCAGTGACTACATGAGCCCCAGCAGCTATTACACCGCCACAGGAAGCCCGATGCCGGCCGCCGCCCAGGCCATCGCGACCGCGAACAACAACAATCGTCGTCATCTGAACAACCCGCAGCATACCAGCCCGCATCTTCACGGCACTCATCCGAGCACGCCGACGGCCCACACCACCACCTCGCGCCCCAGCTCCATGTCGGGCACTCTGTACGGAATCCCCCCGGCTTCGGCAGTCAACGTTATCCAGCCAAACTTTGAGCGCCCGCCGCTCCCGCCTCCGCCGTACCCCCAAATGTTGGCCAACCAACGGGTATCTCTTCCCACTGCCAGCGGCAGACTTATGGAGGATCCATATCGCTTGCTCGTCGGACCTATTAGCCAGCGCTCGCGGGAGGAGTGGTCGTTCGACCAGGGCAAGCAGTACTTCAGCGCCCGGCTGGATGGCGTGGAGCTGTGCGAGTTCCAGCCGGATATTGAGGGCAATGTTTACGTCGCCATTCTTTTCTCGTCTCCTATTCTGGCTGAGGTGGCGAGGGGGAAGATTCAGAATTATCCTTGGTACGTTATATCTCTGGTTTGCATGTGGTCTGCTTTTCTGTTGTTCAGCATGATCGATTGTTCCGTTTAGTTCGCCTAAGCGGTCATGGAATGAGTCAAGTTGGCTAACGTTCCATATCACAGCGGTGGCGTGCGACTCTCGAGCTGGATTCACAAGCGCATCGTTCATTGAGACGATAAGAAGCATCGACAGCGCCACAGCGTGGGCACTCGCTCGCTCCAACGACGTTACGACATGGCGTATGACAGAAGGATGATTGGGACCAGGGATATGGCGTCGATTGGTTTGAACTCGAGCTGAATACAAATGGACTCTAGAGGACACGGTCAGCCGTTGTAGGCAGTTCACATACCCAAGAGTCCAAATACAGGGTGCAGATCTCAAAACCAAGGCGGTATATACGTGATACTTCAGTCAGCATGAAGGTAGTAGGCTCGTGATCCACCTGCGATGGCATCTCCCTGATAGATCTGAAATCCTTCATGACCCGAAGCTCCTCAATCCATGGACACCGGTCAACAAGCGACCGAAGATCAGCAGGCTATTAACGTGGTCAACAAGAGAGGATCAGAGAAAAGCGATGTCTCAACCTTGAAGTGTTTTGTTATGCGTACCACCAACAAAACGTTCAAGTTCCTCTGTGCCGCATCTTTGCAGGCAGCAGCGGATGCCGCGAGTAGGGACTCGGACGGTACCTGATAACCTTTAGGTATTATGCTCACTACGAAGTGGGTACCTACCTAAATTCAGTAGCCCCGTCAGCAAAGTCCTGCGCAGAGTATATCGAAGTCCTACAACTTTATGTGCTGTTAACCCAACATCGAAACGGGAAAAGACAATACTTATTGATCCCAACACACCGACCTTCACCAATATATCTTTGTCAATTCTGCCTACCTACCTTACCTTTCGACACTCGACAGATTCGAGAAAAATGGAACAAGACACGAGAAAAGAGGCCGCGGTCGATCGTTTAGAGCCCAATCATGACCCGGCTTACGGCAGAAACACAGTCGACCAACACCAAACCACTCGCATCACCGAGGTCGATGGTGCATTACACGGGCTTCAGCTATGGATCGTGATTGGAGGCATGATGCTAGGAGTGTACCTCGCCGGCCTCGACCTGACGATGCTCTCGACTGTATGCCGGGATGCCCTGCTCTTATCCCGAAACTCAACGCTGGATCGCTAAGTTCTACTTTACCACAGATTGTGCCCACCCTAACAGATTATTTCGGAACTATCAACGACGTGGCCTGGTACGAGTCAGCCTACGTGCTTGCTGTGTGAGTGTCCCAACCGGCCCCTTGCACTGCTTGCAGTTCTTCCACCTGCTAACGAATCCGGGCGTTCAACCAGTTGCGCGTTCATTCCCCTGGTGGGCAAAATGTACACTCTCTTCCCCAACAAATCTGTCTACCTGGCTTTCATGGTCGTCTTTGAGGCAGGCAGCATGATATGCGCCATGGCAACATCAAGCCCAGTCTTCATCATCGGCCGAGCCGTCAATGGCATCGGGTCAGCCGGCCTGCTCAGCGGTGCTCTCCTTATTATCTTTGCAGCCTGTACTCCCGCCATTCGGCCTGTTGTCACCTCCTTTGCCATGTCACTCATATCGGTTGGATCCATCACTGGTCCGCTTATTGCCGGCGCGCTGACTGACCGTGTCTCCTGGAGATGGTGTATGTCAGCTGACTCTGACTGAAAGAAGGCGAGTTACCTGGCTAACGTGGATGCAGGCTTTTGGATATTCCTCCCCATCGGTGGAGCAGTCATGGCCGCCACCTTGCCCATCTTAATCCCCGAGCAGTCACCAAAACCGCCAGTCCGCGAAGCCATACAAGATTTGCACAGAAAACTCGATGTTATCGGTTTCATCATCTTTGCCGGCTTCACCAGCATGCTTCTCTTTGCCACAACCTGGGGAGGTGGGATGTACCCGTGGTCATCGCCCACAATCATTGGCCTGCTCTGCGGAGCAACCGCTCTCGCCTTCGTTTTTGCATTTTGGATAAACCGAGCAGGGGAAGACGCGCTGATCCCTCTATCCTCCCTCCGTCGGCAGTCCGTGGCTGTCGGGAGCGTCGTCATGTTCCTCCAAGGCGGCGCCACACAGATGATCCCATACTTCCTACCGTTCTGGTTCCAGGCGATCCGCGGCGACTCACCGATTACCAGCGCGGTGCACATGTTGCCATCGCTGCTGTCCAACATTGCGGCCCTGATTGCCTTTGGGGCTTTGGGCAAGTAGCAGCACTCGACGGTTGCCAGCCTTCAGGTTGTAAACAGTCTGCTGACACTCCTCCTTGACCACAGTTCGCAGATCCCACTACATCCCTCCCTGGTCCATCGCAGGCTGCACCCTCGCAAGCCTCGGCTCCGGCCTGTTGACTACTCTCTCCCCAACAACCACGACGGCCGAATGGATAGGCTACCAAATCATCACACACCTCGGCCGAGGCATGGCCTTTCAAGCCGTACGTACCAGCTTGCAATATACTCTCACCTTGGTTCCTAGGACTCTTCCCAACCCTACCCCGGGCTTGTGCTGTACAATACTTCCCTGCGCCGCAACCGTCCTGTCATGAATGTTCTGTACACCCCTAGCCGCCAAAATCAACTGACACCCAAGCACATCATCTTCTAGCCCGTTGTCTCAGTCCAAGAACAAGTCCCAGCAAGCGAGGCAGCCACCGGCCTGGCCGTCATCAACCTCTTCATGAATCTAGGCTGTGCCATTGCCGTCGCGGCCAGCCAAACCGTCTTTAGCAACCGGCTCCCCGGCCTGCTGGCACAGCACGCGCCGGGAGTCGACGCCAAGGCGGTGCTGGATGCAGGCGCGACGCGTGTCAGGGGCCTTGTGGCAACTGAGGACCTTCCGGGATTGCTGCTTGCGTATGACAAGGCCTTGACAGATATGTTTGTAAGTGGTGCTCCCCAGTTTTGATTGTGGTCTTGTTAGTACTAGTACTGACTGCTCTGGTGGGCATATGTAATAGTACCTGCCGGCCGTCTGTTCTGCGTTGGCGTGCCTGGCCAGCTTTGGGTTGGAGTGGAGGAGGATTGAAACGGATGATAATCGGAAGAGTGATGGTGAGAACCCGGATATGTCCGGGAAAGGCTCCTCGTCGACCTCAGGCAATGGGTCGTCATCGGACACGTAATGCCTGAGCTGGGGTCTTCGACCATGTCGCATGCGGACATAATACGGGATATGGTATAGTGTAGTGACATACACTCCATTTCACTGGATTAAACGAAGGCAAAGCTTCCTAATCTTATCGGAAATGAAACTAGTCACGAATTCCACATGAGAATCCTTCCCGGCGTTTTCCGCCATGCCCCCGGGCGAAGTACCTTTCTTGAAGAAGCATCGGATTCGGGCTCGGACTCGGCTCGGGCCACGGACTCGGCTTCGGCCCGGGGTTTTGCATGATTGTATCATGTATGGCCCGCATCCACCACTAACATCTGAGTTCTACTTAAATATGATCGATTCATGCGAGCAACGGCTGCTATGCTGAGTCTCAGATCACTGAGTTTATACCCCCTTTGATGGTTCACCTTGACTTGCCCAACCGACATTGATACCCTGAATTGTTCAGCGCATCGCCAGACCTCGATTCCTCAAGGCTCAGTTAACACACTACCCGTCATGGCGAACAACACCGTCGCAGACAAGCTGGACATGCTGGCTGGGCAGCTAAGCAGCGCAGCACAGCGTCTTCGATCAGGCGCCTTGTCCCTTGAGGCCGATACGCGCGAGAGGCTGGGATTGATCACGGCAGCCAGTGATTTGGTAAACATCATTGGCCAGCCAAAGGACAAGATGATGATGTTCTTGCCAATGTCGACACATTGGACCTCCGTCCGCCTGTTCATCAAGTGGAAAGCGTTCGAGAAGATTCCCACTGACGACGGCGCTGATATCTCATATGCCGAGCTGGCTGCAAAGGTGGGAGGCGACCAGTCGCTGATCAGTAAGATATCCTTGGGAGCAGCCCCTATTTCATGGGACGGTGGATTTCAGCTGACTTTGCGCAGCCCGCTTCGCACAAACGCTTGTCGCGAATGGGACTCTCCGCCAGATAGGAACGGACCGCGTTGCTCACACGGAACTCTCCAGATGCTTTGTCACGGAGAATCCGATCTGGGGAATGGCGCAGTTCTTGTAAACCTACCCTGCCCCAAAGCTCAGTGAACACACTATCCCGCTAACATTTGAAACAATCCACTAGATTTGACAGTAAACTCGCCTCATATGTGGCCATGCCAAAGTACTTTGACCAATTTGGAATTGTCGAGCCCAAGGACCGCTCGAATACTATTTACGCCTTTGCCGAGGGCCGGCTGGGTTCTACGGTGTGGGATATCAACCACGCGGACGAGCATCGCCTGAAGACAATCACGCTAGCGATGGGCTCAGTTGAGGAGATGTTGCCAGCACTGGGTCTCTACGATCTCAGTTGGGTTGTGCAAGAAGCTGCAAAAGCTGAAGACAGACCGTTGGTCGTCGATGTCGGCGGCGGCAGGGGCCAAGCGCTCAAGGGCATGTTCGCAGCGACGCCCGGTCTTCCCCGTAATAGATGTGTGCTGGAAGACCTGCCTGAGGTTGTTGAGGCGGTTAGGAAGGAGGACGCAGAGATGACCGAGGTGAAGATGGTTGGCACTGACTTCTTCAAGGAGCAGCCGGTCAAAGGCAAGTACTTCCTCGACAAAGAGGGTGTATTCATCCTCTGCGACGATTACTGACAATCACTGACTATCGGCGATAGGCGCTCTGGTGTATTATATCCGCCGCTGTCTCCACGACTACTCAGACGAGGAGTGTGTGGAGATCCTGCGGCACATTTCCGCCGCCATGGCCGCTGACAGTAAGCTGCTGATCGTCGAGACGCTGCTCAGTAACCCGCCATCGGCACTACAAGCCGCAATGGACATTATGATGCTCGCCATCGGGGGCAAAGAACGAAATCTTGAGGGATTCAAGGCCATCTGTGGGCAAGCTGGTCTCAAGATCACCAAAGTCGTGGAGAATCCGGGGTCAAATGCTGTGATTGAATGTGGTTTGGCTTGAGACACTCAGTCTAAGGGGAAAACCCATGGGGCAGTGGAATTCTCGAGCCAAGAGGGCTCGAAGAAGACGCGGCGAGAAGTGATATGATCATCTGCATCCTCCGCTCACTTGTTTAAGGAAGGTACTCACAACCTCCGCCCGAACCTCAACTTCAGGTAGAAGGAACACAAAAAAGGCTTCAACTCCTAAAGAAGGAACCATGACAAACAAGTCCGCCCCAGGAGACAGGAATGTGTGAATGATCGGAAGGCGAGAGCCACTCCCTTAGCATTGAGGGTGGTAGTTGCCTAAACCCCAAGAATCTGGTGCATGGGAATTACTTGTCCCGTGGATCTTCGACATGCCTCACACCTTCCCGGTTCCGACAAACTTGAAAATCTGGGCAACAAAACTGTCAAAACAACCACAATCGTGACTACCCTTGTCACAGCACTTTACATCATCAGCCCAGCATCAACCACAAGATCAATTCACCAATTCGTTCGGTCCCATTCCCCCATACCCCCATCTTCATCAGGTCTCATACAGTGACCAGATAAGCCACAAGCATCAATCAGCGCCAGGGATAGTCATTTCTTTACCTTTGAGTATCTTGCACCGGGAGAGTTCTACTAAACATCACATCATGCTGCCTTCGCTCGTGCAAGCAATCTCGGGTCTGCCCCAGATCCAACTCGGACCTGACCCTCGCAAACGAAAGCGGGTAGTGCCCATGGAGGTGATTTCTCTTGGCTTCTCTCGCACAGGAACAAAATGTAAGCTGTTTCACCCAATTCAGATTAGGTGATCTCCATTGCACCGTCACTGACAGATGGCTCACCAGCCCTGCAGGCGGCTCTTGAGATCCTGGGGTTCGGCCCCGTTGCACACGGCGGGATCATACCCTTCAACATCCTAGACCTCGAAATGGCCAGGGACGGTCTCGAAGCCAAGTTCCGCCCCGAGACGGCCCGGTGCAAGCCCTTTGGCCGGGCCGAGTTCGACCACATGCTCGGCGAGTACCGCGCCACGACCGACACGCCCTTCTGCCACTTCGGCCCGGAGCTGATGGCTGCGTACCCCGACGCCAAGGTCATTCTTGTCGAGCGGGACATTGACAGCTGGCATAAAAGCTTCAAAAACACCGTGGCGACCATCGCGTTCCGCCGCGGCCTCGTCGACCGATTCGTGAACTTTGTCCTCCCTGAAATTGCGCGCCAAAGACGGACTACCGACGACATGTTCGCCATCATCTTCAACGCCCGCTCCAGAGAGGAGGTGGTGGCCAACTCCCGCGACGTGTACCGGCGACACTATCAGGAAATTCGCGATGCTGCTCGGCCAGGGCAGATGCTGGAGTACAAGCTAGGCTCCGGGTGGGAGCCCCTTTGCAAGTTTCTGGACAGGCCGGTCCCGGATGTGCCGTTCCCGCGTGTGAATGACATGACGGCTTTTCAGAGAGGTTTGGCGATGCACCGAGTTGTCTTCTTCATGAGAGCGGTGGAGAAGCTGGCATTTGGACTTGTCGTAATCGCCGTCAGCAGATTCGCCTTGGTTTATCTGTACAGTAGCAGCGCTCCGAGATGATAGGGGTAGTCTGCGTGATTTTGTATTTTTAGGACCGGCATTGAGAGCAGCATGCATATTCCATCAGCGATTCATGCCATTGGGCACCAGTTCGTCCACCGCAGGCATTCGTCAAACGTCCCTCAGTCTCGTCATTGACTCCCGTCCTCCACGGCGGCCCACTGATCCACCACTACACCCTCACTCGCCTGCCCTCCCTTGCCCAACAACCTCGCCATATTCAACCTCACACTCCACCTCACATAAGGCGTCATAGCCCTTCTCCCCTCACCTCCCGCCCCCTCAGCAACCCTCAAAAACCCCCCTCCGGGCGCCGAAATATCTGAACGCCCCGCGCCGCCGGTCCCAAAGTGGTGGCTGAACAGCGGCGGCTGGACAGTGACGCACACCGGCCGTCCAGCACCATCACCACTAGTACCAGTATTATCATCATTTAGCAGGGGAAAAAGTCCATCGCACCAGTCCCCAAGCAGCAGATCCCACCCCTTGGTCAACCGCTCGGCCAGCCCAAACTGGTACAGCAGCTTTCGCGCCCCCTGCTGGCTGACCGCGTATGCCTGGGTGCATGTCGTCGCGTTGGAAAGGTGCACTACCCGAGTGTGAGGTGGATAGAGTGTTGCGAGCGGTTCCTGCAGCGCAAAGGGGTGCGGTTTGAGGTGTGCTGGTGGGGGCACGGTTGGGTCTGAGGAGATCGTCACGACTAGGTTGTTGCTACTTCTAATATTGTTGTCCGCAACAGGGAGGGCCGAAGAAGGAAGGGATGTTCCGCAGTGTCCCAGCCAGAGCACGTCCCATGCGTCGCCGTAGGGGGTTAGTTTGGGGCTGGGAATGGGATAATGGCTGTGCAGGTGGGTTAGGGGTATGGATGGGGGGATGGGACGCCCAGGGCTGCTGCTGCTGCTGGGGGGGTTGATGATGTTGGGCTGGGAGGAGAGAGGTCTGCCATTGTTGTGGCGAAGAGGCTGGGTGAACGCCCTGGCGGCGAGGGCGAAGAGTTGGAGTTGAGATTTGAGGCGGAGGTCCCAGTCGGCGTCGTCCTCGAGGATGAGCGCGCTCGTCAGGTTCGCCTGGATTACCCTGTGCGAGCGTGAACGTAAGCAAAAGAATGCGGATGGATGAGATGGGTGTGGGCAAAGCCTACCGCTGCAGTACGTTCATGTGCGCTCGCCATGAACCCTTGTTCCCAGCCCCAATCGGGGCGCTGCCCCCTGGTAGCACCTTGTCAGGGACATCGGAGCCGGCGACACCATCTACCCAGGTAATGTCAAGACCGGTGACTGCGCTAGCTAGTGTCATGGCATCCCGGCGATCTGTGCGGGAAGCCAGGTTGATAACAAAGATGGACTGGAACTGTGGTGCAGGAGTTAGAACTTGCCCTTTGTATGTACGCAGTAGAAACGCACCCCAAGAGTGGCATTCAGGATATCTGGTGATGCCTTGCCAGATGTTGCCAGATAGTGCCTAGGAGAGGTCGGTCGGAGGCTCAGTCGACCAAATAGAATCCAGGAGGCTATGAAGAAGAGGACGAGGGCTGCCACATTTCGTAGACGGAGTAACATGACGGGAACATTGAAACTATGCTACACAGTTCACAGGTTGAGATAGCTCAAGGGCTATGTCTTTGGCCGGCTGCTGATGGTTTGACCGGAAGGGTGACGTGTAAGCAAGGGGAGCTTGCTGGTGTGGGTAAATGCGGGTAAAAGGGGTTGGATGATCATGGAGCTGAAGAAAAGCACTGAAGAACCCGGTGTTTATTGTAGCTTGTTGGAGGGTTGAAAGAGGGAAAAGAACCAAGCCCCAGTGCCCAGCTTTGGCTCCAATAAATACAGGTTGTTCCCTGGTTCCTCCTTCCCACTCAACAGAGCCTTTGGGTCTTTAGAACCCCTCTGATGTGTGCACCTGTCTGATCTGGTTTACAAAGTTCAACAAGGAGCATAGGCCTGTCTTCCCAAATACAGGTTTGAGTCAAGCAAAAACAAATTCTCGATATCTCTAGGAAGAAAGACACCAGAAACTCACTGGTCGAAGGAGAACCTACATGCAATCGCTGGTTATCTCGAAATAGTATCATGCTATGAGTATCCTGTTACGCAAAAGACAGTATCGGACATCATAAATCTCCTCGAGCTCGAGCACTTACCTTCAGAAAGAGCAGCCAGGGATTGTATCCATGATAACCCTGAATATTAACATGTCTAGAACATGAGGGTCTGGAGGTGAAGCTGCACCATCCATCACAGATGATACTCAAACGCTCGGGTCTTCTCGCTAAAGCCAGTTTTTAGTATGTACTATTGGTCACTAAGTCAATTCAATAATAGGTTTGTTCAGTATTGTTAAGCTCCATGTAATTGGTTAAGTCCGAAGTCTATTCAGATATTAGTACTTACACTGCAGCAGTTCTCCTGCTGATCATCCACGATCCTGATCTGTTCAGGGGCTGTCAGGCCAAAAGTAGTTTCCCGGGTGTCTCCGCGGTCCCCCCGGGATCCGGCTCAAGTGAGCGGGTCAATCTCGAAGGACGACTTTGACAAGGATGCCATAGAACTCGTCTGTGGTATCAGACAACTCGGCATACTTACGTTTTCTTCCCGCTAGGGGAGCAGTATTGTATCCATTGGCCGCGGTATTCTTCGGGCTGGCTGGTTGGGCTGGCTGGTTTGGCAGCAGCTGAGGCCTGTGGCTCTTCGTGTCCAATGCTGGCTGCTACAGGGGCAGCGCTGCCAGGTTTGGCTTCGCCCTCAGGCGAGCCGAAAGTCGAGGAAGTGTGGGCTGGCCCGGGCTCGGCCATGGTTGTCGTGATCGCGTGGAGTACCTACCTATGCTTGGGTCAGTATTGATAGGATGTGACGAGATGGGAGAAGTCCAGTAGATTGGAAGAAGACGGGATCCTGATGTGCACTTATAAGTAGGAGCAAAGTTACCCTCCCCTGTTCTAGGTTGAAAATAACCTAGATCTTCTATAACAACTGTTCTGTGCGTAATTGTGAGGACCACGGAGATGTTTGGTAACCTACCTAAGCAATGGGCTTTTCAGGCTGTTCTAAACCTCTGGTAAGGGTTGTTTTCAGACAACCTGACTGGTACTGTACAATGCCCCCGGCGGGAGTGTATCAACACTATGACGGCAAATAAGGACGTTGATCATATGCTATACTGCCTAAGCTGAACATCCACGGAAGCGAACGAGGTGCCGATTCGGTATTGGCCTAGTCGGTTGTCCACTGCATTTGACTTCGGTCATTCGGGATACCTGTGTTAAGACTTGTCTTGATCGTGGTATGTAAACCAGCGAGCCATCACGGGTAGCCGTGGGATCGCTTTGGAACGAGTACCACTTCCATTGCCGTTGACCGGTGCCCAGACCCTGGAGACGTCGAGAGAACAAAATCCGTCTGTGCCGTTGGCGAGGAAGGAAGCGACGTTGGTACCCGGGGCCGCCAACCTTGACCGGCTTCGTGCATGGTTCGCATCGTCCCACTTCCCGTCCATAACGCGATTTCTTTCATGATCTCATCGGTGTGTGCAGTTATGCTAACAGTCCTGAGTCGTGTCGGTTGATCCGTTGGATCGTCAGTTGCTGTCATTCACAGCCGTTCCAATCGACACAAAGCTGTTTGCTTGTAGGATATTTGAGCCATAAATGGGCGCATGCAGTTGCCTCATTCAAGGCCCCGGCCCCTTGGTTGGAGCTGGTATTGTATCTGTTGTACATACACGTACTGTACACACATAGCACACCAAGCCCTGGTTGCCATCAGCCTGAGCGCTCCTATGACGAGACCTCATCGTCATCATCATGCAGCACGAGTTTTTGTTTGCCTTAACGCGTTTGCGAAGGCATCGACAGCTCTATGAATCCCAACGAGGTCAACCAGGAATTCCCAACGTCTGAGGCCAAGGGCTGGGCAAGCTTACAAGACTCGTCTCGTCTTGCCTGTAACATAGCCAAACAATTACAACCAGATCCCTTGTGAAGCCAACGACGGGCTTCTGGTGCCCGTGCAAAAAAGTTGTTTGAAACGGGATGCGTAAGGGCCGAGGGACTGAGACTTGGGAAATGGCTTTCCGGAAACACGCTATAGAAACACTCCGTCGGATCGGTGACAGTATTTTGGAACGGCAAAATCCTTGTCTTTAGGTGTTGCAGTAACTAAAAGACAATCAGTGAAGTTCTTAATCCAAACATAGTTCAACGGTCGATCCTCAAAGTACGGCCAAACTTGCAGCGCGCAACGCTGGTTCGTTCGTGAGAAATCACATCGTGGTGACATTTGAGAACTGTTACCAAAATAGTTAGTGAGAAAGGCACAGGCTCGACAGGCTCCTGCCAATTGATCCAATCTGAGATGCGTTGCAGTTCCACCCAGTACTATCAGCAACCGCAACCTCAAGAAAAGGGGTCATACCGGGGAGGATAAGAGAACTGAAAGATGATCTCTGTCGGTTCCAACGGATTGACTTAGAAGGACAAAGAGATAGCCAATCGACATCGTAATGTTATTACTGACTCTGCGCCACAACATGAGAATTGCAGAGAAGGAGTCGTTGCTAAAGTATCTCACGCCACACCTCAGTTTAGGTCCTCACAGTTTTACAACACACTGTGCTGTTTGTGCGGCCCCTGAAGCCTCGCAATTTCTCCTGGTTTTACGAATACTCCGTAGCTGCTCTTGGAAGGGAAGGAGATTTTGGACACTGAGCCAAGGGGAACATCGCATTGCTCTGATCAACTCACGGCTCTGTCCGGTTATCGGTCCATTTTTGGGACTGGATACTTAATGCGAGATTCGGTGGCAGACGAGTCTGTCGCGATATCCCTATCTTGGTGACAACTGAAGCATATGGCACAGCATGCAGAACGCCGCATCGCAGCACCGCTTCCTGCCATGACTGACTCGACGTAGCAACACAAAAAAGGCATCAGAAGCCAAGACCAAGCCCCCATTCAATTCCTTTGCCCCTTTTCGCATCTTCCCAAACCAACAACAGCCAATTGACTTCGAGCTGATACCGAGCTGGTTGCAGTGTGACCCGATTGCTTTCAACTCTGCTGTAGGGAAGAGCCTGGTTGGGATGCCGCTCACAATTCTGTTCAATAAAAGCGACAACTACCAAAGCAGGCCATTCCCAACCCAGCACCGAGCACCAAACGACTGGAGAGTTCCTCTAGCGGCTGCTAGCTGGAGTCCAAGACGCATTGCAGGGCCGTCTTTTTCCTTGACGAGTGGGGAAATTATTGGGTAGAACGAGCGAATAGAGGAAAGGCTAGTGCTGCAGCGATTGAGCGCCGGCCAACGACAGGGCGAGAAACGATCATCACACGCACTCGGCTGATTGACCCTTTCCCTCTCCATGCGCCCGCGGTCACACCAATCCACATTCTGCATCGACTTCCAGTCCCCTGCGCTCTGCTGTGAGCCCTCGCGCCATCAGTGGTCTTCTCAATCCGGCTGGGTGCTCTGATAGAGCAATTGGAGCCGCTTCGGGGGCTGCCCTGCCCCAGCAATGTCCTCATCCCGACCAGCCGCCACACCGACGACCTCATCATTTCACACCACCGACGCGTTTTCCTCGTCGACGCCACCAAGGCCAACCGCCTTCATTGCTAACGAATACTCATCTCCATCGCCGCGAACTCGGCTCGGCAGCCGAGACCTGGCCAACCCCAACGCCGGGAGGAGTTACGGATACTACTACCACGACGCCCTCAACGGCACTTCCCCTGCGGGCCCGGCAGCGTTTTCACCAGCACACGAGGGACACCCCTCAGCCCCCGCCGCCAATCTCGCAGCATACGCACCCTTTTCACACCACGCACCCAATCCTCCTCGCACATCGTCGCTCCTCCCCCCAGCGAACATCTCGGTCGATCCGTCAGCCGCGTATACCCATACCCTCCTCCGCGATCCCTTTCTCGACCCTCGACCAGCTCCAAGGGTCCCCGATTCGCAAAAGGAAGTTGAGCCTACGCACAAGAGAGGCCATTCGCGATCAAGCAGTGCTGGCTTCAGCGATAGCCTCCGCAATCTCAACCGCTGGTCGGCCTCCACAGCTTCGAGTCGCGCTTCCAGCCTTGCCGCCTTCACTCGCCGCGTGAGTACCGAACTATTAGGCGCAGCCCTAGGATCGCCGGGCAAAAAGTTGCAGAGGAGCAGGCCTTCTACATCGGGCGGTTCTCCCCGACCACCGACTCAGTCGAGGACCCACAGCGAGTCACCGGCGCCATCAACCGTCCCACCGCTACAGAGCTTACCCCTGATCTCCACCGGCCCGTCACTGCAAGAAGAGGTCATTGAATCTAATGTATTAGGGCACGGCGTGCAGACCGAGCAGCGCGAGCTTGCTCAACAACCGAGTAGAGACACGACTTTGTTTTGGGATGGTGCAATACAGGGTGCACAATTGGAGCTGGGATCGTCGTCCTCGCAGCCTCGTCTCAGTGAATCACCGCGCCCGGCCGAGACAGTCGCTACATACTCTACAATGCCCTCCGCTCGAAACGACTCAACCGCGGGCCACTCGCGCAGCCGGTCAATTGAGCCCAATGGAGGTGCCGATACCACAACGGCTTCAAAACATCGAGACAGGGACCGCGACCGTGAGAGGGGCCATGATCGACCAGGCAAACCGCCCTCCCAGAAAGCAATGCTATCTAAAGCACTGCAAAAGGCAAACACGGCAGTTCAGTTAGATAATGCGCAAAACTTCGAGGGCGCCAGAAGAGCTTACGCGGAAGCATGCGCCGTCCTCCAACAGGTACTTTTGCGGACGTCGGGTGAGGAAGATCGTAGGAAACTTGAGGCCATCGTAAGTGATCTTGGCTGTCCCCTCGTCCTCGGTTGCAATGTTTCTCACGATATTCCCAAACAGCACGAGACGTACCTTCGGCGAGTTATGGAGCTCGATGAGCAACTGATTGATTTAGAACCAGAAGGCAAAGAACTTCCTCAGCGCCCAGAAAGCCATGAGCTTCAAGATGGAGTATCAGGAGAGGCGATGGATCAGGAATATTCGCCCCGCTATACGGGTGCAAGGGAAACGATTCAAGCCGGGGATTATGATACACGGCACCCTGCCCTCGCCGCTCAGGCTTCAGGGCCAAGCCGTTCTCCCGTCCCCCGAGGTTCGCGGAATACGTCACGAGACCTAAGAGAAGGGTCTACATCCTATCTAACTGAGCAGTACTCGCTTCAATCCGCCTTTTCCAGGGCGAGATACAACAATGGCTCGACGCTTCGACCTCCCATGGATGATGCTTACATGCCGCCGCCGTTGTCTCCCAGGAGGCTCGTGTCCCCTACGCATCCACCTCCCCCACCGCCTCAGACTGAACGACCTGAGATGACTACCCGTACAAATTTACCTATGTCTGACGCTCGGCTAACTCCAGGCATGCCATCTTCGACTCACCAACGGGCAAACAGCCACGAATCCGTCTCGTGGCTCGACCCTATCGACGAGTCGGGAGGCTCCAGTGCTTCTTCGGTCCACTCACGCTCATCTTCGAGGATAAGGAGGAAGCATATACGAGCTCCAAGCGGAGCCACGGAAGCCGAGTTCGACGCGGCATTGGATGACGCCATCGAAGCCGCATATGATGATGGGTATGAGCCCGAAGCCCAGTACGTCGGGCCGCTTTACCAGGACGGTCACGGTAGTGGGATGACGGATACATTGCGACGGGTGGAGTTGGCTAGGGAACGAGTTCGCGAGTCTGAAAGGGAAGTACTTGAGCTGGCGCTCGAAAGGGAAAAGAGGTTGCGACTACAACAGCAACTTGAGGACGAGGAATACAGGAGACAAGAAGCGATAGGCGAGGACTTTTACGATGGGAATGACTCGGAGGAGGAAGAACGGTTGCTGGAAGAGATGACCAAGGGCCACGCCATTGAGGATTTTGCGTTCGGGGGACAACAAAGGAGGGCGCCAGTTCCGCGCGAATCAGACTCGAGCGGCACTACAAGCCGCACATGGCACAGTTCCACAGGGTCAAATCCGACGGCCACGACCCTTCTGACGCCCGTAAGTGAGGATAATATTCCTCCTTGTCCTTCTGGCCCACTGCCGGCATTGCCGATACATGCGGCCGCCCAACTACCAGCGCAGCCGCAGTCTGCGGGTTCTCAGAGCTCGAACCAGAGTGTGCGAAGCCGCCGACTATCCGGACAAAACCCAAAACAACTCAAAATTGAAACGACAAAGCTTACGGCAACCGCCCCCCCAGCTACGGCGGGATCCACCGCCCTTTCTCAACCAAAGGCAGGAGGGAGCTACATTGTGCAGCAGCGTCAAGCCTTGTCGGCCGGCCCAAACCGTACTGTTGGTCCATTTTCGTCAAGACCTGCTCCGTCTCCGGCACCGGTAGACGAGGACGAACCCGCAACGGCGCCGGTGGCCTTGGGGCACGACGAACAGACGCGTGCTGGTACGCCTTCGGTTGCACGCCCTAGTCTGAAGAAGAATTTTTCGTCCTCAAGCTTGAAGAGTCTCAGAACCCGGAACCCCTCAATTTCACACCTTGACGAATCCTCGGAACTATCTCCGGGCACCCCGTTGAGCAACCATTTTGGGATCGGTGGTCCATCTGCACGGCTTCCTGCCGTACCGTCCCTGCCGACGCCTCTGCCGACGGCAAAGGAGAGAGCCAACAGTACTGTCACCGGTGGGCCGCATTTATTTGAGAGCCAGTTTCATTCGCCCAACAGTCCGGGATTGCCTAACCCACAGGTTCCTGACGCTCCGGTTGCGCTCGAGCCTTGTCCAAACGACGTGATGCTGCGACCCTTCTGGCTGATGCGCTGCTTGTACCAGACGCTCTGCCACCCGCGCGGTGGTTACCTGAGCAACAAGTTGTTTGTTCCGAGAGACGTCTGGCGGGTCAAGGGCGTGAAGCTTAAAAATGTAGAGGATAAGATTGCGAACTGCGACCTCCTCACGGCCGCACTGCAGAAGCTGGCTATGGTGGACACGTGCGACGCCGACCTTGTCTTGGAGGAGATGCAATCGCTGGAAGGCGTGCTGGAGCAGGTACAAGCGGCCCTGTCGCGCAAACTCGGCAGTGAAGTCGGCGTCCAGGGTTCTAGCACAATGTTCAAGGATGCTAATGGGGTGGACGGCGAGGCAGCAGCCATGCCGAGGTCAGCGAGTGTCGCGGGCAAAGCCGGTGGATTCTCGTGGCGGCGGCTCCGTAGCAAGAACAGCTCGGCCAACTTGCCGGGCCTGGCATCGTCTTATGGCGGCAAGGGTGGCAGCGGAGCAAGTTCGGCAAACCTGCATGAAGGGTCCGGTAAGGATACGATGCTGGCGAGTCTGCCAATGACGAGCCATCCGACAAGCCGACCTCCAAAACGAGATGTGGGCAGCGTCTTGTTCACGGGGCCTAACGCGAACTACATGGCGTCGCTGGCAAAACTGTTTGACGCAGCCCAGTCGATAGGTAAGCGGAGAGGTTGCAGCCGTGTTATGTCGGAGAAAAACTAACCAGGGCGCGTTGCAGACCAAATCGCCCGTCAGGTTGATGACCCCGGTCTACGCCACGCAGACAAGACGCAGGTCGGCCTCGAACTGTGCACGCGACATGCCGCCGAGTTCTTTGCGTTTTACATTTGCCGCTTCGCGCTCTCTGACCTTTCGTTGCTCCTGGACAAGTTTATCAAGCGAGGAAGCGAGTGGGTGCTAGCCTAGATGTCCTCTTAGCTCTCTACGGAGACTTGCGGTTTTTATCCCCCGAGCCTTGAATGCGACCGATAGGCCTGGACACGGGGATTGGGAGAAGAGGAGGGAGGCTAGGAACGTCATGGGAGGGAGACGATGTTAGATTTGGAGCTGGCGATAGATGCTAGCCGATGTAGAGTTGCGGCTTGACCGCTATATAATTGCATACATTCCCTGGAGGGTCTGCCAGTTGCCTGTGGATGAACAGGCCACGTAGAGGACATTACAATGCCGTCTACGGATATAGTGCAGGATTATGAGGGGGAATGGGAGGGAACGTTCAAAGTTGGATCACTTGTATGTATGTACATAACTCCCTCCGTGTATCTACCTCCGTCTCACCTGTAGGGTCATTTCTCTGTTGTCTAGGTTTACATCTAAGGTACTGACCGAGACCCTGTCCGTGCCCTGTATCTGGGCTCACTAGGCAAGTACCGGTATATACGAAAATGCAAGAAGTTCTCTGTAGATCGACTGATAAGATAAAGCACTCAACCCTGTCAGTGCAGCTGTTAAGCTCCGCTCTTGGCGTCCGGTGGGTCGGGGTCGGACTCTCTTTATATTCTTCGGTGCTCCAACAGTGCAACTCTCCTGACATCAATTCGATCGACATCTCGCGCTTCCGTATCTGCCCCTCTAGATTTCATGTCCTAGTACACGCAGTGCCAATTGATGCGTAGCGCGCCGAGTCTCGACTCGCGAATGCGACCATGGCTGTGGCAGCTGCGATTGACCCCGTCGGCAGCTTTTGGACTCGGACGAGCACGAGGTAGGCCGCGGTACTTGTCGAGCCCATCATGCTCATGCCTCAGATCACCGAAGGCTCCGGCGGCGGGCGCCAGTAACGTCAGGGCCGTATCCAGCCCACCATGTACTGGGACAACAATATCACGGCCGCAACGGCGCGCCTCCAGCACCACAGCCACAACCAGTGGCCTCCTCAAAGACGGGCCCGAACTGCGCCGGGCCGCCGAGATCGAGAAACGCATCGAGGCCATCCCCATCGACCGCTACCGCAACTTCTGCATCGTCGCCCACATCGACCACGGCAAAAGCACCCTGAGCGACCGCCTCCTCGAGCACACGGGCACCATCTCGCCCAGCGACGCCAACAAGCAGATCCTCGTAAGACAACCCCTTTCTCCCGTCCACCCCGCCCCCGCGTATAAACACAAGCCAAACCATGCTCAATTCCGGCTAACCGCACCATATGCGTGTACTGCCCGCTGCAGGACAAACTAGACGTTGAACGCGAGCGAGGCATCACGGTCAAAGCGCAGACGTGCACCATGATTTACCACTCACCGTCGCAAAAGCAGGACTACCTGCTGCATCTGGTCGACACACCCGGGCACGTCGACTTCCGGGCCGAGGTGACGCGGTCGTACGCGTCGTGCGGGGGTGCCCTGCTGCTCGTTGACGCGACCCAGGGCGTGCAGGCCCAGACCGTCGCCAACTTTTACCTCGCTTTTGCCCAGGGCTTGGCCCTTGTCCCGGTGGTCAACAAGATTGATTTGCCGACTGCGGATGTCGATCGGGCGCTGGGGCAGCTGGAAAGTGTGTTCGAGTTGGATACATCGGCGGCGGTCAAGGTTAGTGCCAAGACGGGGCAGGGTGTCGGGGAGATCCTGCCGAGGGTTATTGAGCGGATTCCGCCGCCTGAGGGGGATGTGAAGAAGCCGCTGAGGATGCTGCTTGTGGACTCGTGGTATGATACCTTTCGTGGGGTGGTTTTGTTGGTTAGGGTGTTTGATGGTGTTGTTAAGGCTGGGGATAAGCTCGTGAGCTTTGCGACGGGGAATGAGTACACGGTTGGAGAGGTTGGGATACAGTACCCGAACCAGGTCCCGCAGAGGTTGTTAAGGGCCGGGCAGGTGGGGTATATCTTCTTCAACCCGGGGATGAAGAGGATTCAGGACGCCAAGATTGGGGATACCTTTACCACGGTAGGCTCCGAGGACGTGGTGGAGCCCTATCCGGGGTTTGAGGAGCCCAAGCCCATGGTGTTTGTGGCTGCGTTCCCGACCGACCAGAGCGATCACGGCAAGCTGGCCGACAGCATCGGCCAACTTGTGCTTAACGACCGCAGCGTGACGATGCAGAAGGACTTTTCCGAAGCCCTCGGGGCCGGGTGGCGGCTGGGGTTTCTGGGGAGCTTGCATTGCTCCGTGTTTCAGGATCGCCTGAGGCAGGAGCACGGCGCCGATATCATCATCACGGAGCCCGCCGTGCCGGTCAAGATTGTGTGGAACAATGGCGAACCGGACACGCTCATCACGAACCCCGCCGATTTTCCCGACACTGAGGACATCCGGCTGCGCAAGGCCACCATCTACGAGCCGTTTGTCAGCGCTACGATTACCCTGCCCGACGAGTACCTCGGACGGGTGATTGAGATTTGCGAGACCGCCCGCGGGGTGCAGAAGAGCCTCGAGTACTTCAGCAGTACGCAAGTGATTCTGAAGTATGAGCTGCCCAGCGCCAGTTTGGTGGACGACCTGTTTGGCAAGCTCAAGGGCGCGACCAAGGGATACGCCACGCTGGACTATGAGGATGCCGGGTGGCGAGAGAGTCACCTGGTCAAGCTGAATCTGCTGGTAAACAAGGAGCCTGTGGATGCCATTTCTCGCATCGTTCACTCCAGCCAAGTGGAGCGGTTGGGGCGGCAGTGGGTGACCAAGTTCAAGGAACATGTGCAGAGGCAAATGTTTGGTACGCGGACCGCCCATCCTTACCCGCTCCCCACTCTTTGTCAGATGCTAACTACTTCTTCCCAGAGGTCATCATCCAGGCCGCCGTGGGCAAGCGCATTATTGCGCGCGAGACCATTAAGCCCTTCCGCAAGGATGTCCTTGCCAAGTTGCATGCTGCCGACGTCTCCCGACGGCGCAAGCTGCTCGAGAAACAAAAGGCTGGCCGCAAACGGTTGCAAGCCGTGGGCAATGTGGTCATTGAGCAGGAAGCGTTCCAGAAGTTCCTGGCCAAGTAGGTTCGGCGTTGAGCAACGCTGTGATCTCAGCGGCGGGTGTAGCATAAGTGCGTATAGGTACGCTCCCTGTACTGTACACTAGTGTACTGCATGAGTGGCGTTTTGATCTTGTCATAATGGATACACTTTCCCATTGTTGAAAGGAGTGGTCCAGTTTCATTTTCTGTTCTCCCACATGGCAAGGAGAATGCAAGTCGCATCCATCTTCCATATTTTGCACTGGGGCATTCGGCGGCTACTGGTACCGCTCAACAACTCTTCACTTGCACCTGCAGACGACGAAGAGGATGAGTTGATCTCTGTCCGCGCCCTCTCTGCCGTGTCCGCAACTGCTTCGTCTCTCGCTAGCCCAAGGCTTCTACAGGACCGCCCCAGCAAACCTGTTCACGTTACTCGCCGCGCGCCTTTCTCTGTGGAATTACCTGGAACTGGAAATCGTATCCTGCCCTACCATACCTCTTGACATCACCTCGGGATGGGTAAGATTGAGTTTGGTGCGGTTGGTTCCTGGGCCGTGACACAGAGAGATGGTGAACGATCTTAGGGAAAGCATACCGTACGCGCACTCGAGGAACCGCCAGTCTCTCCAACACTGCTTCCAGTCAGCTAGAGCGATTGCTCGAAGATCGATCCAACTGAACTGGACGTACTTGCGGAACGGAGAAGGAAACCGAAGGTTCTTGCCCCTTGCGTGATACTCATGTCAGAGTGGGAATGGCGTCAAGGGGCTCTTCGGTATATGACACTCGCTGTGCCTCCGCCTCAATAATGCGCACCAATGGCATTCCCTTGGCGGTTTTACAGCGGTGATTAATCTGCAGGCATTGCTCATCTTCATCGGAGAACCTGGTGACGCAGGGCACACTATATGGGATTATGGCAAAAAGGGGAACCCCCACAACGGCGCTCTTTTAACCGGACCGTCGACGGCGCGGCTAAAGATCAAATTGGAGAAGAAAAATGCCCGACGACTTGGAGTTGCACGGCGTCGTGGGGCCCCGCAATGCGGAGGTTTCTGGGGCACTTCTCTTCCTTCCCTGGCCCCAACTTCAACCTCCCAGCTGAATTGCGGTAGTATCGGCTCAAAGGGACGGCGGATCAGCAGGTACAGTGACGGAAAACACGGAAGGGCGCCCAGCGATTCTCCTGGAAGTGAGGAACGGCGGGTGAGCCGCTCGAATCGTATGGTGCCAGTGCAATATAGAGTAGCCGCTCAAATTATATGCCACCACTCAACATAGCGTAGCAGATTCTGCTTAGATGGAGTGGTAGACTTGTAGTATTACCTCGGAGGCAACTCTGCGCTCCCAGGGGTTAGGTATATATCTCCTCGCCCTCGCCCGTTCCCAGCAATCTGGTTAGTCGATAGCCTAGCACGACAAACACCGGCTTCTCCGCCAAACTTCTCATCGTTCTGAACTCGGACATCATCAAGATGAAGGCTAGTCTTGCGCTGCTTTTGGCGCCCTTGGTGTCGGCGGCACCCGCCCTTGACTCCCGCCAGGCTGCCCAGAGCGTCGACAAGCTGTTCAAGGCCAAGGGCAAGGCGTACTTCGGCACCTGCACCGACCAGGGAAGGCTCCAGGCCGGAAAGAACGCGGCCATCATCGAGGCCAACTTTGGCCAGGTGACGCCCGAGAACAGCATGAAGTGGGAGAGCTTGCAGAGAACCCGCGGCCAGTACACCTGGAGCCAGGCAGACTACCTCGTCAACTGGGCCACGGAGCGCAACAAGACCATCCGCGGCCACACCTTTGTCTGGCACTCACAGCTCGCCGGCTGGGTGAGCAATGTCCGAGACAGGACCCAGCTGACACAGGTCATTCAAGACCACATCACCACCGTCATGACACGGTACAAGGGCAAGATCCACGCTTGGGTAAGCGAGCGCCCTAATCTCCTTTTCAGGTTGCACGTGCGAAGTCGTCCATTCTTACCCCTTATGATCAGGACGTCATCAACGAGATGTTCAACGAGGACGGCAGCCTCCGCTCGAGCGTCTTCTCGCAGGTGCTCGGCGAGGACTTTGTGGGCATCGCCTTCCGGGCGGCGCGTGCGGCCGACCCGAGCGCCAAGCTCTTCATCAACGACTACAACCTCGACAGCCCGAACGCGGCCAAGGTGACGCGCGGCATGGTCGACCACGTCAAGAAGTGGCTGGCCGCCGGCATTCCCATTGACGGCATCGGTACGCAGGGCCATCTGCAGTCGGGCCAGGGCAACGGACTTGCGCAGGCCATCAAGACGCTTGCCGCTGCTGGCGTCGCCGAGGTCGCCGTCACGGAGCTCGACATCCAGAACAACAACCAAAACGACTACGTCGCCGTCACCCGTGGCTGCCTCGAGGAGCCCAAGTGTGTTGGCATCACCGTCTGGGGTGTCCGTGACAATGTGAGTCTCGTTTTTGCTGGTGGCGTGCTCTGGTCCAACCCGACAGGGTAGCTAACGTTGACATTCGCAGGACTCGTGGAGGCCCCAAGGCAACCCTCTTCTGTTCGACAGCAACTACAACCCCAAGGCCGCGTACAACGCCATTGTCCAACTTCTGTCGCAGTAGATGATGTTTGGATTGAGGGCTTGGTTGCGGGAAAATGCTTGTTGATGGCTGCTTCAGTTGTCGCCACCATGGACCAAGGTCACCCAAGGTCAAAACTCAAAGAAGGGGTTCTAGAACAGGTTCCAATCACAACCGCGCCTCCTGTAAGATTAGCGTCACTAAGAGCCCCGTAACAATAAATGGTGTCTTGCCTGTTGATCTGACATAAGCTGTCACGCACCGGTGCGGCTTGTGTGCTTAAGGAAGGTTATGATTGTTGATTCGACCTGGATTTGGATAAGACCACGAATCGCAGATGCAGATTTATTAAAGACGAGTAATGTGACTCTTTGTCAGCCAGCTCGAGGCTGACTAACGAGGATTATTTTTGTGCTGTTAGGTTCAACATACCCTGAAAGTACGTAGTACGGTTAACGTTGATGCAGCCATCAGCTAAGGTCGCTTGGGTCGCTGTTACAGTGGGCAGCTGAGGCAGGTGCCAGGCAGCCCAATTCCACAAGCGGTTATGTAGCATACGGACGTACCTTAGCTAGATATCCAGCAAAGCCACAGTTGCCGGACCTTTTCCTCCCTCATCAATCAATCAATCCATCAAGTTGTCAACTTTCAAGATCTTCAGTTTCGGCTGTGCGTTCGTGGACTATTCGTTACAGTCGCTCCTTCCTGTCGACCATACTGTATAGGTAGGTAGGCCAAGAACAGGCGTAGCATCAGGGACGGGACATGGGAAGAAGCCAGCACCTAAAGTCCCCCCCTTGTTTGTTCGTTAGCGTGGTACATGCGGTGGATCTGGACAAAAAAGGGAAAAGTGAGGTCCAGGTTGAAGATCCAGGGTGGATAAGTCGAAGGTTATGTAAGCCCGGAAAGAGTTCGTGGGCTAGATGCGCGTGGTTCGATTGGCCAAAGTTCCTGTATCTCTGGGTTGTGGTTGGGTGAAAAAAAATGGGGCAAGTTTTACGCTAACAAACAAACAATGGTTGAACTGTAAAATCTGACAAGCATTGAACCATCAGACACCGCCAATCCAGCCCGAGTGGGCGCTGGCCAATCGTGACTGCAGCTCAGCGCCTGACCCCCTGATGTTGAGCTTTGTTCCAACTTCCCAGCATCTCGGTCAGCATGCCGCCTGAGAATTACACCTTCTCACGTTTGCCCATGCTTTGAAGCAAAAGGCATATCAAATTCAGCCATGGGTGTAACTATGCCCTACATTAATAGCCAGGCCCTCGAACCTCAGCTGCCGACTGTCATGGATTTGACAATTCATGTTGTGCTTCGGACCAGAATCCAACTGCAAACCCACGACCATGGACAGTGGTCGTAGTCTTACGATGAGGCGCTGGATCGCTTTACCACGGGCGCCAAGAATCGTTACTCTGGAACCAAGGAATTGGACTTGCTACACGAGTTCTTGCGCGAGCGAGCCTCCCCGGAGGAAACGAAGCAGGCAGCAGAACTCCTGCAGACCGATGCCGGCAAAAATTATGGAGGCCGAAAGGTTGGCGATGTCGAGATTCCTGCGTCCTGGATAGCCAACATCATGAACAACATCAACAACTTTGTTGCCGCCGGTGACTTCGTTACCAAGAGCGCTCCCGAGAGTGTTGGTATGGCCTGGTACGCTGTTAAGCTCACCTTGACTGCGATCCACAGCAACTACGACCTCTACACTTTTTTCGGTTCTGGCTTGAGCGACATCAGCGAAATCATGATTCTCGTCCGCCACTACGACCAGCTGTACGACGAGCGGTCAGAGCCAAACTGGAAGCCCAGCCCCGTGGTTGAGAAGCTCTTCCAGGACGTGATTGGCGCGTACGAGGCCGTGCTGGACTTCTCCTTCGCCATCAAACGCCATCTCACTACTGGCGCCCTCACTCGCATCAAGCATGGCTTCAAGGACTTCTTTGGCATGTCCAAAGTCAAGTTCGAGGACAAGCTCAACACCGTCGCCGCCCTCAAGAAGAAAATCCTGGAGGAAAGCCAGGCCGCCTTTCAAGATAAGACTCTGACCCAATTGCAGGATGTGACAGCCCTCCTGGCTGGCATTGAAGGAACTGTCAGGCATCTCAGTGACCTCCAAGAAATCCAGCACAAACTTCGCGACGAGGCCAATGCGAAGTTCGATTTCATGCTGAAGGGATTCGACGACATCAAGGCCTCTACCAAGCGCAAGACGCAGTGGGACTACGCCGTTGGCGACTTCCAAGCGTTCCATGAGGCTCTTAGTCCTCTGGAAGGCTCCTTCAGCATCCTTGGCGACACCATCGACGCCATATACCCTGGGACCTGCCAGTGGGTCTTTGACGAAAGGGTGTATAGGGAGTGGGAGGACTCGGATAACAACGCAATGCTATGCGTTACCGGTCCCGAAGGTGAGCATCCCATATACCGTACCAGAACAGACGCTAATGACATTGTCCAGGATGCGGAAAGTCTTATATCGTGGCTGCCATCGCCGACCGTTTCACCCAGGACGCTGACTGCGACAAGGCCCTCTTCTGCGTGTCATGCAATGCATCAGCAGGGAGCAGTGCCGGACTCAGCAACAGCCAATCGTACACGTCAGACAGCATCTGCCGCACATTTTTGGCCCAACTGTACGAACTGGCGCCCCAAGGCGAGGAAAACGTTGGTCTGCTTGAGGCAATGTATTCAAAAAGGCCAAAGCAAAGAATCTTTCGTTACCCATCCATATGCGGGACGGCAACACTGGCTTGCCTGAATTCACCGATGGGTTTACTCGGCTTGCTAGCCTGCTCAAAAAAGACATTGTTCTCGTCCTCGATGGGTTAGACAAGAGCAGTGTTAACGATCGAGACCAAGAAACGCTTCTACGCAAGTTTCGAGGCCTCCTTGACGCCGTGTCCGAGATGGGCGGCTCGACATTTTGGTTGGTTGCGGATCGTCAACAAAGTTCTTCAATGATTTGGCCCTAGACTCGGGCACATACGTCGATGTGGGATTAGGATACTGGGATGATATGCAACTCGTCATCACAGACGCGCTCAAAGACATACCCGACTTGACAGCAGCCGAACAGCAGGAAGCGAAAGACGCGATACTTGCAAAGGCCAGCTCTAGCTTTCTGTACGTGTGGGACAGCAATTCCGTTCATGAGAGAGCCATTCCAGCGTCCGTTATCTAAGCGCCTGGAAGCCCTGCCAAACGGCACCAACGACGCTTATGCTAAAGCTCTGCGCAACATGAGCCCGAACTACATCGAACTTCTCCGAACCGCGGTGACCTGGTGTCTTCTATCTCCGGGTATCCCCTGGTGTCCCTGTGCTAGGGAGGTGATGGATGCTTTCCACGGAACTTATGACATTACCCCTGATCCGGATACCCTTAAAGAGGCGGGAGAAGAACCGGGTTTCCCGTCAATATCGCCTCTAGAGTTGGAGCAGCTTCGGACTACGACCGACCCGTTCTTGACCGTTTTCCGTGCCGGCGACCGGGATCATTGGGTCTTCGAAGCTGACCATCAAGCTGCTGTTGCATTCTTTTGCAAGGGGACTGAGACGCCTTGGGAGGAAGAGATTGAAGAACACCTCTGCGCTCGATGCAGGTCCTCAGCCACTGCGCCTAAGATTACCGTTGATCCCAAGCAGGGCCATCTTCAAATGGCACTGACTTGCTTGCGCCATCTAAACAACCCATTGTTCCAGAAAATGGCCGGTTATATCGCTATAGACAAGAAGGAAACCGAAACGGCCGCTTACAACACCGTCGACTTTGAGCCTTTCGACTCTGATGCCCGGGAAGAAACCCAATGTGGACGCCTGGAGACAAGCGACCCGGATTCCTAGACGACGAATCCGGAGCGGTTGGATTTGGACATTGACTACCTCACGCAGGATTCATTGGATGACGAGGATACCGCAGAATCACATAGCCTCCAACTGGAGAACGCCGCAAGCGGCTTTATTGACGAAAGCAACGACGAAGAAGGACGACGCCTGCGGTACGAGCTTCAGTATTGGCCGTATCACATTCGTGAAGCCGAGAAACTTTGGTCATCGGAAGAAAAAAAGACAAATAGCAACTGGTTGGCCTTGATGAAAGAGCTCGACAAGCTTGCGTTCGAGACTCCCAACATCTTTGCTGCCTGGCAGTTCAGGTTCCCGGCGCCAGGCAAACACACCGCATTCCGCCTACGGGACGGACCTCATAAGCCTCTGCATGTGGCCGCGTATTTGGGTCTCACCAGTTGGACGGAGCACCTGCTCGACCGGGGAGAGGATCTGAACGGTTTATCTGCGGGATTTAGCCCTTTGCAGACTGCGGCCTGCCGGGAGGACCGATTGAAACTTATAAAACTCCTCTTAAACAGGGGCGCCGACGTCAACGCGGAAAACGGCGCTGGCCGTAGTGCCTTCTACCTCTGGCTGGTCAACGGCGAGTGTAGCATTGACGGGGTGCAGTTGATGCTTGAACACAACGCAGATCCGCGAAAAAGCTGTCTGAAAGACCACTATTACGCCCTGCATTATTTCGCTACCAGAGGTGAAGATCCTGCGGTCCTTGACCTTCTTATTGCCCGTGGTGCCGATATCAACGCAACAGATCCGTCCGATCCATCAAAGCTTTCCCCTTTGCATGTCCTTCTTATGAGGCGAGAAGTCCCAGGGCCCCTATTGGAGGCTTTCATCAGACACAAAGCCGACATCAATGCTGAGAATGCCGCTTCGATACGACCGCTTCAGGCGGTTTGTACCTATGGTGAGGTCGAGCATCTCAAGATCCTTCTTAGCTCCGAGGTGCTAGAGATTGATGACTCTGATCTCGAGGGCACTACAGCCCTTCATGAAGCCGTTGCTTCTGACCACAGCGGTTGCGTGCGCGTGTTACTGGAGCACGGCGCTAACCCGGACGTTGCCAACATGCTTGGCCGAGGTGCTCTGCACATTGCCGCTAGGGACGGAACCACCGACTGCGTGCGTCTGCTTCTTGAGCACAGCAAGCAGGTAAATCATCTAGACAAGCACGGATGGTCGCCATTTTACTGCGCCTGCATCAGCAAGAACGAGGAGGCGGCCTCAGCCATTCTCGATGCTCTCATTGAGCATAACGTGCCTCTAGCAGATATCAACAAGCCGACGAGAAACGGACGAACAGCTCTCCGCCAAGCAGCAGACCACGGTTTTCACGGGGTTGTTGCCAAGCTCATCAAAATTTGCCGAAGAACGAAAGGACGAGGCTAGTTTGGCCATCAATGCCACCGACGCCAAAAAAATCCATGACTGCTCTTCATCGTGCAGCCATGCACGGTTACGCTGCCACCGTTCGCGCTTTGCTCGCCGCCAACCCCAAGCCCAATGTCAACCTCCTAGACTATCAGGAGCACACAGCGCTGGCCCTTGCCTACGAGCAGTGGGCCGTAACGAGACAGAAATCCTCGTACGAGGAAACCGTCTCCCTGCTCATCGATGCCGATCCGTCCGGGGCAGCCGCCGATGCCAATCTCGTGGCCGTCTGCGCCGCCAACGGCAGCACCAAGCTCCTCAAGCAGCTCGCCCACCTCGGTGCAGACCTTAGCCACCGGGACCGCTTTGGCTGGACACTCCTGGAACTAGCCCATCATTTCGCCCAGAAAGAGGCCGAATCGTTCCTCAAGCAGCAAGCGGCCTGGTCAAATCTCCTCCCCACAAAGTGGTCCACCAAGTTCCCGGCCACCACCCCAGTGGGCGCTTAGTCCGTCCTCCCAGACGGTCAAACACTGCTACACACCTCTGGCCGGCGCGTGTGCGTGTCGGCCGACAAGCCCCTGCCCGCTGGATTAGAGCGGTACTACTTTGAGGTGACACTGACCGAGATACCGGAGGGCGCCGCGCGGCGAGCGGCGCAGGCCAACACGCGGGCCGACAAACCCGAGTTTTCCGAGATTGCCGTCGGCTTCTGCACCCTCGGTGGCGCCGCCATTGCGTTTCCCGGCTGGTTTCCCTTCCAGGACAACCTCTCGGGCGCCGAGTCCTGGGCCTACCATGCCGATACAGGCAACTGCTACGAGAGCTGTACCGAGGTTGAGGAGGAAATCTTTGACGAGCTGCGGTACGGGGTTGGTGATACTGTCGGGGCAGGGGTCGACTTGGATAAGGGGGAGATTTGGTTCACGCGGAACGGGGTTGTTTTGGAGAAGAGGTTTAAAAGTGTCACGGGCAGGCTTTTCCCGGTTGTGGGACTGCATGATCCGGTGATGGTGGAGACTAATTTTGGGGGACATTGGGGAAGTTGAGCAGGGTAAGGAGGGGACGGTGGTCAGTGTTGTTGTACATTCCGTTCCTGAAGGGATGCATGCCGATGTAGTCGGGAAAAGAGGGGTACAGGTGACTAGTCAGGAGGTTCTGGTTGATGTTGAGGCGTGATTGGAAAGGGGTTGTGACTTGGAGTGCTGGTCACACTGCATCTAAGTGTATGCTTGAATCTAACACGTTTAGCTGCAGATTTGGCGTGAAACTGTTAGTGCCGCTTGCTAGGTTGCTAGGTGGCACTAAGACCCACTTGCTTCGCTCTTTGTCGCCATTAAACTTATGGTTGACGGTGTATGTACAGACGATGAAACTCGAGAGTTCCTGCTGGTATATTTCGAAGACTAGAGAACTGACCGAACGATCATACCACTTTGGCTTCAGTCAAGGAAGCCACTCAAGCCACGATGCTTTTGCCGTCTCCTCCGGATGGTAGTGAACCGTGTAGCCATAGATGGAGAAGAAGAGGAGTCTAAGAAACAAGTCAAATGCAAATACGCTCTCCCTCACTGAACACTCCGTACCCCGAGCAGAAAGACACAAGTGGTTCTGTGCGAATTCAGACGTAGAGAACCACCAAGCGACAAGAGGCATGCTACCGGTAGAAAGAAAGTAAAGTGTACTTGGCGTTTGTCCAAACAAGTAGCCAAGAACGGCCAAAGCAACCAGCCGCGGGACCGGAGCAAAGGGCCCTCGGATGTACTGCAGGTATGCAACAAAGTGCGCGAGCAACCTGTAGAAGCGGAACTGGTATCCTTTAAGGATATCTCGGTCCGGATGAATCGGCTTCAGGTCGACGCACGAGAAAACTGCTAGCTGCAGAAGGATGGCTAGATATCCGCTGTAGACCTCGCCGTGGTCGATCCATGAGTTGCCTGGCCCTGTGCTCCCGGCTTCCTCGGTTGCAATGCCTTCCTCTTCAACCGCACCGGCGCAGATAGTGACCATGTAATACGCGGTATAGCACCCAGCCCAGACCTTGGTCCACAGCAATCCATCGGTGGCGAAGAGCTTGACTGGTCCCCAAATTGTTCCGAGCAAGAATGCCAGGAGCCTCAGCACTAATGGGAAGAATGTCGGCCAGTTCCGGGACTCCTCGGGCGTTGGGGCAGAATTTTCGGGGTGAAAACTGTTTGACAAATCTCGAAATCTGCGCTTGATTGCAATGAACAGCTGCTCGAGGGAGGGGGGCTTGGTGCCGAGACGGTGTATGAGCCGGAGCAGCCTCCAGAATGCTGCAAACCCGCAAAGGACAGGTTGGCTGAGGATATAGACGCGCAGAGAAGAATGAAACCCCAGGATCTTCCCGGTAGTGCTCAAGTTTAGTACAGTGAGTGCTGATATTACCAAACTCAAGGAAGCACTTGCCGGGTGGAGCTCAGGGGAAGACATCTGGGCAGCCATCAATCAACTATGATCTCCAACAATAGGCTGCTGACTGAGGATTCGATTGCGTCGGGTGCAGCCGGGAAAGGATAAACTGCAATCTGTCCTCCTGCAGACCTGAGACAGATGATCAGCTCCTTGACACGTGATCTTACTGGATGGAAGTCTATAACTCCCTCCCCTTTTTGTTCAGCTGAATGGCAGTCAAGCCGGCATGGCGTGAGAGAGGGGCTTTACGGGTGTGCCAGACATATGCATGGAAGCCATTTATCAATGTACCAAAAAACTCTAGTCCAGCCATTTCATATCGGCACCCTGGATATCCTCCTGCCTACCACCTGACCTGCTGTTCTCCCCAGCTGCTCCATTATCAATCCACTCACATTCTGCGTCATCTTGCCAGAGAGGTTGCAACAGCATTATAAGAACAACGGCAATCATGAACAACATGATTACTGGGAACGCCCCAAGAATGGCTGCTATCCACCACCACTTTGTGACGTCAAAGTGCTCCTTCTTGCGATAAAACTCGGCTTCTTCAAAGTCAAGGTAGCCGCTAAACCCGGCTCGGCATATGCAGTTCTTCAGCACTCCGCTGAACTGAAATCGGAGAATGAGATTGAGTCAGCACTCAACAACACCAAACGCGGGCTACAAGGAAAAATGAGCGAAGACGACTGACCGAGGCAAACGTTGTGAAGGTCAAGCAAAGGGTAGCCAAAAGGCACAAGCCATAACCAAAGACCTTAGCCCAGAACCCCTGTCGTCGAAACCAGGGAAACAAATGAAGGACCCATGTGCCGGTGGTTAGGAGCGCATAGATGATGTACAACCCCGAACGGCATCCAACCCCGACTGTGGGAACGGTACTCGACATCATCACAGCCATGCCAATCTCGAACAGCACGAGCAGCAGTGATATCACAGACAGGAACCACCATGACGCTGGCGGACGATGCTCGTGTGGTGGGAAAAGAAACTTGAACTCAGTCCGAGTCATGTTGCGGTTGTTGATGAGACGCCAAAGATTTTCCCCTGATTTGTCTCTGACGGCGGAGACGATTTCGTAGGTTAGGCCGTTGTAGCCTATCTCTCGCCCCTGGCCAATGAATCTACCTGGGATACAGTCCCAGTTAGTAGGTGGACTCCGAGTTTGTTGGCTACAAGCCAGAGAGGTTTCTTGACCATGAACCTCATCCAGTATGGCCTGGGGATATTTCTGAGCGGTTTGCCTGCGGTCTGGGAAGCTCTTGGGATTCTGATGGCGTTCGGATTTGGCCTGAGGTTTCTTCCTTTTGGCTGGGGACCACCAGTTCGGGGTTTGCATCGTAAGGTCGTTCTCCCAGGCCTTGACAGCCCTGCCGTTCCACATCCAGCGGAAGATGAGTGTCCTGCACATCGTCAACCCGTTGGACTTCCACAAGGTAATAACGCCAAACAAGCCTCTGTTAAAACTCACCTGGTTCGCTCGGCGGAGTTGGGATTCCGATCCAGAATAGCAAACAAGACCAGCAGTGGGAGCCAGCTGATCAGTATCCCATACGCCAGAGAGTGCGTTGTTGTCCGGTCACCCATGTCATTGCTAAAGGCCAACGCAACTGAGACTCCGTATGCAACGAAAAAGAGAATGATGCTCGCAAACGTCGGCCATACGCCACGGCGCCGTGATGCCCTCATTTGTCGTGCCATGGCGCGAAGCAGTTCTGTTGTCCATGCCTCCGCCGTGCGTCTCCGTTCGTCTGTGTCATGCTCTTCACCAACTGGTTTGCAGAGGGGCCTGAAGAGGCTATAGAGGAGCCCATCCAGGAAGCAATCTGTGTCCTCAGGCAACTGATACTGCCCTATGCAGCACAGCACGTAGTACGCGTCCCGTTTCAGTTCTCTTCGAGTGGTGTATTGTTCTTCAGCATCTGTCTCGGGCTGTTTGGCAGCGACGAGACACATCCGCATCTGCTCAATGTTGAAAAAGACCGCCGTGAGCGCTGTCTGCGGTGAACCGAGCCAGTTCAGCAGGTGGCCACTTATCCGTAGTATCTTAGCCCACGTCTCTTTCAACCTGGTTGTCTTGCTCTCACTCCCATCAGACGATTCGTAAGGAAGTACGGCAAGAAGTGCGATAATTGGTATGACCCAGTTTGACACAATGCTCAATGTCAGACTTATATCCGTTACCCAGTAGTAATCCGGGTCATTGAGTCCGCAGAGAGCCTGGCAGCCTTCGGTTTCAACTCGGCACGTTAGTCAACGGATACAATATGGCCCTCAGTGAACAGACCTTCTCTGGTGATTGTGAGCAATTTCGGACGAGGAAAGTCGGGGTTTATCCCGGCAACCGGGCCATGGTAGATGTACCCGTATTCCTCGATCGTCTCGTTGTTGATGGGTCCATGAGTTTCGGTGCCATTCAATATCCGCTCAACATGGATCTTGCACTGGTCGAATGAGTTGACTTGCCCGGAAACCCGTCCCAAGAGACAAAATGAAACCACGAATGCAATGGAGCTCCGCATCTTTGCATCCTGGGTGAAGTCCTTCTAAGACGAACTTTCAAAAACCAAGAAAAGAGTTGCAGCAGCCTGAGATACTTAACTACCTCACTAAGAGGGATTTGAACATGCTTCGAAGAGTCCCATGACAATATTTCGTCGTGCTAGCCAACACTGGAAGGGCGGCCTCAACGCCACTTCAGCCACATACCAAATCTGATCTTTCAGCTTTTCCTCTCCCATCAGAGAAAAGCCCTCTTCTTGACAGAAAGTACTGAGCAGCGGCCAATGGAATCAGGAACAACCTACCAAGTTTGAGTAAGCAGTCAAGGAGGAGAAGGGCAAAGAAATCATGAATGAAACAATGCATGTAAGTAAGAGCCATGACACAACTGTGCTGCGTACTACGCAGTGCGTAGAAGAACATGAAAATGGAACCAACCTGATGGATACTAGTACTCTTCGAGATCGGTTCAGTTTTTCAGCTGAAGTGGTGGCAATGCTCAGCCCGCCGTCACAACCCCTTGCCAAGAATTGGCTACATACCAGTGGTAAACTTGGGGGACAATCGTGGGAAGGTTGGTGTGGGAGTAACCAAATTGACGAAAATCAAGCAAAAGATTGTTAAAAATGGTCACAAATGAGGTATAGGTCTTAGAAAGCGGCAGGGATCAATGGAAATACGGAACATATGCCTTCTAGCCAAGGAAGAATGATGATGGAAAGAGAAAAGGAACATGACCAGTAGAACTGGACACGTAAAAGTAGAGGAATGATAGAATGAAAGGTAGAAAAGCAGGATACAAGCCTAAAGATCATCCACCTTTCCGTTCCACCCTTAGTATCCCAGTAAAGCATCCAGAAACACCAACCTCACTGCGCAATTCCTACGCCCCCTGGACTAAGCACAACCAGACCTTCTCCTTCCCCGCCCCTTTCCTCAACCACGTTCCTGGCCTCATCCAAGACCCGCCATAGCACAATAGTCCCATCTTCACAGTCCATGTCACTCGTCCCCTCAAACGAAGCGCCTTCCGCTTCGGCAAGAACCACCCGACAAATCTCCAGGTAGCAGTCATCCCATTGCATACATGCGCCCTCTCGATCCGAGCCCTGCTGAGTTTGGCAGAAGTATTCCCACCAGTCTAGGACGAGCTCCAACCTGTCTGCTTGCGCAGAGCTAAGACCCTCCATGTCCACACTGGGTATTGTCTCGCTGAGCTCGCACGACCGCGAGACGATGTGCTTGTCACAGGCGGCGTGGGTTGGGAATGTGGCGCCACAAATTGGGCACCGGGGCCTGGCGCGGTGGTCGTGAATCAGATGGTCGACGACCGAGGCTGGCGTTGTAAATCCGTGCCTGTGGCAGTTGAATGCTGCCAATCGGTCGTGCAAAGTGTACGGGCAGGGATACGCAACTTGAAGGCGGAGACGATGGGTTTCGCAGGCAGATCCGGCATTCTCAATGATCGTGGTCCTGTCTGCCCAGTTGGGTGAAGCAAGTTTGACTTTACCGCTCACACTGGCATTCACGATCTCTTGGGGGTTCAAGTGGTTGGTTGAGGCTCGCGATACGGTTGTTGATTTGCTCCGGCGAAGGGAATGGCGTGGCCGGTTAGCTGGTCCTGAGGATGCTGACGATGAAGATGCTTTCCATGGTCTTCTGCGACTTCTCCAGGCACAAGGAGCGGACTGGGGATGTTCGTGAGAGGGTCTGACCCGGTGGAACAGCGGCATTGCATCTATTTTCTGTCTCTCATCACGGCTAAGAGGGCCAATGTTTTCCTGGTGAGCGTCGTCTGTTCGATTTCGAGTTTGTCCTTCAAAATGTCTCCCCATGTCCTAGAGGGGTTGTTGCCGCTGAAAACACCAAGAGTCCCCGACCCCAATCGTCAAACAGTTAGTATCGTTCTTGGATGCAACTTCCTGAGTGACACATGATGCATGGAGTGGCCAAGATAGGTGTTATCATGTCCTGGTGCCTGTAGCGCCGTAAGCTCTATCGTGTCGGGGGGCGAGGAGGAGGACCCGTAAGAGGAGGCATACCTGCGTGAGTGTGTAAAAGTCGTGGCCTCTGATTGCGGAAGGACCATGGCTTCAAATAATATCATGGTTAAGCCACCAATGCCTTCCTTAAGGCAACTTGGCGTCCCGATCATGCGTGTTGCGGGCTTTCTCATTGGTGCGCCGCGTCCACAACCAGTCCACAACTGCCTTAAAATGGGCACCCGCTGCGCACACATCCAGTCTGGTTCGCCTTCCATCCTCGCTGCTTCTTCGCTGCAGGCCAACGATGATTGGTCAAGCGATGCCGAGGCGTCATATCCGTACAACCGCCTCAATTGGAGTAATGGTTGCACAAACATACCTAGCAGAGGAAGGGGGGTCTCTGTCCGCATGTTCCGTCTCAATGACATTATAGTCGGGCACTAGCCAAATCTGCCATTATATAAACATAATGACACCGGCTAGGTACCATAATGTTGTCGTGAAGTTCAATCTGGCTAGTGCCGGACTATAATGTCATGAGACAGAACATGCGGACAGAGAACCCCCCTTCCTCTGCTAGGTATTTGAGTACCAACTACCAAGTACCGGTAGATGCCGGTCGTTTCACAATTCCGACGTTCCGTCCTGAACAAGATGTGTCCCCGTCTACTTGCTTTCCAGATAGGCACTGTACTGTACCTAGGTACGTACGGTGCCACCCTCCCCCCTTTTAAAAAACAAACCCAAAATGAAGCCAGAAGATCCTGTCCCTAAGAAGTGACCCCCTAAAGGAGAGATAATATTTGCGGAACAGCTATGAGTTCGAGCAACCATCACTGTCCATCACATTTGGATGTATCAGGACGAAGAGCCTCCATGTCGGAAGTGGCAGAAAACCCGTCTCGTGAGAAGTGCATGTGTAAATCTGCCATGGTCGCATACGCGACATTCATCGTTACAGGCTCCTTATCATGTCCCATCCCTGATGGTATCCCGACATCGTTATCGTGTAAGTGGATAAATACCAGGGCAGCGACCCCTTTGCCAAAGTCCCGGTATCCAGCATTGCTGTCGTCTATGTGAAAAACCAGATGAACAAAAAGAAAAGAAAAGAAAAGAAAAGAAAAGAAAAGAAAAGAAAAGAAAAGAAAAGAAAAGAAAAGAAAAGTGAAAGAAACGGGGATAATTGGGAAAAGGGGGAAACCACAAGGAGGTGAGATGGGTGAGGGGTGCGAGGGAACTTAAGCATTGGTGCCAGTGGTGTGATAGTGCAGCAAGGGAAACACGGGGATTGTCGTTGCTAGGTAAATTCTGCAACGGAGTTGTGAGACTGGATAGTATCTCCGTGGTGACATGACCTGCAAATACATAGGCACACCTTCAATGTCTGTCTCACGTGCTGGGGAAGGGAGAACATCCGACAATACCATCCGGCGGGACGAGTTCCTGGTCTGACCGGTCTTGCGTGGAATTGCCTAATCCAAGCTGAAAAGTACCCATCAAGGGGCCTTGCTTGCCAATGTCGAGAACGGTGGGGTGCTGAAGAGGTGACGGGATGGCGGCTTGAGCAAATAGAATGTCACTAAGAACACGTGAATCGTCCCCGAGAGAGCCGTCTGGGGGAGGCGTTGCTCCCAAAAGCGAATTGTAAGGTGAGCCCTCTTCTGCGCTGCTGGGCCGACGAGAAGTTCGATCAGCTTGAAGTTCCAGACCATATGAGGAGTCGGCAAAGCCGTTAGATTCGGATGCCGGAGCTTCCAGGACCGCCAAGGGCAGCGTGGCCATAGGTCGTGTGACTCTTCTCTGCGTCGTCCACTGCTGAAACTCGCTAATGAGGCGGACAAAGTGCTTGTGAAGCTCATCTGAGTTCGACAAATCGAATGAGTGGGCAAGACGCCACAAACAACCATCCGCAGCAAAAGACTGGATGTAGTTCAGGACTACCTGGGCCTCATCGAGACCTGAGTTATCCGACTCATCGCAGTGAGGTGACAGGGGAAGAGGCGCTTCTGGGCCGAACAGGAGTCGGTACCTCCCGTACCACCGTCTCTCGTAGATAGTTGCAGCACCGTCTGCCTCAATTTCTTTCGCCTTGCTCAGTGCATCCATCACGTCCCGGCTTACGCCGGGGTAGTCGAAGTCACCACTGCCCTGACACTCTCGGGACACAATGTGGGCGTTCCGACGCCTGTCGATGTTTTCCCCTTCAAAGACCTCGCCGCATGTGGGACAGAATATTGGTTGTTGATGGTGCCGCCTGAGGTGGTTTGTGAGATCAGCGAGTCGATTGGGTCGAAACTGACATCTCCGACATTCTGGGTATCGCAATGGATCCCGTTTATAGAAGTAGCACGCCAACCGCTGCTCGACACCACTTGTCGTACTGATCCCCACCTGTTTGGCTCCTCGAGGCGCGGTCGAGTATGGTGAATGCCGCAACTTTCTTGGTCTAAGGGTGTTGGCTCGGATCATCGCACGGGTGCTGCAAGTAGATCATCTACTTGCAGCATCTACTGCAGAAGAGGGGATTCCAAGTGAAGTATGGGGAGGCTCTGGACTCTGGTTGTTGGTATATCGGATGTAAATGCTCGCGTAAAATACCCTGAATGTGGTTAGTTATACCTGACGTGTTTGTCAGATTCACCATTCCTAGCTTTGTGGGAGGCGAACGCAGCTGCCGGAGTCGTTGGCTGAAGCCAACGACTCGGCTTCGCATTAAGCTCACATCTGTAGTTCAAGCCGCAATTTCTCCTTTGGAGTGGCTTAAGCGTGAAGGGTGCGTGACATTAGGTAACGGTGTGGGTTTGCACCCGCAGGTAATTCTGACGGTCGAAGCAGCAATGTAAGGTACCTTAGTAACATAAACATCAGTAACACCATTAACCTCGGCAGCGACCTCTGGTCGTGCAGGATACCGAGGGCAGGTAAACGGGACCTGGAATGGACGGGCACGCATTGTAGTATCTTCAGTACCACCTTGGTTCGTACTGGGTAAGACGAGAGAATTCACGGCAGGCCACCTCACAGAACGACTTCCCGTTTTGGGGGCTCACTCACGTCAGACAGGTACTTAAAGGTACTTACTTTGATGTACGATACGTACATACATGTACTGTATGTACACACAGTACCCGAGTAGCGGGTAGGTACTGCACTGTACCTTATTCAGGAAAGGCAGAGGTTTGCCGCGGCGTGCGTATGGTAGGAAAGCTCTGGCAATGTGACTCGTCAATAGAAACCGAGCTGTGCTATGCCAATTCCTTGTATTGGTGCCAAGGCGGCGAGCGAAGGATGGAGGAGAAGTGGGATGGTGTGGGTGCTTGCTTCAAGCGTGAGCAAGAGGACCTTGGAAAGCAGGCGCAATCAGTAGTAATAAATACCGGGGTGTCTAATCTCATCGCACTCAACTGCAAATTTTCTAGCGGAAGAATGGGGGGGAGATTGAGGCAAGCCCCGGCGGGGGGGAAGGAAGTTGCAGCGTATGGCAAGCAGACAAGAAGTGCATTGAACAAGGTAAGGCATACGAGGTCCCACTTTTCCACTGGTGGTCTCTGGCCCTCTGGGTGCCTCGGGTGCGGGACTCCAAGGAAACCAATCGAATGGACGAATCGACAGGAACTGAAAAGTCAGTGGTTCGCGCACCATTATCGGGTACCATGGTACGGAATACTGTACGTTAACTGTCGAGGCTTGTCGGCCGTTGTTGCGCGAACCAGTCGACGAACCACCTGCTTGGTGGTTGCCTTGGCCTTGGGTGGTTGATTTTTGACGAATTACCGGTTGCCTAGGATGATTTTCGTTTGTTCGGCTCACTGCCATTATCGGTGGGCTATTTACTGTGTAACCACCAGTACTTAGCCAACACCACACAAAGCCCGAGAAATGACGGGATGCCAGTGTCCTTACTGCTAACAAGGGACGCATTGCCTCGCGCAAACCCTCGGGGTAGGGATACGTAGGGCTACGAACCTTACAGGTACTTGGGAATTCGGTAGACAGACTAAGCGCATCATCCTTAGCATCATTCTGTGCAGAATTCCATTGCAGTACCACGATGATCTGCTCGTGTAGATGCGTAGCGTCTGCAAATTCGATCGGAATGAATATCTTACATACTAAGATATTATGCTACTGTCTGCTAAGCCTGTATAATACCTACTGTCTTCTGATTTTGCTGCTTGCGTCAATTTGTGGGGCGTGTGGATGTGTGGTTAAGTACCCTATGGTACTTGGGTTAGGGTTAAGTATGGGTTAGGGCAACGTATAGATGAAAGCTATCCAACAAGTATATTATTATTCCTACCCCGCTATGCATATCTAACAGGCTCCTCGGACCCGCTCCAGCTATATCCAACAAGTATATACAACCGTTCATCATAAGTCAAGACCTCGCAGCAACCTGGAACTCATGTCAACATGCCGTAGGAGAGGATTCTGTGTGTTGGTCGTTTTCTTCTGTGCGCATAGAGTCTCCAGTTCCGACATAAGTTAGTAGTAGGGCTCGAGGTGAGTACGGACATGCTCAGCGAAGTGTTAGTGACAGCACACAGGTGTGTCAAGGAGGCCCATCCTTCCAGGTTCGCATCATGCTTGCAAAAAGTATTTAACTACGTGAAGGTAATTGACGAAGAATTCCACTTTCATCTTCATCATAATGTTTTCCCAGCATTTCATGTTCTTTCTGCGAGACACGACTTCGGTCAGTTGACGATAGCGTTTAAGAGTTGGCTCCGGATACAATACCGGGCCTGCCTCCTGAATCCGTGACCATGAGCGACACAATGACTTCCGCAAATAGTGGGCGCAGGTAGGTAACAGCCTATTCAAATATATTTTTCTTGCCGTTACAAGAATTGACTTTTCAAAATAGTGCGACTCCAGCCCCAGAAACCATGCGGTCTCTCAGACTAGCCATCTGGGGACAGGAGCCTTGTCCTCCCATCAACCACAGGCGCCTAGAGAACCAGCCTCAGGTACAGCTAAGAAGCTTCTCGGAGCAGAAAACGCTTGAAGCGCAAGCCGCGCTAGCTCGGTTCGACAAGCACTTCAAGGAACAACAACCAGATCACAAGTTGACAGATTGAGCCCGGCCTGAGATGCGCTTGGGGGATATATGAGGTCGATTGAGCCAAGTAAGGTGTTGCTGATGCCTTTGGAGCCTCAGAATATGGTGATTGTGTTTTGTTTTGTACGAAGGTGACTTAGACAGACACCTTAACAAGAATTTTGGCTTGTTGGAGTTCAGTGGGCACAACTTAAGGCAAAACAACTGCACGTACCTAGCGTACTGTACTGTACCTGGATAGTTCGCAGAAGCAGTTCCCGGTATCCTGGATTCCTGGGTTGCTCTGTGATGATTCGTTACTGGCCCCTGAACAGGCAGCACACTGGAGCGAGTCTTGTTACCTCGACTCGCAGCCCGCGTGGCTTCCAACCCCTTCACGCCACCTGTAAATCGGTGGAACTAGGTAGAACGACAACCGCCACGCCCCACCCAACACAAATCAGCGCATACACAACCTGCGTAAAGCGCTGCTTTAGTGGGATCCAGCTTGCCTTCTCCATGTTCGCGAATCACCCGCAAATCACCCAGCACGGCCAGTAGTCACTCCATGTGCGTGCGATCTCTGGCTTGCGTGAATAGCCCAGCCCGTACATGACACCAGTACACACTATTTGACGTGTAGAGCTACCTACCTACTTAGTAGCAGGTTAGTAAGGCATATGTACCGTGAAGTCTCCGCCCTCGCCATCTATCCGGAGCAGGACTCGCTCACATTTTATCAGACGGGCATCCGGTACACTCATGCGGGCGGTCATATCAAGATCACATCTTGGAGCCTGCGTTCATCAAAGGCCTCACCGTCCATGATCCCATGACAGTAGGCCTCTCCAATGAAAGCAAACGTTTTCACCCCGACGCTAGAGCCTCCTTTCCCATCGTGGTTCAGCGGCCGCAACACAAACGGAATCCTACCTCCACAAAAGACAACAACCACATCACCAGCTTGAAGTTCACCACCAGCTATTCCTACATGGCCGTTTCGGGTCAGGAACGGTCTCTTGTTGATTGCATACTTCAAGCTCTCTCGGTATTCTACGCCTAGCTCATTATCACGGTACTTCTCGCTCCACCTAAACTCGGCAAACCTTCGCTCCTGTTCCTCGTCAGGCAACGGCGTACACTCCAGGACGAGCTGCAGCGCCTCAACGGCCTGCCGATGGTAGAGCTCGACCTCGGGAGGGGCGCGGTTCATGATGCCATTTCTAATCCAGTATAGGTCGGCAATGGGAACGCGCCAGCGGGCCTCGGCCCTGAGCTCCCTGTTGCTCTGGTGATACATGTTGTGCACGGCCTCCTCTGGGGCTGTCGGCGTCGTCTTGGCCACGGAGATGTCGACGAAGGCTTTGATCTGGGCCAGGTAGCCCAGAATTGCGGCTGTGTCGAAATGCCCCGTCAGTCGCAGTGGCTCGCTTGGAGAGACGGCTTCGATGGCGTCGACGACAACGCCCCTGAGCCCGACTGCGCGCGGATCGGTGGGCTGTGGCACCACGGGCTCGACGGCGAGATGATGGGCGCCGCAGGCGGCAAACAGGTGCGGATCCGTCCTCTCTTGGACCGTATAGTAGGACCGTTGAAGGTTACCCCTCCAATCTGGGACCCAGGAGGGCAGGTGGTCCGCCAGTTCCGCCAGCTTGGGGAACTGTGCGAAGCAGAGCACGTCGATTCTCGCGCTGCCGCCCGGGTTGGTGAGCATCCGCCGCGCGGCGTCAACCAGGACGCGCGCCGTAGCCTCGACGCCCTCGGTGTAGTCCGGCTCGATCCCCAGCGTGTCGGCGTCCACGGCGAGGCCCAGGAGTGAATAGATCCTGTCGCGGTGGTGAGTGGCTTCGGTCTCGTGCTCCACGTACAGCCTCCTGAGCAGCGCGTGCAGCTGGTCTCCGTCGGCGTGCGGTTCTCCCCTGTTGAACCTTTGCCGCCGCTCCCGGGTGTTGAGTAGACGCTCAGTTGGCTGGCCGAGGATCCTATCCATTTGCTCTGACGAGACGCCCCGGCCTATGTATAGCTGCTTCCCGAAATGGGAGATGGAGTGCCTCTTGATGTGCACGGCGAGCCCGACGAGCTTGGGATCGACCCGGACGTGGCCGCAGACGAAAACGGTGTCGGCGCACAGGCAAAACTCCTGCACCACCCACGCCCGCCTGAAATACGGGCGACAGAACCACTTCCACATGCTATCGTCTACGATCAAAGGCAGGAACCGGTCCGCCGCCCGCCGCACCAGGTCCCCCATCCGCTCGGCCACGGGGTTCTCGGGCTCCCCCCGGCCCACGCCTGACATCAATTGGAACACCATGGCCACCCGCTCGCGTGTGTAGTACCGCTCTATCTCGAGGTCACGCGCCTCTTGTCCGATATCCCGCCACGCTTCCATCACGGCATCGGACCCGTCCGCCTCAGGGCCGAGACACACGATGACCTGGGACGCGGACGAGTAGACGCGCCCCATTAGGCCAACCTGGCTCTCCTTCTCGGCGTTGTCCTCTTGGTTGATGCAAATCTGGTCGATCCAGAGCGTCACGTCCTCGTCGGCATCCCTCAGGGCGACCAGCGCCGCGTGCAAGTTTTCGGTAAAGCCCAGCAGCAGCGATGCTGCTACAGACTCGCCGTCCGAGTGCTCGACCGCTGGTGCATGGTCTGGTTCACCATCATCGTCCGCGTTGTCGATGTCATCATCGGCGCGCGGCTCGGCCAAGACGGAGATGGTGTGTGTCTTGGCAGGGTCACCCCATACGTACGACAAGGCCTTGTACGGGTGCCGTGAACCGGAGGGACCCAGAGCCGACACGAAGATGCGACAGGCGAGCGGTGCGGAGGGGTTCCGAGCGTGGAGCAGCCTTAGGAGGCGGATCTCGGTTCTGGATTTGTCCAGGGGCGTGGATCTGTAGGTGAATGCTTGGATTCCATGGGCGTTGGTTGCGGACTTCATGGTGTTTCAGACCAGCTGTCCGGACTGGACTCAAATCTTGAGTAGAAAGAGGCGTGCGGTAGAAGGCGGATGCCCGGTGCGAGAGACGTGAGGTTCAGGTTGCTAACGGCTTCTCTTCATGGCCGACGACCGTGTATGGTGGCTTAGGCAGGGGGACGTCCAACCTGAGGAAAATCACCAAAGAATTGTAGGAGGAGGGTTGAAGGAGGGAGAAAGAGCCAAGCCCCGGTGCCCCAATAAAATCAGGTCTCTCCTGGGTTCCTCCTTCCCACTCAACGATAGCTGACGCCAGCCGTAAGCGCGCCAAGAGGACTCGCCCCCTCCCAGGGGAATGAATAGGAAAAGTGACCAAGACTATCTCGGAAGCTCAATGAGTGACTATCCGTCTACTTTATCCGATATCGGGCTTTTGGATTGCACAGGCGGATTGCATCTTGGATCATCATTCCGCTCAGACGGCAATTCGTTGCAGAGTCCTCGACTCCGTCACGGTTCAGTTCTTGGTGATGTGACAGCATCAGTCATCGCGTTTTGATACATAAAATACCAGAAACGTTATTATCACACAGTTACAGTAGTTTGACCTTTTGACGAAGGTACTCTACCTTATAAAGCCACTTGACCACATCTTGAAGTTTGGCCCGTTTTGCTTATGTCTTGTCCAAGGGGGAGGAAATCTGTCTTCACAGCCAACAGCCAGTGCTCTGGGCCTCGGGCCTCCGTTCACTCTCGTCACGTATTAGGACGGGGCAATGCTAGAAGGACTCTGGATAAAGAAACAGCAATACTTATCAAGACAAAGTAGGTATAATATTACTACCTAGTTTACATCCCAAAATTATTCGAAGCAGTGAACTTCAATACCCCATTCCTTAGCTTGGCTCAACAATCCTTTCGAGGGCAACCAACACCCAAGGGGGAGATAGATAAAACTAGTTCATGCAGATACATACTTACCTTGCTGACAAGCTGCTCAACTCCAATCACGCCTTCACCCTTTGCCCGCCTTGGTAATAAACCTGCCCCTGTTCCTGCGGCTGGGGCGAATAAACCGGAGCCGGCTGGCCATGATCCCAGTTCGTGGCCGAAAGCGAAGTGTACGGCGACGCCTGCCCACCCATTCCCGGATGCATAGGACTGTTATGTTGGTTTGGCCCGAGGTAGACGACCTGCTGGGGCCTTGAGTTTCTGATACTCGTCTCGACGCAAGCAATGACGAAGGTGACGAAATGAAGGATCCTGTATAACCCGTGTTAGCCCAGTCCACCCGCCAGTGTCCATTACCCCTGATCGTGACCCTTATGCACCCCCTTAACCCAACAAACAGAAAATGAGAAGGTATCACAACTCACGTCAACACAGCTCCCAACCCAACCAGCGCCTGGCCCTTGACCTGGATGTCATCGAGTATGTCATACGTCTCCCCGTAGTAGTAATCATCGTCATAATCCGAATAGTACGAGCCGCTCTGGTAGCTATCGACCACGGCATCCGCGACGGTCGTGAGCAGACCCAGGAGGGTCAACCCCGCCGTCCCGCCCACCAGGGCAAGCCACAGCAGCAGGTCGACGGCGACACAGGCGCCGGGGTGAATCCCCCTGTGCCCGCCGCGGGCCCAGATGCAGATTATCTCGGAGACGGCCCAGATTATGGAGACGCCGGCCTGTGCGAGTCAAAGGGTTAGTTACTTGGCGAGGTTATGAGCCGTGTCAGGGGTAAAGAACACTTGACGTGGTGGATGCTGACCTGGGGGATGATAATGATCAAGTTAAAAAAGGCATATAAGCCGGTCGAGGCAAGGGACGCGACGAGGCCAACGATGGCGATGGAGATGACAAACTGCAGGACGCGGAGGGCCAGCTTGCTGTAGTACATGCTCGGCGGGGAGACATGGGGAGGGGGTGGCTTGGCGGACATCTTGTCAACGATCGGACTTCTGTCTTGCAATTTTGAGACTTTTTTGACCCCGAGGTGAAGAGTGAGTCGGGTAACGAGCGTGGTGGGTTTGGTGACGGGACTGGAACGACTGGAGTGCTCGCTGCACTTTGGCCGTGCAGGTGCAAAGATACTAGTAGCCACTGAGACCGAGCAAGGAATTGAAATGCTCAACACCGGGCAAGTATGACTTATGAATGCTTGAGGAGATCGGCTTCTGAAATTAAGGGCACGACGGGGTTTCGCCCATTCAGCTGTGCTGCGGCTGAACCCACATTACGACCAAGGGCTTCATGCATGGCGGAGGGGCAGTTCAAGTCAAGGCCCAGTCCAAGGCGTATTCGGCCAGAGCCCTTTAACTCTGTGCTGTAGAGGGCTGTTTTGAAGGACAGGCATAGGCCAGCCGCGGAGCAACTGGCGTCCGGCGCACGACCTTCACCTGCACTCGGCGCTTCCATGCCGCTGAGTTGGAGGAAATAGCGGGTCACGACACCCATGAGTCTTAATATCGCAGCCACATCACACTTCGGCGCTTCTAGGCGACAGCCGCAGCTGTGCCAAGACCCTGTGAAGCACGTCCCGGTGCCCGGGCAACTTCAAAGGGGACGGAGCGGGAAAAGAATCCTAGAAAGCAGAAGAGGTCAATCAAAAACTTCATGTACATTCAGGGTTCAATCCTTTTGCACAAATTAAGTTCTCTTGGTCGATGCCTGACCTGGGATATTGGAGTGGAAGGGGAAAAGCGTGGTTGACCACAGCATTGACAAGTCTAGTACTTTCTAAATTGTATGTACTGTACATCTTGAATGCATATCGACACCAGACAAGGTGAGTCTACCATTCGACACCCCAAGTGTGATGTAACATGCAGTACCATACTCAGCCAAGAGAGCATCCCCCGGCAGGCTGAAGCAGAGAGGTCCAGCTTACAGCTTGCTAATGTCCATGACACTGAGCTGCACCTTGTTGGTAGTGCTGGGCGGCAGCTGGCCGGCGCCCATGATGAGCAGCTTGGTTGGGTCGTTGAGCACGCGCAGATGTCTCGTGTAGGCATTCTTCTCGGGTGTGGCAACCCTCTTCCAGGGCGTGCCGGCCTCAGCCAGGCCCGTGTTGACGTAAATATCGCCCGAGCTGTGCGCGCTGACAATGATGGTCCCGTTCTTGCCGCCCACGGGGCTCCAGACGACGTACGGCGAGCCCGTGGGGATGTAGCCGTCGGTGGTCTTGAGCGAGATGCCCGTGGCGGCGCCAAACTTCTCCGGGTTGGACACGACCTTGTAGTAGACCGGGAACTGGTACGAGGTGGTGATGGCCGGCCCGCCGCCGTACTCGTACGCCATGATGTACTTGCCGTTGGGCAGGCGGGCGACGGTGGGCATGCCCGGGCGGTCGGTGTAGGTCGGGTACGTGACGTCGTTGACGACTGGGCCCCAGGTCTTGAGGTCCTTGCTTGTCTGGTGGACCATCTTCTGGCCGTAGGTCGTGTTCTCCCGCTGGTCCGAGTAGTAGCAGATCATGGTGTTCTTGTACTTCATGAGGAACGGCTCCCAGACGGGCGTCAGGCCGTTGTTGGGGATGGCGACGCCGCCTGCTGCGATGTGCGACACAAACTTCCAGGTCACGCCCCGGTCGGTGGAGGCGTAGAGGTCGATCTGCGTGCTCGACAAGTCCGTGGGAATAGAGCTGCCAGCAAGCAAGACGGTGTCCTTGGGAAAGCCAGCAAAGGCTTCATCGAGGATGTACAGAAACGGCTGATACCGGAGTCCATAGCCCTGGGCCTGGTCTTGGACGCGCGAGATCTCTTTCCAGTTGTACCCACCGTCGGTAGACTTGTAAATGGGGAAGTACACCGGGGGAGGCTCAGGGCTATAGTTCTCCCATGTCGCCAGCAGCGTACCGTCTTTGAACTGGGCAGTGCGAGCGTACAGCACACGTGGATCCGTGTAATTGTCTGGAGGCGTGAAGACGACGCGTTGCGCAAAGGTCGCTGGCGCGTCTTGCTTCTTGGGCGCAGCCGAGACGAGAGGGAGAATAGTGAACAACACGGTCGACCACTTCATCTTGACGGATAGTGCGGAAGACGTGACAGCGGAGGCTCAAAGGACATGGTGGACGATGAAAGCTGGTGAGCATGCAGCTACTGGTAAATATAGAGAAATGTTTCGTGACGTCCACAAACCTCGGCCCTACCCGTTCCCGTTCCTGGAACCCGCCGGAACGGAACACAACTCTTTTGGATGTTGGAACTGGGATGAGTTCCACACTTTCTCCGGGGCCCCGCCATTGCCACGAGCACAACGCTCGACATTCATTTGCGCGGATATGGGGTGCTGGGGAAAATCTGGAGAAGATGTGGGGTAAGCGGGCTGACTGTCGATTTGTGGCAGTGCATCACCGAGACGGTAACGACAATACACCGAGGTTATGCGCCAAATGGTGGCTCTGGGGCCCCGAATGCTAGAGCTCAACTCCGCTCGCTGCTAACATCCATTGCCCGGTCCTCGTTGTTTCTCGTCATCCATGACACACCTGCTTCCTAACGTCTCTATGCTATGAAATTGTTTATTATTTGATTCATATGGTGTTTGTGGTTAGGTATGCCTCATGTCGCCGCCAAAGCTACGTAGCACGTATCATTGCCCCAAGGTAACTGTGGTTAGTGAGCGTAGCGTAGCCGTCGCTTACCATCGTAAGTGCAGTTCCGGCTCACCGTTAGTTCCGGCTCATCAAGCCACATAACCCACAAGTAATCTTAGACCTGTTTGGCCAATTGGTCCGCCAAGCCTTGGCTGTGGCTTACAGTGGGGCAGATGGCTGTGTGAGCCGGAACTGCACTTACGATGGTATCGCTTTAGCAGCTTCGGCAGTCGCGAGTCGCGACGCAGCTCATTTGTGGATTTTAGTGTTGTGGGGTTTCCTTGGCTTACATTATTCAAACCAGTGCCGAGCCCAGATTCCTGCTCGTTTTTCCTTCCACATCCGCTGACGGTTAACACATGATGAATACAGGTTACGTACCACCACCTCGCTTGCTCTGTGATTCCACGGGCTAGCCGAGGCGGCACGGAGCAAACGATCTGAAGAGGTTAGGGCACAGCCGAATCGCATTTCCTCCCCAGCGATGAAGTGGCTCGTCAGCATTGTTCACCAGCTCGCTAGTCCGGCCTCGCTTTATGACTGCCCCGAAGGAGCTTCGACTGCGTTCTCCGAGGATCCGACCCCGTCCGTCGGCAATAACTTACTTGCGAGAGGAGGATACCAGTATTCGTGGAGGTCAACATCGAAATGCTAGTTTCATTGTGATTTGCCAGTGCCAGGTCCTTGTACATGCCCACCACAGTGGGATGCTGGAACCACGTTACCCACGCCTCATATTATCAGCATTATCATTACTGCATGCTAACGCCCCATGGTCCAGTATTACCTTATTACGGACCATCAAATGGGCCAGCGTAAAGGAGATCACCAGGGTTTCCATTCACCTCCCCCCAGAGCGACCGAGCCTCGTGGTCGATTTCTCTCTTCACCACCTCGGCCTCACTCAACTCTTTCTCGGCACCTTCCCGCGCCAACCTAACTGTTCAATGTTAGCCACTAACAGTTTGATTGAGTAGAGTCAAACGGCAGTGGGACATAACTCCGACTTACCATGCAGATACACCGCCGTTCGCTTCCCGCTAAACAAGGCATGCGGCACGTTGGTGACGTTGTCCGAGTTGGCATCGCCAATGGCATATACTCCCGGAATATTGGTAACAAGCCCGGCGCTGGGATCAGCTGCAAGACGACCTCCATACAGGTGAACGCCCATCTGCTCGCCTACTTTGGACGTCTGCTCGCTGGGATAGCTGACCAGAAAGGCAGCCCTTTCGACGGGGTCACCCTCGCTGAAATCGACTCTGAAGAGATCGTACTCCGGATGCGTCGGCAGGCTGGGGTCTTCGGTACCGTCTGTTCCGTTCCTAAGCCGCGTGATGGCTGTGATGGTACGATTGTCGATTCTGACGCCGTGGATTTGCAAGTATCTCTCCCACTGGGGAGACTTCGCCTCTGTTATGTTCCGCATCTCTTCGGTATCTGTTCCGTTGACGAAGGCAATGATGTCACTGTTGAGCGTCACCATTTCGCGGACGGCAGCGGGGACGTTATCAAGACTACCGAGCAGCCCTAGCGACTGGTTCGCGTGCTCGTGGCCGTCACACCATGGACACCAGAAGATGCCTTTACCCCAGTTCTCCCGCAACCCGGGCGTGTCTGGCAAAAGATCCCGCAACCCCGTCGCAAGAACAATTTTGCGGGCCGTTACACGTCGCTGCTCGTTGGACACTGGGTCCGTGGAAGAGACGACGAAGAAACTGTTCTGGTCGTCACCTGGCACGATGTCTGTCACAGTACCGTTGGTCATGGTGACAGTCTCATAGTGCGATATCTGCTCGCGAGCAGCCCAGCGAAAGTAGGCCGGAGTGACACCTTGACCATACCGTCAACATGAGTTCATTGGCATATCCAAGCGGGGAGGTAAGGCAGGTACCATCAAACCCAACAACATCATGCATATGCCTAGTTGGTCCGTTGCGGTACTCTCCTGAGTCGATCAGGAGAACGTTTCGGCGCACTCGAGCAAGGCCGCTCAGAGCACTGAGTCCAGCGGGACCACCGCCCACAATCACAGCATCATAGTTGATTGGTATCTGCCGGGGAACAACAGCGCTGCTTGCCAGCGGAACAAGTGCTGCTGACACTAGGGCACTCAAGAAGCGCATCATGTTGGCGAAGTCAATCGTCACAGAAAGAGGGCGGGGAAAGTAAGTGAGACGGATGAAGCAACGAAGAGGAGCAGGATGGTACGCCCCTGACAGAAGCCATTCCTCGAGAGACCTTCAGCAATATATACCCATACGTAGGTAGAGCTAATGAGCATTCTGCCCGCTCTGCTGTGTAACTACGATGTTGGGTCCGTCAATGATCGACCACCCGACAGGGCAGATCGCAACGGGACTTTCCGCTGCATCTTTTGTGGGCACCAATGTTGACGTGGTGATCATCAGCTGATCGGCAACCTCAGAGACAGGCGGATGCTTTATATTGGCGAGCAATCCAGATTTGCCATCCGTCTGTCTTGCTTGGTCCTTGGTAGGCATACATACCTCTGAGACATGCTTTTTGCGGATGACACTACTCTGCCTATTATCAGCAGAGCGCGAAACATTTTGACGTTAAACCCTTACTAAGCAACTCAGGCTACGAAGATCGGTGATGACATTCGAGGTTTTCCTCGGCCCTTTTCCTTCCCGTCCTGGATCTGCCCACAACGATGGGATTTGACAGTCCTAATGGCAGTAGCGGCCCCAAGTACAGTACGATGTGCCACTCAAGCGGGCCGAGCCTGGCTTCTACTGTCCTTCTACACACTCCCCGGTCAGGAAACCAGCATTTAACCCAACTGCATGTCTCGATCTCAATACAACATGTAAGCGACGTGCTGTTTCAGTCCAATACCTGAATCTACCTGCCTACAACCCCATGCTCCGTTTGCGTATTGACATCATAAGCAAGCTCTTTTTCACGTCTTTCAGTCTGAGCCCGCTCCTACCACAATGTGTGCACTTCCATTCGTGGAAGAGCCCTGCGGGTTAGCTGTTAAAGAGTCATGGCTCACCGTGGCTCTTCCGGCCAGCACTGATAGGTCTTACATGTACATACGTTAGGGTGGGTTACTCTTTTCAAGCAAGCTAGGGTACTCCGTTAACAGAGGTCCTGATTCTAGGTCGGGTATAACCTGAAGCATCTCAGTGGCCGATCCAGTACTGTGACACCTGATCTTATCAACAAAGTAAAGAGGCTGCTACACCTTGGTAGTCCTGGCACTGGATGATGGACACGGGGGCACCATTGAAAAGACGGACCAACTCATTGGGAAAACCTATCAGGCAACGGCTAATGGCCATGCCTCGGTTGCAACGAGCAACTTAATCGACCCCTCCTGTTTTACCAGCTACTGGCCGCTAGATCAGTACTACGGATCATCATGCCCATATTATACGAAATATAAGGTACTACTTAATCAAGCCTTCGGCGGCATTGAAGCGTTCGCTTCTGCTACCTACCATACTTCACTGTGACACGGTACAAGTGCCAGATGGATCAGATTGTGCGACACTTCTGGTAGGCTTACCCCGCACGAACTTCCGCAAATCAGAGACTTAAGCCCGGTTGACAACAAGCCCGTTGCTCTTTTTCGCCCTTTCCAAGTCCCATCAGTTTCAGCACGGTCGCCGCTTCAATTCTACGACCCCTCCCGGATCCCCTCAAGAAACTACCTCCGTCCTCTTTCTTCTTTCTGAGGATGGAAGATCACCAGGAGGGATCAATAACCTGTCCGAGCGCACTGCCGCACAACCTGGTTCGTGACCATGTCACTCACTATCTTGGCTGCATTGATATCCGGGATCGGAAGGGATACTTCAACCTTTCACAATCCCACTGGCATGGATCGGTGGATGCACATCGAGAAGCAGAGCAGGCGAAAGAACAGATAAACTTCGAGTTACGATCGATACGAGAAACGCGGGAAGCAATTCTCAAGAACAATGACCAGTTTCATATTGTTCGGAATGTCGAAGAGAGCGGCAATACGTGGAGAAGCTCCCCGGAATACCACATGGGCATCCCCCAAGTACGGAGGTGGAAGTCCTTGTCTGGAGCGGGAAGAGGCAGCGTTAGCCATAAAGACACCAATAGGAACGATGACCCGACTCCCTATCCCGATTCATCCAACAACACTACGGATAGGGCACCACATGAAACGGTTAGCGACGCCGCCCACGGGTATGTCATGAGGCTTCCTAGACCAACAGAAGACCCCGATACACAATCCACTCTTCGCATATATGAACACAAACTATCAGTCCAGGATCTACTGAGCCGGAAGGATCCCTGGTCTATGGCTTTACCCTCTCAAGAATCTTCCAAGTACATTCGTTACTACCACCTACCTGCCAACAATATGGAGGTGAGGAGATTGATTCCCCGTTTCTCCTCTTGCAATGTACTACGTGCTAATCCAAGCACCGCACACGTGATATAACTATCAATGATGTGTAACTAACATTTGTGAACAATAACACCATGAAGTGGGTTGAGGTGAGAGCAATACTCTGAGTCATATCTCTGTTGTGGCACTTAGCTAATTTCTGGTCCGTTAAAAAACGTAAAGGAAGCAATAAGACGATATGCTGAGGGGCACCTTTCGCAACCTGGCCGTGAAGTTGAACCAAACGACCCTGCTCTTCTACAAGAGGTTTCAAGAATACTTCCACCCCATTTATGGCGCGGCCGTCAGCATCCAAAACGACACGACCTCCCTTTACGGCACCAATTACCAGTGTGTGTCCGGCTTGGAGATGTCGGTTCAAGATGGTCACCTTCAGCTCGATACATGATTTTGGTTAGCCTTCAGCTCAGGTCATCTGGTGATCTTAGCTCTCAGGCTTGCTGATGCCGTTCTTTCAGATGCCATACTTGCACTGGGACACAGTTCACCATCATAGGGCAATCTCGAATTTGATTGCAAATGTCACTCACGAATACCGTCGGGCTCGGCGCTATGAGGAAGAACGGGACAGAGAGCAGAGAAAACTTGCAGAATATCGCCGGCGAAACCCGGCGTCCTCGGGATCGTCAAGCCCAGCATCCCCAGCACGGTCAAACGCACGAGTCGATGTACCGACTACAGGTACCAGTGCCGGGAACCTTCGACAGTCACCCATCCGTTCATTCACCAGATTGGCAGCCATTAAGTTCCCACAATTCAAGAGCTTCAGGAAATTCTATTTCGATCAGTACGGCCGTTTGATTGTCTATAGTGCCCTGGGACAGTACTTGATCGATGCTGCTCGCCTTTTCACAGCCATGACCCTGTATCAGGACGCGACAATCATACGTCGTTATTTATTTGCGAACACCCCTATTCATCCGCGTCGCAGCCTTAATCAGGCAAAGTTCTGGACCACAGACCCTGCGAACGATGGGGACCGGGACCAGGTTGTTTGGAACGCAACGAGGCCTAACAATATACAGCCTCATGAACTTCCGGACGACCAGTCCAGCATCGCATCAAGTGTATCGCGGCTTATCATGGTTGACCAACTTTGGATGTGGATTCTAGACCCTAGCACCGTTGTCACAGCGTTCCCAACTCAGTATGGATATCGAAAGCACGAACTATCGGACACTCACTCGTCCCTACGTGCGAGACTTCATACAATGGGGATCCAACACAACCCAATCGCTTTCAGTTATCACCTTGCCCTGGTGATTATCGATGAATGTACAGATGCTCTCTTCGACCGTCTTTCGCCCCCAGCAGGTGAACCACAAGTCATTAGCATTTTCTCTGAGAAAGTTGACGACATTGTAAGTCAGACGGAAGTGGAAGTACAAAAAGATTCACCGATACTGATCTACTGCTAAAGAGAAAGAAGCACAATATGCTGCTGCACGAACTACTTCGGTGGTCGGAAAGTATAGCCGCCCTACAGTTGTCAGCTATTCGAGGCATCACCCCGAGGGAATTTCTGGAGCGCTGTCCGCTACCAGCAAGCATTACTGCTGAAGCAAATCTGCAGGTTGAGACCAATCACGTCATTGAAGAGCTCGAAAACCTAGTCCATATAACCCGAATGCAGGCCAAGACAGTGAGGACTTTCTGCAACCTTTTCTCTCAAAAGAAAGTGGAAGGGATTCGGGAATTGCAGGCTCGGGAATTGCAGGCTCGGGAATTGCAGGCTCGGCACCAAGTAAAATTCGAGACCGTAAACACGATTTGGGAGGACAAGGAGTTGAGCAACTGTGCGGGGAATTTACAGCGGAAGTTGGACGAGCGGCTTCGTAGCCTTGAGGAGTTAAGGGACAACGCACGCGAAGTAACCCGCGGGGTGAGTTCATTCCCGGACCCCTTGCGTCGAAACATGACTGGGGTACCACGTCATTCAAGTCGTAACAAACCGTCGTGAGGCTTTCAGTTAAGCTAACAGCTCGTGTACTCAAACCATAGTTGAAAGACACACTTGCTCTCAAGGAGCAACAAGACAATATCATCCAGGGCTGGCGCACACAACTCGAGAGTTCCAAGATGATGGACCAGAACCGCTCTATTCTAGTCTTTACCATCGTCACAATCATTTTCGAGCGTCCTCGTGCTATCCCTGTCAGGGGCTTTTGCGATCCGCATCACACTGACTTATTACCTAACTTCTTGTTCCCCTAGCTTCCCTTGTCTTTCCTAGCCACCGTTTTCGGGATGAACGCATCTGAGTTCTCGTCGGAGAACAACATGTCCATACGTGACCAGTTCAAGTACATCTGTATGTGGTCTTACCTCCCCATATTCATTCAGTCATTCCGAGTCGAGCTGAAATTGAACTGTCATAGTCCCTCTCTCCGCTACCGTCATCCTCCCTACCGTTATTTTCGCCCTCACAGACGTCGCCCACGATATCTGGATTCTCTTAGGGGACTATATCAATGAGCTAAGTCTCTATCTAGGTTTCCAGGACCTAGCAGTTGGGATTCGGCGAGCGGCGGGTGAAGCATCCAGCGCGTCGAGAGAGCGAGTTGCAAAAGCCACGGGTCGCCGAGCGGACTGAGGAAAGCAGAAGCGTGAAGAGGGGGATATGATTTGGAGTTTAATCACAGGTCTAGAGAAGACAGGAGCAAGGAGACAAGAAGACCAAGGCTATCAATGGCCTGAAACGGGTTATCGCCAACTTGGTAACTTGTACTCTGGGAGTCTGGGACAGGGCCCGGGTCGTAGTACAGAGGGTAACTGAAATATTGATGCGATTGTCCATAACTCTCCATAAGCCACGAACGGTAATAGTCTCTCGTGCTTGTACTTAGTACCTTAGTAACTTCATAAAATTGGGAGAAGGAAGGAGTTTCCTGCTCCTGCAGAACTCAGTACACGTGGCCCGGGTGAAAGCTAAGTAGGAAAAAATTCGATATAGATGCAGGCGTTGTGAAAGATGATGCAATGGCCAATGAGCGTGCAGGTAGGCTTGACCTTGGGCGTTGCAAGTTGCAATTCGAGGCTCAAGCTCCACGCTTGCAACCTGGAACCAATTTGCAACTTGAGAGCTGTTCAATCGACGCGCGGTACCTCTGTACCGTCAGCCCGGGGCTGACGACATTGCAAGCAAATGGTTGATGGTCAACGGTCCTTTACGGTCGGCCGTCGGTGTTAGCACAATTATGGCAAGCATTACTGGGCATACGCTAGAGGGTATATTTAGTGAATTTTGGGCCTGTACCATCCTTTCCCCTCATTTGGCCATTGGCATCCATTCTTCTACAATCGGCGTGTTTGTTATGTCCGAAAACACCCACGGGGTTTGGAGTCAACCATCCTAGCCGGGCAGTACTACCCCTCCCAAATCCCGTGTCGAATCAGACTGTGACCTCTTTTAACTCTGTTTCGCCAGTATCATCTGGCCAGCTGTGAACCAGAGACAGATACCTAGATACCTAGGCAGTCGGGGCAGTGTGCCCATATATACCCCTAACCCGGGGGACTCACGCCCATCCATATACCAGTCAAATTCACGCATCTACGGTACCTAGGCGAGCTAGGCCACCCCAACGCAGGTTGTATTTTTATATTGTTGTTGGTTAGGATCCTCCAAGTCTTGCGAGATGGAGGCTCCGTCTCTACTTCGTACCAGTAGGAGCCGGGAACTCCGTACGAGACACGGCATTCGCTGCAGTGTCTCAATTTGTGATCAAAAGGAAGTAATATTCAAATTGCAGCAAAATCAACCTTCAATGTAATGTATTCTACTTGACCGTTGATGTAGATAGATACCTTATGTAGATCTGACTTAGGGTAGTACGGGGATAGGGTGATCGTGGGTGTGGTTGCCAGGGAGTGGGTGTAGGAGGATAATTCTGTCAGGGTTAGGCTATATGTGGTCCATGGGCCCCGCACTGCCTCAACTGCCTACATATCAGCCCGTATTCAGGGCACCTTACTGGGACCTGGACCCGAGCTGGATAACTCTAGCCCGTCAGGGACAGGGTGGTTCGCGTGGCGTGCGTCCCAACCTGAAGGCTTGCACCTTGCAAAGTTGAGGTACCTATACTGGTTTCAGCTTTGCGTTGACGATACAACCTATATGCATAAAGGATGACGGTTGGTGTGATCAACCAGACCAGGTACTTTGTGTAAAGTCCCGTTTAGGTACAAGATACCTAACGCTCTCACTCCGCTGCAGTGATAACGGGATGGGTCAACCAAAAACGATCGACGCCCAAAACAAATCTGGTTGCCTTCTTTCCACTCGGAGGCAAAACGTTTAAGGGTAGAAATTTCTTGCCGGATCGGGCCAAATGCGGTCGGGTACAGTGATAGGTAGTGTTGCACAACCGAGACTCGGTATGCGGTACAATACTACGAACACCATTCTCAACGCCAGTTCGTGTGCCATCAGCAGTTCAGCACTACAAATCGGCATGAGGTCAAGTTGTTTTCTGCAGTTCCAAGTGAGGAAAAGGGATAAATAGGTGCCTTTTCCCCCAAATCTAGGTTCCATATTCCTAAGTATCTTCAGTTCTTCTAGTATCCACCGTCTCGGTCCTCTTATTACACTGGCACCATCTGTTTCCAACAGGACGTTAGAATACTTACTCTTCAATCTCCTCACGCTCCTCGTCCAACTCAACATGGACAGGCCCCGTGGACCAGCCGAATTTTCAGCGAATGGGCCAAGTGTCCAAGGTCATAGGGTGCATACGAACAAGAAACCACAGTCGATTTCGCGTACGCAACCGAGTCCAGGCGGCCACAAGAACGTAGATCTGAAGGTCTGTTTATTCCTCTGTCGTCCCAGTTCCTATGTTTCGCTCATATGTTTCTACTTCGTCCAATGCAGCACGTATACACAAAGGAGAGGACAGTGTTTTTTTGCCATTATGATAACCGTAGTTGACCATGCGCAGACACTTCAGGTCCAGGTTTTCGGCGGCAACCGCTACGACCCTATCATGCGGTGGCTGAATGAAAGTCATGAGGAGGGCCCCTGGAATCCATATGCTATCAAGACTTGAAGTAATCAAGAAGCTCTTATGGATGCTGATTACCAGGTAGGTGGGGGCCCTGGGGGGGTATTATCCACGATGGGCGGACGCCAAAGCTAAATACTATCACAGGTACAGTACAATACCTTGGTAGGTAGGTAGTACCTATTGTGGTCCAGGCCCATGACGGGCACAGATGGGTACAGATAGGTACAGGCGGCCTATATCGATAGCATTTTTGCGAGCTGGGTCATGTTAAGTGACTTAGGTACACAAATCATGCGATTCATGAACATACCTACCTACCTAGATAAGGTAGGTCATAAGGCTGACAGACTATGCCTCGCTTGCAACAATGCAACGGTGGTCGTCTACCGTTGCTGGCATTTAGTATCAAACACGAATTGGCGCACTGTACCTCCTGCAGGCAGCGACCCGCTGAGTGGTACTTTCGTTGGTCACGGTGATGCGTAAGGTACCAACTCTTCGTCCAGAGAGGCAGCCGGTGTCGTGTTGCGTTAGGCACCAGGCTCCTTCACAACTCCAACAAAACCCCCTCACGTCTCTTCGTTCAGGTTCAAGCCTTCAAGGGGATCGATCAAAAGTGTTCTACTCATTTTGGCCTCGGAAATGGAAGCCCTGCAACCACCACAACATGGCTCGGGATGTGCCATGTGGAAGTTGAAGCTCGCTCTGCGTGTGGCTTCCGCCGTCTTTTGCATCATCATCGCCGGCCTCGTCGGCGGACTTTTTACCATGGGCTTAGGGGGCAATGACACGATGCTTGTCAAAGTTCTCATTATCTTACCCACGGTAGGTCACCATCTCCAAATTCTTTTTTAGGGACATGTTTGACCATGCTATTTCTCCCCAGCTCACCGCTGTCTGGATATGGGACCTTGCTGAAGGTATCTGTATTCTCGCGCGCAATGGCAAACGAGGAATCCACCCCGGGGCAATTGTCGGCGTGGACCTCATATTCTGGGCGGCATGGATGTCTGCCGCCATATTCGACGGCATCTCGGACGTTCCCGCAGCGAGGAGTGAGAGGGAGTTTATTGGAGACAATTCGAAATCCTCTACCTACTTGGAGGTCGTACGAAAGAAAGGTTGGCCCATCTTCGTATTTATCGTGGCCCAGGTGTGAGTGACGAAGCTTCCCGTCTGTCCACGGTGATACCCACAGTTGGCGTGCTGCTAACCCCCTCTGTATGAGCAGAGTTGTGCACTTTGCGCTGTTTGTCATCGGCTGCCGGGAGACACATGTGCGCAACAACACGTTCACAGTTATCGACCTCGTACAGGGAGCGCCATCCTCAGGTTCTCGGAATCCCCGCGGCACCATGATATATCAGCAATTACCCGACGGCCAGATAGTCCCGGCCTCCAGAAAGTCATCTAAACTGCCAGCCGAAGTCCGGGCATACCTGATGCAGTCGCTGGATGGACATGGTCAGCCAACCACTGAAACTTTGCCAACACCGCGGCAGGCACTGGTATACCCGTGGGCTCGACCTTCATGACCACTCATGGGCTACTATCAAGCCCACGGGTAAGCACCCCTGAGAGGGCTAGGTTGGGGAAGATATTATGATGAGCTTGTTCGCCAGAATTCACAGGTTAGCCAGGGGCAGCTGACAAACGGCTAGAGTGAAGTCCGAGCCCGATTCCGAGGCCTGGAGTGCTATTGTCTGGATCGTACTAGTAAATTTTTCGAGAAGCGGACTCCAATGTTGTATTTCTAAGCGGTCTTGCACTACTAATTTTTTAAGATCTCCGACGAGGTTGATTGGTAATGACGAGGACTGCCTCATGTCCGCGGCACACCTTTTTCTCTCAACCATATCAAGCAAGGTAGTTTCCCCTCAAAGGAGCACATGATGGATGCTCCCGCACACGGATGGTCGAACCGACTAGTAGTGGATTAAGGTGGCAACCCTTTGGGTCACAATGCTCCGTTCTCTTGTACCCCTGGGCTTAGCCATCTCGGTGGTGGCGAGGCCGTCCCGTCGATGTTCAGACGTTGCATTCGAAGTGCCCGTCACGAGCCAGAATACTGTATTTTCCTCGCCGCCAGACCCAAACAACGAGACAGAAATCGTCCACTTCATGCGGCAGGTATTTACTGGAAACATTCCGGCTACCAACGGCACGACAACCGTCAGCGACACCTTCACCATCAAAGGCACCTATTGCGCTCCCCATGATGTCAAGGCGAGGGACACACTGGAGGTTTTCGTCCACGGTGCCATGTACAACAAGTCGATATGGGCAGGCATGGGATTCCACGGCCCATACGATTGGCACAAGTACGCCAACTCGAGGGGATACGCCACCCTTGCCCTGGATCGACTAGGCCACGGCGACAATCCTCAACACCCCGATCCTCTCAGCGTGGTGCAAGCACAGATGCATGTCGAAATCCTGCACCAAATCATTCGCGCCGCCCGCACTGCGAGCTCCCCGATCAACGTGCTAGGGCGGGCCTTTAACAAGGTGGTTTACGTCGGACACTCCTATGGCTCAGCCCTGGGCGCTGCGCTGGGCACGCAGTACCCTGCTGACGCCGACGCCCTGGTGCTCACCGGGTACAGCAGCTATGTTGACTTCTCGTTGCTCGCCGCGGCCGACTTTTCCAGCGCTGCCACGTCCGACCCAGCTCGCTTTGGCGGCCTGCCCGCGGGCTACGTGACCATGACCAACGAGACGCAACACAGAACGGCCTTGTTCTTCCCAGGCGGCTACGACCCTGCGATCCCGCCCGTCGATTTCGCCTACCGAGACACCATCACCGTCGGCGAGATTGGGTCGCTGCCGTCAATGTTGGGTGCCGCGGCTGTCAATTACACGGGCGCGGTCCTGGTTACTACGGCCGTGCAGGACGCCTACTTCTGTGAGGGTGATCAGGCGCAGTGTGAAGCCCATCTTGCAGCCACAGGAGACTGGTTTCCCAATGCCGTCCACTACGACTATATCGCGCCCGACAGCACGGGGCACGACCTGACGCTTCACTACACGGCCCGGGATACTTTGAAGAGGGTCCATGCATGGCTTGATGCGAAGTTGTAGATGGTAAGACAAAAGGGAAGCCTTATGGCTCTGGCCCGGTAGCGAAGATCAGAACAAAAGAGGCTAGGGCGTGACGTACGACTGAGACAGTCGAAAGCGAAGTTAAAACAGATCCCTGGCAAGGTTGGATCGCCTCCTCTCGGCGAGACCCAAGTAAATTCACCACGGTGGACCTCTTGTCTTCACGTATAATCCTCAATACTTTGTCTGTATCTAACTGTAACTTATCCGGTAAGCAACAACGGGCCCAACCAACAGGCGGGCTCAAATACCCAGTTATGATTTCTGAAACCCGACCTGACATCAAGACCGTACCAGATCAAGTTGGAATTAGCTTTGACTAGCGATGACGGCTGTAAGCCGGCATCACGACTGTGCCTTTCCAATGTTGAGCATGGTCTTGATGCTGGATGGTGCGTTGCGCCTACCGGCACTCCCGTTCAGGCCTTCCCGTCTCCCCTGTATCTGCCGCGTGAATCAACGTAGGGCTGCATCTTGCAGCTTCCCATTGCCCCCTGTCTTGACACTTCCTGCTTGGCAAGGACCGATTGATTAATATTGCGGTGTCGTACCCAGGGCTTTACTGCATTGATCAATCTTGGCAAGGACCGATTGATCAATATTGCGGTGTCGTACCCAGGGCTTCACTGCATTGATCAATGGTCAATAGCGCTCATCCCCAATCTCGCAACACTCGGGACCAGATGCTTTTGGGTCAGTTCTGTACACCATTTTCTCGCCCGAAGCGGGGAGTGTCAAGAGGGGGGGCAATGGGAAACTGCAAGATGCAGCCCAACGGTGATTCAAGCGGAACCTCCGTTGCCTCCATGATGTTTTTTGTGGTGTCGTCGTAAGTTATCCTTGCGAGTGAACCGCTTGGAGCACAGCGAACATCGGAACTTTCTCATGCCCCCGTGCTGGAGTGAGCTGCAGTGTCGCTTCCAGTCTGCCGAATTGCTGAATCGCTTCCCGCAGCCAAGGTGACCGCATTGAAAACTCCTCAAGTTGTAGTCAGCATTATGACTGTGATTTTTTGACAGCATGGAACTCAGAATCCATGTAGAATCATCGCCGGGAAACTTACGGGACCCGCGCGGGGGCTCGGTGAACGGAAGAGCATGCCTCGCGCGCAAATGAAGGCTCGTCGATGCCGGCGGTTGAAGGGCTGCTCCCGCATTGTGACACAGCCGCATTGGAAGCCGTTGCAGAACTCGATTCCACGAAGAGCGGTGTGTGTTGTCCATCGGAAGCGGCACTGAACAAGTTCGAGGATAGCGATTAGCTCAGCGGTTCGCAGTGGCTAACGAAGCTCGGTGGCTCATGGGCCGCATCCGCGGAGAAACCTAACTCAAATTCACCCAGATTGGAGGTTGTCTGATGAACTTCAAGCCCGACTGTAGCTGAGAGAGCCGGGACGCCCGGGCAAAGTCCTGGGATTGTGACATCATTGGACGTTGAGATGGGAATCTGGTGGAGAGCGACTGCTGAATCTCGAGGGCCAAGCATGGGCATTTCAAGCAGCGCAGTGTCATAGTAGGTCTCAGCCCAGCTGGGATCCGGGAGTGAATGCGGATGCACAAAGGGAAGGACGAGCTCGGCCTCCCTCGCGGCCAAAGTTGGCGCCCAGAAGTCGATCAGACAGCCATTCGAACTGTTCGGGAAAGGATAACTCGCGACGACAGAGGTATTATCGGTCATATAACCTCCACCATGTTCCCATGATCCAAGACCTTCCAAACCTCCCCCATGTGAAGAGTAATCTAGGAGAAGATCTTCTTGCTGAACATTTCCCTGCTCTCTCGAGGCGATGATTCCTGAGGATCCCGATGACTCAGTCACACCAGCATTGGAAAAGAGCAAGCCATGTTCAGCAAGAAGATCTTCTTCACGATCACTAATCCATCTTGTTGAAATGTGGACGGCGATGCGGGGGCTAAAGAAGCCCCTGCCAGCGGAGGAATGGAGGGAAGATCAAAGGCCTAGATATCATTGTTAGCATTCGACGGAAACCTGCCAGCGTAAGGTAGGTGGGTAGCAAAAGAGACTCACTCGACCTGTTAGCAGGTCACCCAAGCGACAAGACACTTGAGGGCCTTGCGTTTCAAACGCCTTCGGTCGATGGTTCCGAGGGACAAGCTTCGAAAGGGCCCTTCGTCATCCAGCGCGTATAAGTAGACGAGTCCTGGAGGCATGGACAGAGCCAAAGCAAGCTCGGTCAATATTTCCCGCGCAATGCAGCCTCCATGCAAAGCTGCCTCCTCAACTTGGACATCATTGGGTCGCGGTTCTGCACTTTGCTGCCTCTCGACCCAGGCCGAGCCAAGGAAGCCAATCGCGTTGATTGTGTTCAATGTGTTGGTCGATCCATCTGCAGGACCGATGCCTCCCGCTTCTCATACCGGGAAATGGGGCGAGATCAATTGTGAATGGCTGAAGCAGAGAGCGATATGAAGGCCAGATTGGATGAACTTGCTCGGAACTGTGATTGTCAGGTGGCAGTGCGGTTTCCCTCCAGTGGCAGTGTGGAGCCACATTTACCCTAACCCTTAAGTTTGGATGAAATGTAGGCAGGTGAAGGGTTAGGGCTATATGTGGTATAACGCACCCATCTCCAAGAATATGCATTCAAATAGAATAAAAGTTACCAGTCTCAAATCCGAGGTGACATTCCCATGTACGTGAGAGAAGGGTACTACATTGCATAGCATGACATTCACTCATAAACACATAAACTGTTCCGCCTGTCGGTTTTGGCTAGGTACGGATTTGCAGTTTGACGGGTGCTCTGAGTGTGTGACGTCACCGAGCACATTGTGGGAAGGTGGGGGACTGCAAGGGGAACCAAGCAGAGAGAGCTCTCCTGATGGAGCTTCATACCAAGTACTTTTTCCGCCGGTCAACGGTGGTGGTGTCGTCACTTCCCTAAAGGAACAAAGACTCTGGCCAGGTCCTTTAAGAGGAGACATTTGCTTGTTCGATCCTTCCCAGAATCACCAATCGATCTTTCGATGCATCAAACCAGCCAATAAACCGTTATAACTCGCCATGCCGCCGAGAACGCTCCCATCAATTCCATCGCTCCGAGCAGCCTCTTCAAGGCTGCCACATCGGCTCATCTCCGCCTCACAGCGACGCTTCGTCAACACGGATAAGGAGGAGCTCGGTGGAGTGGGCGGCTCTGAGCCTCCTGGGCCGCAGAAAAATCCCGTCAACTGGTGAGATTGCAGGATTCTGTTCTTCATTCTTTCAGCATCATCTGACATTCCATCAAGGAGGGCAGGCACCATCACGGCTGTAGGGGTTGGGCTCGCGGGGTTGTGGATGTACAGGGCCAAAACCAAGTCATAAAGTTTGCATCACGTTGTGCTATACCCTGCGTCAATACCCATCAATTCTTGCCTACCTAGACTCGCACTTAACCTAAAAGTCTTCGAATGTGCGCAATAGATTGAACGAAACAGCGGCGGGCCCTCCAAGGCTCGTTCCGATGATCTCGTCACCACGACAAGAGAGTCCATGCTAGGAAACCACATAATTGCCGATTAGCATCATAACTGATGAAATGGAGAAACCACGACTCAGCTGTCTTACAAAACACAGATATTTCTTCTCCCCAGGCGCCAGTCCTTTATCCACAGCCTGGCCACGAGCAGATGGAGGGCGAGGCCGTGTCTCATCGACCTTGAACAGCGTCGACCGCACTGGTTGGCCGTCTTTCAGTGTCAGTCCTGGCAGGGACGATTGTAATACCGTTGCCGGATCTCTCTCGTCTCCCTCTTCGGCGTCCAAGAGCACCAGGATTAACTGTTCCGCAGCTCCTGCGTTCACAGAGTTAGCTAAGGATCACCAGTTCTTTCCCAAACTCCCAGATTCAACATGAGATGCTATAGCCTCCGAAGGAAACCGAAGCATGAACAAACAGGGTTCCCTCTCCTAACTCAAACCAGAATGATGGCCACACCAAGCCAGATAACTGACCTTGATAACCCGCCCACTGTTCCGCTCCAGCACCCTCGCGCTCACCACTCTTCGCACTCTTAACCTCCTCCCAAACCTCCATCTCCACCTGCGCCAGCTCAAAGATACTCTTTTCTTGTCTCTCATCATCCCGCTCACCCTGCCCAGCAGCAGCCTTGGCGGCATCATTCGGACTGGCAGTAACCTGAACGGTCAACGGCACAGACCAGAACCCGCACCCTTCCTCATGCAGCCACCTAACGTCAGGAAGCCAGTACACAGCCAGGTATGGCATGGTCGACTTCTTCATAGTGGTACTATCACCATCGGCACTAGCAGCAGCTTTCTCGGTGGTTAGGCCTGCCGGAGCTGGGGGGGAGTAGTAGTACCGTGCGGCGGCGCGGATGCCAGACGTGGCGAGCAGGTCGGGGATGTGCTGCGTGTCGTACCAGGCGTTGAACTGGGCTTGGGAGAACTCGGACGGGTCGGCGGTCAACTGTGTGCGCACGAGGATGATGCCTGGTTTCATGTTCTCGGCGAAGCCGCGCGAGTTGTTGGGATGTTGTGTTGCTGTGGTTATAGTGCGGAGGTAGGGAGGCGGGTGCAGCGGCTGTTGTTCAGCTGTTTGGCCGCTCGCTGAGTCGTTGAGCTTGTTGGTGGCTTGGTGTTTGACTCTTTGGGTATGCAGACTGCAGACACGGATGAGGTCATGGGAAAGTGTTCAGAAACAGCACCCTATAGTACGTGTAAGTTGATAAGTGGGCACTGCGGGGAAGTGGAAACTGAATACCTATATCAGCAGCCCCGACATGACAGGCCGAGGCCGAGCTGCTTCTCGGGTGCGGGAATCCCCAGATCGGGGTCCGGTGTCCGGGCCGCTACGCTGCTACGCATGAGTCAAGTCATATTGTCAGGCCGATCTTCCCGCAGCACTGCATCATCGAAAGGCGTACATGGAGATTGTTCGATGCGGGTCATCAGGCTTCAATAATACATCTATCTGGTCTCTGACTAGTCTATCGAGGTATGCTTCTATCACTCCTTTTGCTAACATCTGGTTCTATATAGCATTTCCTATTCGTTCTGCTAACGATCGTCCAGCTCTTAAGAAATCAGCACCCACTATTCCTGTCTCGTAGCTCTTGTTCTCTTGAGCTTGGAAGGCAGTGATGTAATAGGCTACGCTCGTTTCTGCCTCTTCCGTGTGGAAGGAGCTGTGTAGCCTGGACCGCGCTTCCGGCCGCGAGGAGGTACATAGGAGGGATCTTGGGAGGAATGATCTGATGGGGTTGGAGGCTCTGACGGGGATGGAGGATCTGGTGATACATCCTGCTCTTCTTCATTTTGCCCTTCTTCGTCCTCCGCATCTTCATCCTCCTCCTCATCTTCATCCTCCTCCTCATCTTCATCCTCCTCCTCGTCTTCATCCTCCTCCTCTTCTTCATCCTCCTCTTCCTCCTCTTCCTTGTCTCCTTCCTCCTTATCTTCTTCCTCCTTGTCATCTCCCTCCTCGTTATCTTCATCCTCGTCTAATTGTTCATCCTCGTTTATTTCTTTATCTTTGTGAGATTCATTATTGTCAATCTCCTCTCCTTCATATTTATTGCCATCTTCATTTTCGTCAATTTCTTCTCCTTTACCCCCACTGAGTTCTTCATCCTCGTTGACACCCGGTTGGGGGTGAGAGGCCTGTGATGGGTGCGACGAGGGAGGTTGTTGGGGATTTGAATGCCGTGATATGGGCCTTACCAGACGTGGAAAATCACCTGAGGAAGGTGGGGAGTACGATGGGGAGCGTGGGAAGCGAGGGCCCGGAGGTGGGACGTCTCCCCGATCGTCCCCGTCAACACCCCCTTGTCTTCCGCCGCGTCCCCTATCACTGTTGTTACGGCCCACTCCCCTTCTGATGGCGCCTCTACCATCCCCGCGATGGTCATCTCCTTCGTCGCTGCTCTCATCGCCGTCCTTGTCACCACCTGAGCCGCCGGAGCCTGAGTGTGGCGGTTGACGAGGCGGGAAGCGAGGAGGCACGTCTCCCCCTGGATCGCTGCCACCACCGTCATCCCCTCCATCGTTGTTCTGATGGTCGTTGTCGTCATTCTCATCATCATCTGGCCGTCCCTGGGGATTCGGAGTAGAACCTTGACTGGATGGTGCGTAGCAATCGCGTAAGAACTTCCTGATCGCATCATCATTTTCTTTTCCTCCTTCCCAAGTATTGAAATCTTTGTTCAAGGCTTTGTGGATTGCTTGCTGGAGCTGATCAAACGATGGCCTATGTTGAGGGTTGTCACACATACACCACGCCACCAACTTCCGCAACTCATAGTCAACAGCTTTGTATCTGTCGCGCAGGAGGTAGCCTCCGTAAGACATCACCTCTCTCCTTTCGTCGTTCGGATAACGAATCAATGAAGCGATTGGCGGCACAGCAGGGCCTTCGCCTGTAATAGCAGAGGCCATGGTCTGGAATGCGCAGAGTGTACGGTTAGTGACATTCCGATGACAGCGTTGTTGTTCAAGGTAAGAGCCACTTACAATTGCTATCCCGTATAAATTGGTCTTCCAACTATATCTGCCTGCAATAGCGACCTTAGCAGGACTTTCTTTTGGGGTCGTGTCGACAAAGTCCCACTCATCGACGAATTGCTCCTGTGGCCTGATATTAGCTTCATTCAGTTTCGTTTTGGACATGAACTGAGTCTAGACGGGGCGATTTGATGTCATGTGAATGCTCACCGGCGTGTAGAAGCCATCCTTCCCCGTCATTCTTGATGCCCACATTGTAATCCTACCCGGTGTAAGCGTCAGATACCTTGGTATGCAACCTGCCATCTCCGCGTCCTAGACTTACTTTTTCCTGGATGTCGGAGAATCGACTTTTAGTCCAAGGCCAAAATCTCCCAGTTTGCACACCGGCACGACATTATGCGAGTCATTTGCAGGACCGCACCCTTCATCACCCACAAGGACTGTCCACGCCAAAGGGTTATCTCTGTGTTCCTAGGTATGTAGGGAGTAGGGGACCGGTTGGCCGGCTTACTGTTCTGTGGATCAATGTCGAAGTGTATAAAGTTGGTTCCTCTGTTGGCGAAGGGGTTATTTGGATCGGGCTTTGGCACCCACTCGCTTACGAGGTTGCCGTCGACCCAGCCCGTGGCGTCAGCTCGTGTTACAATGTCCTTGGGCGGATACTCGAGGGCAATGCAAGCCTTGACCACTAGTAAACAAACTACGTTAGATGCTGCGAACTGTTTTGCTTTGATGTTCTCATTAGCTAATGTTTGACGGGTGGGCTGACTTACAGCAGTCAAAAATGCTCCACAGAAGACGGTCAGGAAAACCAGTGATCCCTAAGTTGGTATTCACATTCCTAATCATTCGGTGGAAGCTCCCCCGGCTAAGATACTCGAGCAGGATCACGTCATCTGGACCACCCAGGTAGCGTACATCATCTTTGACGCTGTCTCCTTGTGGTACCGCTTCGTCTCCTTCGACAGGAACCTTTTCGAGCTGAACGATATGCAAAGCGCCTCGGTAGGTCTGCGTCCGCACATACTAGCTGTCAGTATATGAGTTCAACCCCTGAAAGCACCGAACTTCCCGGCCGTCACTTGGACTTACCGCCTGTTTCTCTCGTTCTTCCTTAAGTTTAGCTTCATGTTCTCGCTTTGTCGCACACTTAGCGACGTAGTACTTGCCGCTGTTTTCGTGTTGGAATAGTGCGACAACACCGTATCCCTATCAGCCATGAGCTCAGTCATGTCCCCCTCATATTGGAGTTCTTGGTAACGCTCATTTCGGCACCATAGCAAAGTCGACAGGTATCACAGTTATTGTATGTCGAAGGTAAGTAGAGAGGGTGGATCCTTCAGGTAGGTACTTACACCCACACCCAGAAATTTGATGAATTTAAGGGGGTATTGCTCAAATTTGGCCTCAAGACTTCCACGAATGGCATTGTAATCTAATGGCTCAGTCGACAAATCTTCCGGACTCGCATAAAGATGCCTCAACCTTTCAGACTGAAACCTCTGCACCAACGGGAGCAACCGTCCATCCGGACCGGCGACTTGTTCGGGGGGCGGTGCGAATGGAAGTTTCAGATGGGCCCATATTGATTTCCCGCCCCCTTCACGATTATTGAAGTCTGGGTTGTGCCGCCCTGTTTCCCGGTATTGTTGAAAGTAGAACGTCATCCCTTGCCGCCATTGTTCAAAAGTCAGGCCTTCGTTGCGATTGGCCATTCTTGAGTCGGACTGTCTGCCGGTTGCTCTCGATGCAAGCCTAGGGTGATTGAGCGATAAGGAGACACTTAACACAATCCAAAGTTAAACAAGTTGGACCTAAATCTCGAGTAAGATCTGCACGGCATGTAGTGAATGATACTTTTCGACTTGCCGCTCGTCATCGTGCCTGGCAGCGGTTCTAACAATCTGATCAAGTACCTAAGATCGGGACAAAGAGCTCCCATTAATCCATAGTTATCCCTGGGTCTAATCCGAGGGTCATGGGCCATGGCTGTGCGGAAGAATCTTATTTTAGCACGCCGATTAGGCCTTAGTCTGGCCTCCTTTGTCCTTGTTTGTTTCATTTAGCTCGCTGATCGAGCTTATTGTTCAACTTTTTGGCAATAAGTCGCTCCAGCCATTGCTAGTACCTGTGTCTCCGTTTGTATCACTTATCGTATTCGTGAATTCCCTCTCTCTTGCCTCCCGAGAGAAGCGTATGAGATTGTAGGCGGGGCAGCGTCTTGTGCCATTGTGAAAGCCGGGTCTGGGGAGACAGGAGGGGTCCAGAAGAGCGATGAACTGAGGCATCTTCGTGATGATAGAAATATCAGCTATGAATGAACGTGGAAACGTCAGGAGTATAACAAAGGACTCTTTGATAGCTGCGTCGTGTGCCTCGAGAAACTTGGACCGCTTTTGATGACAAAGGCGAGGTATCACTGTTGAAGCCCTGCGGCGCCCCTGAGGACAATGCTCATCGAGCTCGCCAGACAAAGCAATCGAGTCGGCTGGGCGAAGGATTGTTGCAACTACCTGTGACGTTGGCGTTGAATACCTCGTTGGATACCAGGTATGGCCTCAATTCCACAGGTTATGGGCCCAGACTGTCTCTCGGTAATGTTGCCTTGCTCCTTCCCTCGCTAGATTCCTCGAGAATTTGTGCAAGTCCAACCCATCCATTTCAGATCAGTATAACCGTCCCCCCCCCCCTCTTCTCTTCCCTTTTCTTCGCCCTCCGACTTCTTGGAGGCGCCGTTCCTCAACTTCTTCATCTCGACCTCCGTTGCTTCCTATCATTGGAATCTAGCAGTCGCTGTAAGGTGCGTCTGGCAGTGCAGTGATTACGACTTACAACAGCCATGACTCTCTGCCGAATTGCATCATTGCATGCAGTCTCTGGAAAGATACATCATTCCATTCGCCTCCTGGGAGGCATAGGCTTGCTCTCTGATGAGCAGACACATGGAGTACCTTACTTATCCCCTTAGGGAGGTACTTAGCGCTATTGGCTGTCATGATGCAATGATGCCTTGTAGCCTTGCTGACATGCAGTCGGAGCTTGGAGTTGCCGCCATGGAACTGCTACTGCCGCGTTTCGGCGCGTGAAGTGACAGTCGCGCATGATTTGATCTCCCCACATGATCGGTGACATCCTCCCTAGTATCAGTCATACAACGCCTTACCTTGAAATTGAAGCTGAGTTCTGTCTTTGCAACACTTGTGAATATCATTCTATCGTGTATTTATCGCCATGAGACTCTTAGACACGACAACCTCTGGCATCCCCGAAATGCGGGAATTTGTCGGTTCCGAGATCCCGCCCTACGCCATCCTCTCCCATACCTGGGGGAGCGAAGAAGTTACGCTGCAGCAACTTACGGCAACCGCCGCCAAAGCAGCCGAGCTGAGAAAGAAAGCCGGATTTCTCAAAATCCAGAAAACATGCGAACTCGCTCGCTCGCGAGATGGCCTTGGCTATGCATGGGTCGACACCTGTTGCATAGACAAGACGAGCAGCGCCGAGCTCACCGAGGCTATCAACGCCATGTACGCGTGGTACCGAAACGCCGACGTGTGCTATGTTTATTTGGCCGACCTCGAACCAGGCACTCGCGACGACCTGGCACAAACGCTTCGGAATTGCCGCTGGTTTACCCGTGGCTGGACGTTGCAGGAGCTCATTGCCCCCCTGAAGGTACACTTCTTCGACATGGAGTGGAACTACAGGGGGGATAAAGACAGCCTTGCCGAGTTGCTTGAGTCGAGAACGGGCATCCCAGAACGCCTTCTCCGGAGCCAGTCGGCCCTGTCCGACTACTCAGTGGCGAGGAGGATGTCGTGGGCTGCAATGCGAGAGACCACGCGGCTCGAAGACAAGGCCTATTGTCTGCTTGGAATTTTCGACGTGAATATGCCCCTCATATACGGCGAAGGTATGAAGGCATTTGATCGTCTGCAGACGTCCATCCTTCAAACCACCAGTGATCTGAGCATCTTTGCCTGGACGGATGACCGAGTTCCCTGCCCGCAGTATGCGGGTGCATTAGCCGAGTCTCCACGACAGTTTGCCGGCTGTGGGAACATCAATGTTTCGGCACAGGGCACATCCATCTACGGCAACTTCATCATCACAAATAAAGGGATTCAACTCGACACCTTTTTGTATGCTTATCCCATGGACGAAGAGGAGGATGGCCGTGTCACAGTCCGGACAGCGCTGAGCTTGCTCTGCACCCTTGAAGGTAGTATGCTGCAGGTATATCTTCGCAAGATTGATGGCGGTTTATACGCAAGGTTCAGACCAGACATCCTTGTCGATGGCGGTGCCGAGTCATTGCTGAGAGAGCAAAGAGACAACGGTGATAACCCACTTTCGCTTGAGACGATAATCCTATCCAGGAGACTCCCACCCCGGTTTCCTCTTTTCATGTCCAATCCTGTTGTGCCGTACCGACACTCAGCTCTCTCCCTCGAATTGGGTGCCCTTGTTCTTGACAATACCGTTCCGGTGCCGAGGAGCCATTGGGACGACCATGACGGGATCTTCTTTGCAGGTAACAGCATATCTAGGGCCTGGTGTGCATTCTGGCTATCAGGGAGAGTCAGCTGGGCACGGGGAGAAATTAATATCTTGGTGGCATGTTTTCATTGGAATAGAGGTCAGGCCAGAGTGATGTTTGCTGACCTCAACCGCGTGAACCCTGTCAACCTCCTTCTTCTCTGGTTGCAGCTGGATAAGGTTAGGTTCGAGAGCTCGTTTGAAGCCGAGGTTCTGGTTCTAACGGTATCGCCTATGAAACTTGAACAAGAAGGTGGAACGGCCAAACTGCTGCTCCGCCAAACTGGGAGCCGTACACCCATCGCTGAAGCAAGCCTGAGCATGGGACAGGAGTGGCGGCCTGCCATCTGCATTACACAACAGGCCACAGTGTTGCAAGTCAATATCACCGAACCAAGCTCCAAGGATGTTGCGGAGCCGGTTCAAGGGGTATAAGTGGTATAGGTACATACAACACGACGGGAAGTCGCATACGGAGTATTGTACGCAATGTACGGTCAACATGAACAATGTTATGATTTCATTACAAAATCGTTCACAAAGAATCTAAGACTTCCTTATATACTGTACGACCGTAGTGTAAGCGTTGAAGTGTTCGATAGGCCGAGCCTTGTAAGTTGTAACGGCGCTACCTGAGTTGTATTCACTTTACAGATTGGTATAAGTGTATGGAACGATGTGTAAGGGTTCAACAACCGAGGTAACGTCAACGAAGCTTGATTTTTCTGGCCCACTTTTTACGATGATCACTTCTCGCCGGCTTTTGGGGCTCATGGCCACGACAGCAACATGCAGACCAATCGCCGGTCGCGCATCCCACGATTGCCAAGCGCCACATACGCCATCCCAAGGTTAGGTCCAGATCCGCGGGACACTGTCGTAATGCTGCAGCTGCAGGACAGAGCATCAGCAGTGTAGTGTATATATCATGTGTCACCTGGGCCAGACATTATAATGTGCAGCCATGTCAGACAAGAGCCTCTCCTTCGATCACACAATTTATATCATAACTGTTCATCAAAACATCCAGTTGTGTCTTTTGTGGCATGCTATCAGATCATTCCTTTCTCTAACTCGCTTCTTGTCCATCGACGAAACGTTCCTTCGCATTTGCATGCTTTACACAGGCTGTCAACGAACATTGCCGCTAGTTTCACAAGAGCAGCACGGAACTACGTCATTTGTCAGATCTATAGCGCTTTACTCGCATTGAACACTGCCATTGGCGTAACGTGCGTTTACGTTGCCGGATACGTTTCCCTCCTATTTACTTGCTCCTTGTCCTTCCCGTTTACAGCTCAACATACACGCCAAACTTGACAGCATTTACAACCGCAACTTCAAACATATCTTGAAAGAATGCTAAGGGATAGAAGATTGCCACGAGGTCGAGAACATCTGCATCGCCCCCTCGACGACTGGGATGAAGGATACGATGACCTCAAAAGGGGCTATCCCGCATCCCCACGGGGCCGGCGAGCTCAATCACCGCTATACCCGACTCCGCCGCCGGCACCAGAGCCTCCACGAGACACACGGTGGGCCAACGACAAAGAACCCATAAAACCAGCTACGGGAAGGCGGCACCATCCCTCCCCGCCATCCGACCTGGACGATTTCTCGCGGCGCAGGCCCCATCACCGAGACGTCGGGCGCCCTCCAGCACACCGGAGCGCAGCAAGAAGCAGATACCCGTCCCCGCCGCCGCCACGGCTGGACCGTGCACGGTATCCGGGGTCCGGCCGCCCGTCGCTAGATGCTCGCGCACCAGGCCCTGCGCCTCGTCCCCGCGATGCCTCAAAACCCCCATCAGTATCCGGCGCAGGGCAATTGTATGCCGGCTCACGCTCTATCTCGCCGTCCCACCGACACGACAGAGACAGGGATTGGGACCGGGGTCGGGACCGAGACCGGATCCATGACCGCGCCAAGAGCCAACCCCGCGACGGATTCGGAGTCGGAGCCGGCGTACGGCGCCACCGCAGCCTAACCCCACCGCCACGAGCACCTCGCAACCGCAGCCGAAACCATCATGACCATGACCACGATTATCTTTACGACCGTGGCCGTGACCGGCGCCGGCGCTCCCCCTCTCCCCCGCCACGCAGCAAATCAACTTCAGCCGCGTACCCGCCGCCACGTTCCAAATCCGCCTCTGCAGGCGCCAAACAAGACAGCAGCAGAAAGCACAGAAGCAGCAGCAAACCCCACCTGTCTCCCCTCTGGGGATCAGTTGCCGTCGCCGCGCTGCAAGCGGGCGGGATGGCGGCGCTTTCGATGCGCTCGCAGCCGGGTGCGTGGAAGGGAGAAAAGGGAGCGCGAGTAGCCGGCGCGGCGCTGGGCGCGGTGGGGAAGGAGGTTATCGCTGGCAAGGGCGGGGCAAAGGGCAAGCGTAAGGGGGGAGGTGGAGGAGGGGATGTGGCGGCGTTGGGGGGTGCATTAGGGGGTTACCTGATTGAGCGGCTGAGTAAGGATAAGGATAAGGAGAAGGGAAGCAGCAGCAAGAAAGGGAAGAGTTATAGTAAAGGGAAGGGTAAAAGTAGAAGATAAAGGGCGGCGTTCGAGGATGAGGGAGGACATCTCTCAGGAATGGAGTGAAGGACCAGATTGTTTGGACGTGGTGAGTTGACGGAGATAAAACTGTAACTGGATGGCGCGTGGGAAAGGTTCAGAAAATGTTTTGTGTACTACTAAATTAGCGTGACATCTGCTTTTGGAGTTGTGTTTTGTTTTAAGGAGATGCTGAGGAACTTGTACGAGTAGCGAGATAGAGACCCCGAGTTCAGTCAGGATACCCGAGTTTGATACAACTTCAACACAGCTTTGTGATTCCTAATCTGTGACGCCAACATTAGAACTGCGAAAAGTAGCCGCCGGAAATCTTAAGCGTACAACTAAAAATGAGCCTGGGGGGAAGCTCTGCTGTTCGCACTCTAATGCGACAAACCCGCGAGACGGAGGTAGGAAGGAAGCCGGTCAGTAATGGATTTCGCAATTTTGAACAGTCAACAAGGCCATGCACATCGCACTTGGCTCTACGGAGTAGCGCTCCGTGAATCCAAGCTCCTCACCGCAGACAGCATAGTTACCTATTCGGATCCGCGCCTTTCTCGATAAACAGCACAACAGCGTCTTCCATGCCCTTCTCGACAGCCATCTGGAGCGGACTGGTACCCTTGGCGTCAAGTCGTGACACGTCAGCTCCGCGGTCGACGAGCAGTTTGACGGTATCCATTCGCGAACCCTCGACGGCGCAGTGCAGCGGGGTGCGGCCGGTCGAGTCGAGTCCATTGATGTCGGCACCCTTGTTGAGAAGTATCTCCAGAATTTTAGCCTGCCCCTTGAGAGCAGCCATATGAACCGGGGTTGCCGGCGGCGGAGGAGGTTGCGGGCCGGCATTGTGGAACTTGGGCGGTGGTACGGGCGGCGGTACCTTGGGCCCTTTCATTTTCTTGACGCGCTCAGCGCGCTCTCTGTACTGCTCGACAGAACTGCCACCGGCTTGAACACGGCGCCAGCGGCGATACGCTGCGATCGACTCCATATTATTGGGGTTGAGGTCGTGGTTGTGCTGTTCGCAGCGCGGCTCGATGAACCACATGTTTGCATCCCGCTTCCGACATACCACCTTCATGCGCGTGGGACAGCCAATCCTGTGTGTTGGTCGCTTGCGCTTGCCCGTACCAGCGTTCTTGCAGGTGCCGCCTCGGTCGCACATCAGGTCGACGCGCACAACGGGCGCCTCCTTATCGTAGCCGCCTCCCGCTCGTTTTAGCTTGGCGCAGCCGGACTGCACAAGCATGTAGCCCTGGGCAATGGCATACTCTATGGCTGCATTCATGGCTTCCTGCTTCGAGTTGTAGGGTCCAAGCATGAGGGTCGGCCGAACAGCAGGAAGTTGGAGAGGAGTCACCGGCTGGGCAAGAGGTGCAATGGGCCTGGACGGCGTGCCGTCTGTTCCGTCCCGGTTCTCATCCCCTGATTCATCCTCAGAATCGGCGTCTTCCTGAAACTCTTCTTGCAGTCTGTCTGATTGCATGCCATGACCCTGCTGTCCGGAATGTTGCTGCTGCGGAGCATGCGCCTGGGAAGGCAATGCCTGCCCTGGCGTGTGGAGTCGTGGCGGAGGAATCCCCTCAGGCCCAACACGGTCATCGTCGATGGCTCGGGCAAGCTGCTGGAAGTGGTATGAGAGCTGGGAAGGCGGGCTTGGTGGGCGGCCCTCGCCAGCGGTATGGTAGATAGGCTGCACATGCGGCGTTTGGGGCTGCCTGTACGTCGCGATATACGCCGCCTCGGCATTCTGCAGATCCTGATCCTGCTGAGACTGTTCGTTTTGCTGAGAGTTGGGGGGCTGCTGCGAGGACTGGTTTACCCGGTATAGCGGACGTGTCGCGGCTGTCTGCGAGGGGGGGATGTGCGATGGAATCTGGGGAGGCTGGATAGGCGTCTCGACGCGCGAGCGATGGGATGTTGCGGAGCCCGGGTTAGGCCGTTCCTGGGTGGGTTAGCACGCTGAACTGTCCGAGAAACCAGGCGTTTCCGTACAAAAGGGATTGCAGGCTGAAGGCCCGAAGATGGCCTGAAATGTTGTTGGTTGATATACCCGTTCGACATCGCGACCAAGCCTGGATGTTTTAATGGAAATGCGTTTAGCAAGAAGGGTTGGTAATCGAACACGCAAACGAGGGCGGAGGACAGATGTTGGGGAAGGCCCCAACAGATCATTGGCCCGTTAGTCAGAAAAGCGGGTCTGGTGTTTCAGGTTAAGCACACGTTCTGTTTGGCCTTAACATTTTCAAAATCGGCAGCATGCTAAAAACAGACTCTGAAGGTTACGCTGAGCCAACTCTCCCCAACTCAATACTCCGCTCCGAAGTTAGACGGCTCAAATGCATCAAGCAGTACCTACACTCACTACCAAAGACCACCAATTACATGACGGCGTTACTCGACTAGTACCTACTTGCATACCATTTCACCTCAGAAACAACCAGCCACACAGTAACAGCAGTCAGCAACTACGATTCCCATTGCAAGTCCCGGTATTTTGGACAACGTCTCAGTCACATTTCATCCCCTTTTTTGATCAGCGGCACAAAGAGGCGACTAGGTGTTCGACACATGCACCCCACACAGGACATTCCATTCAAGCTAGGTATGTACCGATAGTAATCACCTCACCCTTGCCGTGTTCTTGTGGTTGGGTGGCAGGATATGTTCCTCGCTGGCGGTACCATCACTCCGTTTCGTCCTCGCATCGTCCTGGTCGTCCAACTCAATGTACTGGTGGTGGTGGTGATGCCAGTCCTGCTTGGATTTTATGCCCGTCTCTGCCGCCGCCAGGTCATAGTCGGTTATTGTTGTTGGCGTCTTCTTGCCCCGGCTCGATATTTCGCCGATGGTGGGCATCCGCCCGGTGGCGCCGCCGTCGGTGCCGCGGCCGCTCTGGCTCGCGAGGGTGCCCATCAAGCTCGGGAAGTATAAGGCGAACAGGGGCCGGATCGGGGGGATGCTGGAGAGCGTGATGGCGGAGCCCAACTCGGCAATGGACCACTGGGCAATATTGACAACATCCCCTAAGTGCAGACATGGGTGAGTAAGACGCTCGGGTCTTTCAAGATGCATGGTGGTTTGAGAGACGTACATGTTGGGTCGGTGGATTGGTTCAAGCCATGGAGGTACGGAAGTCGAATGATGCTGGAGATGAGGGTGCTAGACGAGGCTTGGGTGTTAGTACTACTAGTATGTCCATTGCAACCTCGCGAAGAGCTCAGGCTGGTTACACTCACAAAACGCCGACGGAGCAGATGGTGAGGAGCTCATACTTTTTCCGCCGAGACAGGTTTAGACCTGGAAACAAAGTCAGCAATCTGCCTCAAAGACGACGGGCTAAATTGGCCGTCCGGGCATGGGAAGTGTCTGGTGGGAGTTGTCAGGGCAACCCACCTCTGAAGACGAACCAAGGCACTGACAGAATGACCAGATCCGTGGCCATGTTCAGCGCGGCATCGACATAGTAGAATTTGGGCTGATCAAAACAGGTGCCCTCGACCGTCTTGTCCCAGTAGTAGTTCAGCGGTCGACACTGGAGGAACAAGGCCACGGTGAAAGCGGTTTCGGACACGACGACCCATGAGGCAAGGCCGTACAGAGCCTTCTTCCACGTGTGCTCCGGCGGTAGGATCCTGATGAAGAACAAGATGATGGACAGCTTGATGACGCCCAGTGACGCCGGATACAGCACCTGCGAAGTAAAGCCGCACTGTCAGGGGGTGAAGGTCAGCATCAAATGGAGACGGAACTGAGGAGTGGAATGGGGATTGGGTGTCTCAATAACCTGCCTTTTGCATCTGCTGCTCGGTTTCACGGTGGACTTCCCAGATGTGCACCCCGAGGCCATATTTGATTGCTGCCGAGACGGTCCAGTCAGTACGTATCAATCCACGGTCTGCTCCATGGCACGGAGGCTACTCACCCTCAACGGTTGCTATGATGAGTCCCGTATACAACACCATGCCAATGGCGATGGTGATGTCGTCCCATCCAAGCTTTACAAACCGGATTCTGGCATAGAAGCGGAGGCTGACGGCGATCAAAGCCAAGGGGCCAAAGGACGCCATGAAGCCATACAGGGCCGGGGCGCGTGTTTCGCCCGTCGGGCCTGCTGTTGAGCCTCCGCCTTCATCCAGAGCCTGCCTAACCTTCAAGGCAGTAGCAGCCCAGTCGAGCAGCGCCATGCGGTATGGTGGCACTGTGCTGAAGCCTCAAACGATCGAGTCCCGGGCTGCGAATCGAGGGATGAGATTTCGGTTTGACGCGGACGAGCACCCTCAATGAAGAAGATAAGATGATATATATATGGGATGAACTGAAAGATAAGGCAAGTATGGTCACATCAACATCTGGGTTTGCGCAGATCCTGGGGAGGTCTCTTATTCCTTTTGAAGCCTCTCCCCCGGATCATCTGTACTACCAGACTGTTGGGCAACGTCTTGCAACTTCGCATGGACGCACACACACACACACAACGCGCACAATCGCTGCAAGCCTTGCGCAAGTGCACGCAGCAAATGCCAATCACTGGACTTCTCCTCATATTCTGTGTAAGCCCCCTTGCTACGCCAGCACCTTAACCGCGGTCTGTGCGGAACGGTTGGACTCCACAGAGGGAGCATGGAGGGGACTCATGGAGTCGCCAAAAGCGGCAAGACGTGGTAGAAATCCCCTAGCTACCCGGCCGTTTGGCTGCTCCCGGCCGGTAGCGGTCCGTGGGACTCGGTGAGGGGGTGGACATGGGGTGGAGCGAGGCAGCCCATCCGCCGGCAGGCAAGGAAAGGGAGCGGAGGGAAAAGCACAGTGGCACAGAGCAAGGAAAGAAACAGAGGTCTCAAGAGAGGCTCAAAGAGGGCAAGATGAAAATGCCCGGCAGTCCAAGCCTGAGGTCCAAGACGGTTGCAAGTACCATAGGCACCTAGGTACTACTGTTCCTAGGCGGGCAAAGTGTTAGGCAGTTTGGGATTGGCTTTACTTGCTGTTATTGTCAAGAACCTACGCCCGTCGCGGGCAAGATAGTGGCATGCATCCATGATGATGCTGGAGCTTGGGGGTAAGTTTGACCTCATTGAGCTAACTCACTACATGTAAGAAAAGGCAGTTGGGGACTGAGGTACTTCCGTCTCTAACTGTCCGTGTCTGAAGACTTACGCGCTTGATGGGCACACAGATCAAGGTGAGGTGATTCTGTTTATGATGCCAAGGCACCTAGACCTGATCCGAGTCGTAGACAGCTCCCATGTCCTGCTTGCTCCTGTACATACATGCCTTATCGTTCTTCTATGCTTGGTGTGCTGTTGGTGCGAGAACCCCGCCCCCGAAAGAGGGCTATAATCCGAGATTGCGCCCATCAGCAAATGGGACATGGGTTGTGTCATGCCGTGGTGTCTCTTCGTTGCCCTCAAGAACATGAAGCCGCTCACCAAAGACAATGAGAACACGACTACGCACAGGCACCTGAGGCTATTGTAACTTGAATTGGAGAAGCGAAGGATGGGCTCGCTTAACTAGTTGCTGGTTTAAGTACCTACATGAGAAGCATCTCCGGCCGGGGTCTGTGATCTGTTCCCCGGCGGTCGTTTGTGTGGTGTACGTACACAGGGATGAGGAGAGGCACGGGAAGTGGGGGGATTTTGGATTTAGCCCCGTCCTTTGCGCCAGGAAATGGCAGGGCCCCGGCAGGGGGGGCTGGCGGATTATGACTACCACAGTATGAAGATTTCGGGTTGTTGGCGATAGTTACGCGGTCTATTTGCTACTTTACTACCACAGACGGAGCAAACTACGGATTCGTGGAGGCGCCATATCCAATATTCCATTATGCTCAAGCTCTTTCGGATATTGGTAGCCATGTTACCTGTGTAGCATGCCCCTAACTAGGGGAGTCGGGGGGGTGCCAGAGACTTTATATTTCTCCGTCATGGCCGGTTCCCCCCGGCGTGTTGTCGGACCTACTAACTAATCACCCACCCAGGCGCGCAAAAATGCTGTTCTCACCTGCAGCCGGTGTGCTTGCCCTCCTGACGCTAGCCGGGGCGGTCCGTTGTTCCGGCTCAAGCGCGTTCCCTAGCCCGGGCAACGCGAGCTATGAGTACGTCGGTACGTATCCGCCATGTCTCGATGAGTCGACGTGCATTGCGCACGTTCTCTGCACTGGCACGACCAGAGTCAGAGCGGAGGATGGGGAGGTCGGGGATCAAGGGACGTGTGCTGGTACTGAGTGCTGACCGAGAGACGGGCAGTGATCGGAGGCGGCACCGCCGGGCTGGCCATGGCCGCACGGCTCGCCGCGGCGGGCAAATCAGTCGCCGTGGTCGAGGCAGGCGGGTGGCCCACCGAGATGGGCAACCTGACGACGGTTCCCGGCTACGCATTCTCGAACCCGGTGCTTGCCCCCGTCGAGGCCTTCCCCTCAATCCCGCTGCTGGACTGGGAGCTGCTGTCCCAGCCGCAGACAGGCGCCAGCAACCGCCGGGTGCACTACGCCGCCGGCAAGACGCTCGGCGGCACGTCGGCCGTCAACACGCTGGCGTACCACCGCGCCACCAAGCAGACGCACCAGCGCTGGGCCAGCATTGCCGGCCATGCCAGCTACACCTGGGACAAGATGCTCAAGTTCTTCGTCAAGTCGACCACGCTCACGCCCCCGGACTGGACGAAGCGCGCCTCACCCAATGCCACTTTCACCTATGACTCGACCGTCTTCTGCTCCTCCTCCTCTTCCTGCGGACCCCTCCAGGTGTCGTATTCGAACTGGGTCGACCCGACCAGCACCTGGTTTGCCGTGGCGCTCAAGGCTATTGGGCTGGGCTTGAGCTCGGTCGGCTTCAACAGCGGCGTCCTCTCTGGCAGCGGAGCCTACACGACCGAGACCATCGACCCGGCCTCGGCTACCCGATCGTCGTCGCAGACCAGCTATCTCGCCTGGGCGCTGCAAAACACGCAGCTCAAGGTCTATAACCGGACGCTGGCATCTAAGATTCTATTCACGTCCGGCAACAAGGCCTCAGGCGTCAGGGTAACCACCGACGGCGCGGCTGCCTACACCCTGACAGCAACCAAGGAGGTTATCCTCTCCGCGGGGACGTTCCACTCGCCGCAGCTCCTGATGCTCTCCGGGATCGGGCCACAGAAGCTCCTCACCCCGCTCAACATCCCCGTGGTCAAAGACCTACCGGGTGTCGGACAGAACCTGCAGGACCCCATCTTCTTCTCGGTACAAAACGGCGTCACGACCCCGTCGCTGGCGAGCGAGCTTGCCGACCCCAACCGCGTTGCGCCCAACCTCGCGTCCTACGTCAACAACCGCGCTGGACCGTACAGCTCCGCGGGGGGTTACATCGCCTTCGAGAAACTACCCAACTCGTCGCGGGCGGCGCTCTCGGCACGGACGCTGTCGCTGCTGGCGACGCTCCCGGACGACGTGCCCGAGATTGAATACCTCGCAGGGAGCTTCGCAGGCACGGGCAACGGGGTGACCACCATCGGCGACCTGAGCGCGGCCGTGCTGAACCCCTTCTCGCGCGGGTCCGTGACGCTCGCGAGCGCGAGCATCGCCGACGCGCCCGTCATCGACATGGGGTGGCTGACGGACCCGGCCGACGCCGAGGTGGCCGTGGCGGCCTTCAAGCGGCTGCGGCAGGCCTGGAGCGCGCCGGCGCTCGCGAGCTGGAAGGTCGGGCCCGAGGTGTCTCCCGGCGCCGAGGCGGTCCAGACGGACGAGCAGATGCTAGATTACATCCGCAGCAACGCCATCCAGATCTGGCATGCGAGCGCCACCTGCGCCATGGGCACCGACCCGGCCGCCGGAGCCGTCGTTGACTGGCGCGCAAAGGTCTTTGGCGTCGACAGGCTGCGCGTTGTGGATGCCTCGGCTCTGCCCTTTGCCCTGCCCGGCCATCCCCAGGCGACCATCTATGCCTTTGCCGAGAAGATTGCCGCCTCGATCTTGGAAGGTAACTAAGGTAGTGAGAGCCGATCAGAGTACTGTATGCCCCTTCTCAGTTCAAATCCCGATAGAACATATGGAACGTCATAATCCGGAACAACTTCTACTACTTACCCCCCTTGCAAGCCTGACTGCTGGTCTTGCATCCTCAGACTATGCATCCATTTCCTTCGCAATTCTCATACTTCATAAATACCATGGCCGTTTCAGGAACACCCTGTATGTATTGCACATATTACCAAAGATTGAAAGATACCTTCAAACTTGGCCGTCGCACACCGCTACCCTGGTGATGATTTGTGTGTGCCTGTGTGGATTCTGCTTGGAGAGCTTGGGACTTATCTCAGGTTCAGACCTTTTCCAGGGGCCTTGTGCGGGCTCAGACAGAAATGCAGCCATTTAATTAGGAAATTCGTCACGCTAAACATTTTGGGAAGGCTGACCCACTTTTTTCACCACGACGCCCAAGGAAAAGGTCTGAGTCGGAAGCGCAAAGAAGGGGGGGGTGTAAGGTGCCCGTGTCGCCCATTCAACTAACCACTGTTTTACCACCACCCATCGCATCCAAAAACAGATTACTGTCTGAAGATGCTCAGATTCAGGCGAATCTAATGGTGATATTGCCACTGTGGTACTGTGTAGAGAAGGTCTCGAAGTAGGCGCAAACGTAGCAAAAGTGTAGGGGGACAACCTCTCCCCGGAGGTTGACCCCCATCAACTCTGCACCCACTGCTCCCAACAACTTCAAACTTGGTAGCCTTCAAGATTGACCATCGATCTTGCTCAGACGACAGCTTTCAGCTCGCCAATTGTGATCCCAATCACGGTATTCCTTGCCAATTGAGGAGGGTTGCTGGCGCGGTCAGGCAGTTGGATCTCAGGGAAATCGTCGAATTGGCTGGAAAAGGGCATTCCCCCAGTGACTATTTGGCACGGCGAGTCAAACCACCGGCTTGATGGCACTTGCAGGGCACTTGCAAGGCCAGGTCACAGCTTCGTCGTCGCCCATCCAGTGCAGCTTGCAACACCTTGCCGACTTAGTAGTGCCTGCGCCCATTGTTAGTTAGATAGTACTAGTACTAGAAGATAGCCATCAACTTAGCAATTATAAAATAGTCGTCGGTACGCAAATAGCTTCAAAAATGGTGGAATACTGGCCGGGCACGTCAACGTTGTTTGAATCTGGGCACCTTACCCTGCGGGAGGATTGCACTTCCGACTCAGACCAGTCTGGCGGGTGGTGGTATTGTGGGTCTGTTCTTTTTTCCCATTGGCTGCAGAACCATTGAGCATCCACTATTCCCAATTGGGCCACCACCCAAAAGACCCGTCTGAGTTGCTGAGATAACTTGGGACGTGGGTGGGTAGGAATTTGGAAGCGGGTAGAGGGTTAGGGGTATATATAGCCCCACACTGCCCCCCTTGCATTGACGCGCCGGAGACGCGCTGCTTCCCGATCCCAACAAAATTGTCGACTCACGGACTTGGGGTTGGGATGACAGGCTCTTCCGCAGTCATTGACGCCGAAGGGCCTCTTGAGCAACACACTCCAAGGACAAGGAGGTCCTTCCAGGTTTCCTGCTCGATTTTGCCGACCAGAGCCGTGTACGCTCACTCCGCTAAACAAGGGAAGGAAGGAAGGGAGTGGCGCTCAATGAACGACGTAGGTCAGCTACCTACCTAATTTCTCTTGAAGCCGAAGTGGCAGGAATTTTTCCGCCGTTTCGAAGTGTTCTCGCTCTTTCCAATGCCCCATAAGCGAGCAGAAGCCTGCTCCCGTTTAACTGCAACAATTGTCGAACAGAGTGTTTTGTCCCTGCGAGCTGTAAGGCTGGTACGGCAAATGCTGCTTCTACATTGCACGGTGAATGATCCAAGTTCGCGAGTCTCCCAAAGGGGCGAATCACTGCATGCTACTTTCACACTTGCATCTAGGTCAGGGTTCGTTAACGAGACGACCATGGAAGATGGTGAGCACTGACTACTGTATCTACTACTGCCTCCCTGACCTTAACTAGTAGGTAGGTTGTTCACTTCATCGAACTGTCAGCTGACAAGCATAAGGACATGAGGACTAGGTTCTGCCAGTGAACAACCAAAGAATGGAAAAGAGCCTGCTGCAAGACGTCGTCATGTCCTGCGTTCAGGTCGAACACACGCTGGACGGTATTAACAAGGCAACCTGCAGGCCAGGCAATCCATTCCACCCCCGTCCCCTAGCGCTACGGACTCGAATTGTACTCCCTGCCTAGGATACACGCATCGTCGACCTCGCCCCCGTTCACAATCCTGGCTACCTCACCGCCACTGGCAAATCTCATCAAATTCCTCCCGCCAACGCTACTCCCTTCCACCTCTCCATACGGCAACCAGCCCATCTTCTTCAACCCGCCCGCCGGATCCTCCATGAAGGCCAGCACGTAGTCCTGCATCGCCGTCGCCACCTCCCTCTGGAACTCAGTCACCCCTGGCCCGCCGACCGTCTCGTACGTCCCAAAGATCATGGGCACGTCGCTCGCATGGTAGGCGCCCATCCAGCCCAGGGGCGTCAAACTACTAAAATTGCCCGCGTACTCGTACCGGTACGTGACGCCGCCGAGGCCCTGCTTCTCCCTCGAATGGGTGGTGTTGCTGGCCAGGCACACGAAGATGCTGACCGTCTCGCGGTCGACGCGCGGCTGGTACGGCCCCTCGGTGACATTTTCCCGCGGGTAGCGGGTGAGCGAGGACTGCTCGTTGGAGGTGGTGCTGACGAGGGCGGGCAGGCGCGGGAGCCGGCCCTGCAGTGCGCGGAGCGTGTAGTTGAAGAAGACCGTCTTCTCGTCGGGCATCGGACGAAAAGGCCCCAGGGGCGGGAACTCTGCACTCGGCGCGCTGCTGTGGTCGTCGCGGTACTGCCCGATGAAGTTCTGCAGCAGCGGCATGGGCACCTGCCGCATGCACGCGAGCTCGTCGGCCGGCGAGTCCGGGAAATCGCACCCCACGTTGCGCGCCACAAACGAGAAATTGCTGTGCGTCGCGTCCGGGTAGCTGACGTTCACCATGGCGGTGCCGGACTGCATGAACAGGCCCGCGGCGAGGGGGTTGTCGTAAAAGGCGTGCGCCACCATGTCCACGGCCACCCCGCCGGCCGAGTGGCCCCAGAGCGTGATGCGCGAGGGATCCCCGCCGAACGCTGCAATGTTGGCGTAGACCCATTCCAGCGCGGCCCGCTGGTCGAGGATGCCGAGGTTCTGCTCCTCGAGACCCGCGGCCCAGGGGAAGCCCGCTATGTTGACGCGGTAGTTGGCTGACACGAAGACGTGGCGCTGCGTGCGCTGTACCCAGGGCGCCGGCTGCTGGTAAGGGACGTCGACGCCGCCCGTGACAAAGGAGCCACCGGGCAAGAAGAGCGCGACGGGGAGGTTGGAGTCGCGCGTAGCGTTGGTGGGCGTCCAGATGGCGAGGTACAGGCAGTCTTCGGACGACGCTTGCGCCATGGACCCGGCCACTAGGGGCTGCCCGTACGCCCTGATGGCGAAGCCCGTGATGTTGGAGTTCCATACCGTGAGGTTGCCTGTTAGATACTGCGAGCACGGCGGAGGAAAGCGGAAGGCATATGAGTGGCGGAGCGACGGATAGGCTGGGACGGGGGGAAGCCATCGTCGCTTTCCTAGCGGTGGCTCAGCGTAGGGGATGCTGCGGAACTGGCGGACATTGGGAAACTCGGGGTCAATGAGTCCCGTGTAGACCCCGGTAATGGTCTTGATTGTGAGATTATTGGTGGTGGCCGCCCACGATGACCCTGCCAAGCTGGCTATCAGGACCAGCGATGGCAAAAGCTGCAATGACCACATGGCGAAAGGTCTGGAAGAACTGGTATGATTCCCAATCTGCTGCTCCCGTTGTTCACCGCGGTCACGGTGGAAAGGGCAACGATCTACGGACCCAATATACCTCCCCTCTTACCCCGGAAGAGATCAGGATATACGGATTCCGGGCACATCTGAGCATAAGCTTATCTGCCCAGTCATCCCGCCTCCCAGTACGACGGTATCCAAGAGCCGAGTTGACAGGAGTGGCGGGTTGCATCAACAGCAACACAATGTGCGGGGAAGCTTGTCTTTGGGTCGGCACCGATGCACGGATAGACCTGCAGTGTACCGTCGAGGCGGGCCTTGTGATATGGAATTGGCTAAATGTGTTGGGTCTGGCCTCCTGCGGTCAACTGTTTGGTAGCTTTGATTGCGTTGTCTGGAACTACTCGGGTTCTCGTGATCATTGGTACTTTGGTGTTGACAGTTGGAGATGGGTAGGAATACCTGCCAAGCTAGAAATCTGCTTCATGCATGTGCCTCTGAAAAGGAACTGTTGCGGTCTCTCTTGGTTACGGAGATAATTTCAGGTCACCAGGTGTATCTCCAGGTCATTCCTTTAGGATGAACCATTTCATGATCATCATTGGTCTTCAGGGATCGGTAGGACTCAGGAGGATGCAGTTAATTACTGGTATGCCTAGTGACTGCAGACAGGCAGAGCAAGCCCTGCGGCAGAATCACAGACTGCTGCCGCTGCAATCTGACCTGTGATTGCCCAAGTACTACTTATAACGGCGGGTCGTCCAACGATTGATACTCTATATATTCAAAGACTTAGTAGACTTCATAATGTATAACTACTAGTAATACTAAATATATCGAAACATATTCTCCCTAACCCCCCTCTTCATAGCCACCGGCTTGCCATCCTCATACTCTACTCCTGATTCGCCCCCCTCCCCAGAGAGTCCCTCCATCTTCCTCTTCAGCTCCTCATCCAACTCGGCCTGCGTCTTTTTCCTAGTCGTACTGGCCGTACTTGAGCTGCTCGCAGTGGTTTGGGCATTGTCCTTGGCAGGTTGTTGACCCGGAGTCGGAGGGGTGCTGGCAGAGGACTACGGCGTTTGGTCCCAAGGTCAGACTTCCGGTAGTAGTGAAATAGGTATGTTTGTAATGAAATTTCTTTAAATCTTACCTTGATCGCCAGGTTGCGTAGCAACCGGACTGGTGTTTGATTTCCAGTTTGCCCCCTGACGTTGAGCTGATAAAGATAAGCGAGTCTTGTGACTCGTGTTCCCGAGGGGGCGGCAGCTGTTCTGGGAAATGCCATCACTGATAATTAGATGATCAATCTTGTCAAAGGAGTCGCGTTGGTTTATAACCGGAGACAGCAGACTAGGGGTTGAGGCACCGGCCAGGTGGTGATGTCATCTCCTGACAAGGGGTTGGCAATGGAAGGCTGGGGTACCGGAAGATGGTGCAACACGCGTATGACGCTGCTACAATTTGAGCTTCACGGTTCGGGAATCAGTACTGGGCGAGAGAGTAAGTAACATGCGGAAATTTTACATTAGAGTAATTAGCGAACTAAATATACATCTTTTTCCACCTTGCGTAGCACCAACCCCTATCTGCTTCTCTTGACTAAGATCCTGTGTTGTCCCAACGAACACACATTGAGAAAATTTGTGTGCCCTCTTAACCAGCCTGATACAGAGTCAGAGCAACCACATGGGGATTCAGCTGCGTGATGTTGTGGGGTGTGACGTATAGATCCGTGTCGGTGACCAGCAAAAAGATGGTCCCGTTGATGGCCGGATCGCCCTCAAAGGTGCTCATGTTGGGCTGAATGGTCCAGGCCTTATTTCCCTGGATCTCCTGCAGCGGCGAATAGGTGACGTTGAGCTGGCTGACCCACGCGGCAAAGGCGGGCGCGCCAGCCTTGGTGTCGGTGACATAGCTGTTATTGGGGCCGATGGGCTTGCCGGGCGTCTCCCACTCCAAAAACACCTGCCTTCCGGGGTACGAGAGCGGCTCAGAGCGGTTGCGGGTGATGGCCGGTTGGCAGTTGACGCCAACTTCATCGCTCTCGAGGCAGCTCTCACCCTCGGCGATGGCCTCCGTGCTGAGCGTGTTGGCGTAGTCGCCCAACGTCTCGTTCCACACGTTGGAGCCGTTGATACGAGCCGGGTTGGGCTGATTGAGGACATGCAGGGCCGGGTAGTTCTGCCAGACCAGGCGAGTCTGGTTTGCAGGGCAGCTCGAGATGTAAGGGGCGAGCAGAGTCCAGGCCCACGACTGTGGGATGCCCACTTGGAACCAAACTGGCATGGGGAACAGTCCTTCGAACTGGCGGAAGATGACCTGCTGGCGAGCCTCGGTGGTGATGCTCTGGAGGAGCATTTGGGCGACGTCGCGAGCGTTGAGATGCGGAAGGAAGCCGTATACACCGGCCTCGCCCCAGCGGGTGAGCTTCATGCAAAAGTCGACAAACTCACGCACGTTCCTTGCTGGATAGTTGTAGGTGCACTGCATCGGTGCCGAGGGGCCAAGCATGTTGCTGAGCAATGTCGCATGGCCGACCTCCTGCTCTGCCATGTACTGGATGAGGAAGCGGTCCTCGGCTGTGAGGCCGGCCTTCTCGAAGTCTTCCTCCGAGAATGTTGCCAGGCCCCAGTGGAAGAGGTCCAGCTCGATCCACTCCTGGTAGAGGGCCAAGGCAATGGACTCATAATCAAAGTCGGATAGCACGCGGTAGACGGGAGCCGAGCCATTGGTGCCCAGACCGCCGGCCGGCGTGTAAGGGGCCGGCATGGGTGCGTGCAACTTGCCATCGCTGGGGTACTTGTATGCGTCAGGTCCGGGTGGGAGCGCAGGGATAGACGGCGCAAGCACGTCGGTTGTCAGAGCTCCGGTGGTAGTCGGAGACGGGCCGGTGTAGGGTCCATGGGAGGTTACGTTGGTGTGAGGCCTGACCTCGGGGGTCACGGCAGGCTGAGAAGTGAAGGTTGTAGCCGGCTCAGAGACAACGGGTACTGCTGCCGACCGTGTCGCGAGGGACAGCAGGGCTGCGCCCGCCGAGATTTTGAATCCAACCATAGGGAAGACTGTTGTTCGCTGCTCCCGAACTAGCACTGAGACTTGTGAGGTGAAGAATGTGGAGATAGCTACTGAGGCAGTCGGGTGCGTTGCACAACTTATATACACTTGCCTTGTATATGCGCGCCCCCTCCTCCCGGAGGACTACACCGACGGTCATCAAGGTTTGGGCCGTTGTGGTAGTAGCTTGCTACGGCGAAAGGCAGTCAACGACAAGGTTCCATCATCGATTCGCCGGGTTAGCTACCCAATCTGATAGTTTCTCCCGTACAGAAGTGGTACCGAAGAGAACGGAGGTCAGCCATGATGACGCAGCATCGGCAACATAGTGGGACGGGCTCGCCAACAACGGCGATGAGCGGGTTCCAAGACCTCATCCAGGATCATGGATGTCATTGTCGAGATGTTTTCCGCTTTTCGGTGCCAGGGGTGTAGCCGATCTCCGGGAGAGGCTCCATCTCGCCTACAAGCTTTCATGGGGCTAGAACAGGATTTGGGCTGGACCAGGAACCCGAGGCATTGTAGAACGTGGAGGCCGGGTCGTATTGTCGTCGAAATTTTCTGGGGGCAAGTTGAAAGCGGCGGCCACACCAGCCAGAGCTTCAAAGGTTGTGAATCGCGAAGTGAGTGATGATGACATTATGACGGACACCCAGGCAGGCTTTGCGGGTAACTATCCCCACGTGCACCCACTCTGCAACCTTGGTAGGGTACCGAAGCTTACGAAGCGGTCCTGGAAGCGGATCAAGGTTGAAGGAGCATGCCAAGAAACACTGCATTGCCGGATGCAACACCAAAATTGCTCCCAAGGTAGTATCAAGTTGTCAATTGTTCAACCTCTGTTATCTCTCTCTCTCGACTCTTGTGTCTAGCAGATATTCCTGGTCCCGCTGCCCGACAGTGTCCAATTGGTGTTCTCACCGCAAGGCGACTCCCGAACCGACGTGCCGCTGACCGACAGGGTGATCCAAATGTCCTTGTTGTTGGGGAATTCGGAGCGGGCAGCCAGCCTCACCTCGCCACCTCCATTGACAGTGCCACCGCGGATGGAAACGTTGTAGCAGTTTTCAATGAGGATCGCGTTGTTGCCGTTGTTTGCAAGGTCGACTTCTTTGATGACGACGGCGCCCGACCGTGACACGCAAAAGATGCCGCGGCCGCCACCGCGCGAGATGACCTTGTCGATATACACGTTGGTGTTGTAGTTGCCATTGGCAAGTTGGCCGTTGTTGTTGGCCATCCGGAACGTAGCGTACCCGGTCCCCGCCCCGACGTTGTTGCCATCGACTAATCCGACCCAGGCGTTGCGGGTCGCCTGGAGTAGCAAGCCAGACTCGCCCACATTCCGGGCAATGACCTGGTTGATGTTGAGGCCGTCAATGTTCCACGTCTCGACTGCATGGCTGCCAGCCCCGGTGACGCTAATCACATCCATGCTCACGTTGCTGTTGGCGGCCGCGTCGCGGTCGAAGCGAATGCCCAAGCCACCACTGAGGTTCATGGTGATCTTGCCAAGGGACAGGTTCCGGGTGCCGTAGAAGCGGAGGCCGAAGTAGGGATTTCCCGTCATGGTCAGGTACGGAATCTTGACGTCGGCTGTGTTCAGCGACTCGATGGCGCCTCTCCCAGCCTTGTTGCCGACATTGATGGTGCCACAGCCCTCAAAGGTTTTGCCGCTGCCGATGGTGATCGTGTTGGCCCCGATGGAGCCCGAAGCCATGACGGCGACGCGCTGACCACTGCTAATCGAGTCGACGGCTGCCTGGATTGCAGCTCGGTAATCGGAGCCAGAGTAGACTGTGGTCGAGCCCCTAGTAGCCGTGAATGAGCTTCCCGAGCCGGTCACCCTGGCGTCCGGAGTGCCTGAACCACATTGGGCTTGGGCTACCGAGACCTGGGCGAGCAGCGCGCCTGCGAGGAGAGAAAAACTGGGCAGCAGCATCGTTATGTTTGTTGCAAGTAACCAGAGCGATTTTGGACCAGGAAGTGCAAGGGCAGGCTGAGCGGAGTGTGCCGGTCGTCGGTCAGAGTCTTGAGGCTATTGCTTCATCTTATACACGCATCAGCAGGGTACCATGATCGGGTTTATTTTCCGTTAGGGAAAGTCGTTCGGACGGCTGCCAAGCAGACAATGGAAAAAATGGTTCCGCGAAACTGCCGTTGGCGGAAATGGCTGCGTTTTTATTAGCCAAGTCAGAGAAGGGGTCTCCGCTGCAACCCAAGTGTTTTCGGTGTTTCAAAGCCGCCATCTAAACGGCTTCGCGGAGTACGTCGACCCGGCTTGGCTTCGGTTAGGAGGTGAGGAAGCCCAGCAAACCCGGTTCAGCCTTCAGGACGGCCTTCACAATCTTCACGATGGATTACCGCCCGATCGGATCATCAAGACTTGGCTTAGCTGGTTAGTAGATACTCGGTGCATTTCTGACCGTCTTGCGATGCAATGGCACGCATGAACGGCGTAGATAAGAAGCAATGGGATTCTGGATGATGGTATTTTCCCTTCTCCAACAGCGCGTGCTCTCCGGCTCGGGATGACTTGAGCCGAACAAGTATTGCGCATATGAACAGGTGGACGCCCTCGTCGCTTCCAAGCCTCCCGAACGCCCCGAGTCCGCCTTCTCTGTCGGACGTCGTCAACGGTCAGGGATTCCGAGATTCCAATTAGGATATGCGGAAGGAAAGAGGAGACGGAAAGGCGCCCACCGGGAGAAAGTTGCTGTGTTGGTGAGGTCGCCTCGAACTCAAAGGAGGGAGAAGAGAAAGCCGATGCAAAATACCAGCTGTGCTGAGTCAACCCAAGGTGTGATGGTGTCAAACCGAATCAACACATTGAACGGAAACAGAGACACCTCTGGCCCATAAGGTAGCTTGAGATGGTTCCAGGTTCCAGTGAGATGGATGGCGGGGGAAGTTGCGTACTTAAACATCAACATGCTTTTAGGGAAGGCACACCCATGCTCTGATTGGAGCAGACTGAACTCAAATCAGACCACCAGCCGTGTATTGTACCCTACACCCACCTAACCAAGTATGTAAGTACCTTACACTAAGCCTCCTTTACTTGAGGCCTGCAACTTGAATTAAGTGACCTCAACAAGTGTTTTCATACTCTGACGACAAGCCAACATGTTTCAACTGTTCACAATTCCAGAATGATACACCGATGAAATATCTCATAGAGCCCAGTCTCATACTCGGGTCCGAATGTCTTGTTTCAACCAGTTGGCTCGCTTTTGCGCTTCTGTGCAGGCCTGTTTCTTCTCGTCACCGACTGGCTCCTGCTCTGCTGCCAGTGTCCGTTGCAGAAGGCGATCCTGAACCGAGCTGACGTCGTAGATGAAGACTGAGAGCATTGAACCCTCCAATAATCTAAAGCTTAGAAAGAAGGTATAAGTGACTCGGCGTCCATCAAGAGAAGATATTGACGGGATTGAGAAAAATAGGTTCAGGGGGGGACATACCTGCCCGCTTCCACCTTGTTTCCGAAGCTGGCCATGTCCGTTGCCCGACGGCTGAAGATGCCTTACGCAGGGAAATGTGCGACACCGTGTGTGGCGTGGGGTTACTGTATGAGCGAACTTCCGAAAAAAGTTCTCGGTATCCCTGTCGTCTTTTGAGGTCGTACGGCAACGAGCGACTAAACTGGTGACATATTCATGATATTCATCTGACAAAGTGGACACGGATGAACAATATATGCCTGGTTTCTATATACGTTATCTGCTCGATTCTCCTGAGAGTCTCTGGATTCTGGAACAGCCTTGGCCCCGCTCGTGGTGAACTCTGTATTCTCATCATCCCTTGCGTAAGCTGCCTATGCTCATTGCTCGACTGATGTTTAGTATGAGCTCAACCCCTTTCACCTCACCCATTGCTACTTGACGGAGCATCCTCAGGTTCAAGATAAATCCCTTGGACCAATCAGCTGTCTGCTCCCGATTCAACTCTCAGCCTGCTCAGCTGCGTGGTGAGCGAAACAGCTTTCATGCAGGTTTGCTTCAACCAATGCGAAGAACTCTTGAGCGCCACCGTGTGCTCGCCCCCTCTCCTCGGCAGGCGCCCCAGAAGCCTCTGCAGGAACAGAAGTCACAAGAGCACTCCAAGGCAACCGACACTCTAACAATTGGATTCTTGCTGGGTCGCGGCTGCCTAAGTTGTGAGATTGGCCAACTTGCCCAACTTCTGGCCGGTCAGTTAGATACTTCTCCTTCCGTTTTCCTCGCTCTCCAATCTCAATTTTTCCAGCCCTTATTGCTTCACTTTTGAACCACCTTCGACATGACAGGAATGGAACTCGACATGCTTCTGTCCAGCCTCGAGCTGCCGGAGAGGAAGGAACAAGACGACCACGCAGGGCCCCTTTGTGAGCTAAGTCAAAATCAGGCTGTCCCTGGCACCCAGCTCCCCCAATCCTCAGCCTGGCGGAACACATCGGAAGATGGTCGTCCCTCAATGGAGCGGTTGCTGCGGCAATCCATGGTTCACTTGCCGCAGCAGGGAACCAAGTTCCTGCCCGTGGACAAACTGTACGAGGTTGTCTGCCCATCCAGAGTCAAAGAGGAGTTACGCAGTCGCTTCCACGTTCCAGAGCCCGGACTTAGCAAGTTTGTCCACGAAGTGTGCGGTAGCAAACCCGAAGACCCTCATCCGCGCCAACCCCACGATCTCAGGTCCCGGCGGCGGATCTTTGCCATCCTCACCTTGATCGGGCAGGTGCACCAAATTCAGTCTGTCATCTACGAAGGTCTGCTTGATTCAGCTCTGCCATTTACGACCGTACCACCACAAATACCGCTCACAACCAAGCACTCGAACCTGCCCTCCGTCGGTAAGGTTTGGAGTCGAGATGGCAAAGAAGTCAAGTTCATGCAGGACTGGACGGATCTGTTCAGGGAGGCTTTTATTGCCTACCAGTGGACGGTGCTCGCACCATTCTTCCACTTCCCCAGCAGCTCTTGCGGAGAGGCTCCGCATTATGACTTGCCGGCCAAAGCCGTCGTTCCTTTCATCTCGACCTGCAATACATCGCAGGGCGGTTACAGCACCGTGTATAAGACAGTGATCCACCCAGCCCATTACAGCATTGGAGGCGTGTCGCAGTTGGTGAGTGTCAGTACCCACCCCAAAACCCGGCGAGGGATACGAATGGCTAAGGTTGAGGCGAGACACAGGGCGGAAACCATATTTTTGCCATCAAGAAGCTCCATGCACCGAGCAGTACATCCTTCAACGCCGAAGCTGGTGCCTTACGGCGAATCGGGCGAGCAAAGCATATCGTGGAACTGCTTGCCACCTACACTCACCAGGGCAATTTCTTCATGGTCTTTCCGTGGGCGGAGAGCGACCTTCATGATTTCTGGCGTATACACCCCAGTCCAGATACGACGATTCGACCGTGGGTCATGGAACAGCTTCAAGGCATCACCGAGGGCCTGGCTCGAATTCACAGGTTTGGCATGTCAGATCCCCCAGAATCATCGTCAGGTTACGCATACAGCGGCCGGCACGGCGACCTGAAACCAGAAAATATTCTGTTGTTCAAAAGTGAAGAGAGCGAACACGGAAGGCTTGTCATCGCCGACTTTGGCCTGGTGCGTTTCCACACCGAAGCAACAAGGTCGAGAAGCAATGCAGCCATGGTCCCGGTTTCCCTAACCTATCGAGCTCCCGAGTGCGACCTCGGTCAACCCGTATCTAGCTCGTACGACATATGGATGCTAGGGTGCATCTTTTCCGAGTTCATCACATGGCTGCTTCTTGGTTATGAGGGCGTTGAGGAGTATAGCAGACGCCGTCTGACTATTCATGACGTCCCCTACCAATGCACACTCGAGGACACGTTCTTCAAGATGGGTGTCAATGCTAATGGGAACCGCTTTGCAGTGATCAATCCCTCCGTCGTAGAGGTTAGTGTATTGAAGCCCTGCCTCGCTGTGTTCGGTGGGACTGATGTTATACTTCTAGTGGTGCCTGCATCTGAGGCAGCTGCCTGGGTGTGCTCAGTTTATACAAGACATTCTCGAGCTCACCATGTCCAAGATGCTGGTGGTTGACCCCAAGGTCCGTTTTACAGTTCAGCGGGTTCTAGAAGGATTATCGGAGATCAAGAGAAAAGGAGAGCAAAACCACGGATATTACGTACAGGCCCACGGTGAAGAGAAAGGCTGCGTGGGCCATCAGGGCTCTATGCCGACGAGAAAACATGGCCGAGCTACCGACATAGTGGAGGAGAGCTCCGATTTGGTTGGCAATTGGCGCCTGAGCAGCGATTCAGAATATCTTCGGACACAGCGAGACAACAAGGCGAAGAAGCAGAGACAGTGTGAACCGTGTACGCGATTTGGTTGCCCGTTTCGTCATCGTAACCCGCACCGGTTCAACGTCATGGACTATCCCAAGTGCGCCACAGGATCTTTTCCAGATATTTCAGCTCTCAAGTGAGTGAATAGACCTCCTCAGACCTTGAATAGCGAATTCACGCGCTGACCCTATACAGGCGGCATGTCGTCGAGTGTCATCGACGGCCCGCGCGAATGGTTTTTGAAGAACCTCCCGCACCATCGCATCGATGCGATCGTTGCGGTGAGCTGTTTGAGTCGAAAGACGACCTAGCCTCACATCTCCGGGTTCCCCAAGAAGACATGTGCAAAGTCCGCGAAATTGATGCTAGACCTCAGCAGGGGGATGATCCGGAAGACGGCGTAACAAAGACAGTACAAGATGTACTCGGCAGCAGGGCCAAAGATAAAGTCATGAGCTGGGATCACTTGTGGCATGTTCTATTTCCGAGTGATAGCAGAGTGCCGAATGGGGGTAAGCGATGCATGGTCCAAGTCGAGATCTACACTCTCTTCGCGTACTCTAACATGTTCTAGAATACCAACCGGTGATTGAGGACCACGAGGTGTTAAAACGATTCCAAGACTCGTCCGCAAGAAGTCGCAATTTGATCACGGGTGCACTTCGACGGGCGGCTGCCTATGGAAGCCACGATCTGAGCCGCCCAGAAATTGTCGATGAAGTCTGGAGAGCGGTCCAGGAGCTCATCACCCACATGTTTGACCGCACTTTACAACCGCCCATCATACGAACCCCGACCCACGCAAGGAAGCCGAGATCCCAGACAGCCAAACCACGACCACAGCAGCAGCAGCAGCAGCAGCAGCAGCAACTGCTCACGCCAGTACCAACCGCCAGGCACACAAGAGACCGGGAACTGGCTCCCAGGCCGCCCCAAACCATTGCTCATCAGCCCCAATCTCCCGCCGTTCCGACAACAACGAGTGAGGCCTTCTGGGGAGCCAACAACTTGCAATTGGGTTTTACCATCCCGCCGAATCCCACAGAGGCGCTTAACTTCATGACCGACTTTCCGCCATTGCTATCAACCCCAACTAATACTCTCACAAGGGGCTCAGGATCTAGTATTAGCACCCGATCCTTGAACTGTGAAAGTCACTCCCAGCGTCCGTTACGTATCTCAGTAACAGCACCTACTCCACCTTTGAACATGGGGTTAGAGCAAGGGGCGGAGACAGCCGATACTAGCACTCGGGCCCTCAATCCAGTCTCCCATGCAATGACCGGACTCCGGCCGGCGTGCGGAATGTGCGTCATTGACCCGATGGGCTGTCCTTGCCACCTTGCAACCGGGACGCATGGAAGGGGCAGCCTCAGGACGGCGATGGATTCCAGTGGGCCATTAAACCAATATGTGAATATGGGCATGAGTGATATCATGAGTGACATCTTCATGCCAGATATTGGGCTTTGAGCCACATTATGAGACCGGATGAGCCACATTATGAGACCGGATGAGCCACATTATGAGACCGGATGAGCCACATTATGAGACCGGATGAGCCACATTATGAGACCGGA